TGACCGTTTCATTGTATTTTTATGTTAACGCTATATTCTGTAAAAAATTCGATACACAAACACATATTGCATAAAGCAATAACGCTTACTGAGGGTGTTTTGCTTGCACCCGTAATGCTTTACCAGACAAGTGGGTACAAGTCGTATATAACTGATACCGCAAACAACAATTTATTTTACCTATAGATGCGTACAAGCCAAATGCGACTTTTATTATTTAGTAAGCTCATATTGGTAGACTTTTAGGTATCAATTCGTAATATATTTGTCTCCTCCCTACTTACAATATTTGTTAGTAAAATGAACCCCGCACCATATGCAAAAACGAAACAACTAATAGTCGCACCCACTGCAACTCACCTACAAGTCAAAAATGGCAAACGGTAACGCACGCAATGTGTTACATGTTTTACGAGTATAATATGTAATAAATAAAATAAATACTCAAGCCTGTCACCCAGAGGGGTAGGCAGAGACTACAGACTTCCATTTAGCACGATCCTGACATACCTCTCTCGCCTCTTCCACATTCATATACCTACGCATACATGCTCGTCGGTTAAGAGTACTCTTAATTTGGCCCATTTTTAGTATATCGCCAATTTGGTCGAAAAAACTTCCACCTAGGACGTCCCTTTCCGACTCTTCCATTCACTTCTGCAACATATATTTGCTTTGTCAGTCTTTCCGCATTCATTCTTTCTACATGACCAAACCACCGAAGCATTCATTTCTTAATCCTGGTCACCGCATCATCTTGCAAACCACACTCTTCTTTTATCACACAGTTTCTCACCCTGTCACTCAGATTCAGCCCTAACATACTCCTTAGTGACCGCATTTCTACTGCATTTATTCTACTCTCCTGCTTCTTCTGCCACACCCAACTTTCACTACCATATGTTAAAGTAGGGACTAATACAGCATTGTGAATTGCCATACGTGCCTTTTTTGACACATTCTTACTTTCCACAATAGAGTGTAGAGCCCCATTTCCTTTATTTCCTGCATTCACTCGTCGATCAATATCCTTATCATATCTCCCATCCCTGCTGAATACACATCCCAAATATACGAACTCATCCACTTGCTCAATTAACTCTCCTTCTTTTCTTATTTCACATACTGTTTTGCTTTCTTCTCTTTCAAAAACCATCACTTTCGTCTTACTTGCGTTCACTTTCATTCCCCTTTCTTTTAATGACCTGTTCATTAATGTAACCATCATTTGCAACTCGGCCGCCGAGGATGCAAGTATGACTTGATCATCGGCGTACAAAAGGCATTTGATGGTTAACTCACCCATTCTTAACCCGCATTCTTCAACTTTCAAATTTTCCAAACAACTGTCCATAAATAGGTTAAACATCCACGGGGAAGCTACACTAGCCCTGTCTGACACCTTTATGGATGCTAAACCAGTCCGAGTAGACCCCGTTGATTCTAACACAAGCACTCGAGTCACTATACAGAGACTTTAATGCCTGTATTAAACCAGCGCTCAACCTAAATACGTTCAGCGTTTGCCATAACACATCCCTGTCCACTCTATCATAAGCCTTTTCCAAGTCCATGAATGCATAAAAAACTTTTTGGTTTTTCGCCAAAAACTTCTCCGCGATCATGCGCATGGAAAAGACTTGATCTGTATACCCCATTCCCTTTCTAAATCCCGCTTGCACATACAAAATTTTTTCATCAGTTTCTTTCATAACTCTTTAAATTAGTACCTTAGCATACAGTTTTCCCACAATGCTAAGAAGGCTGATACCACGGTAGTTTTTACTGTCCTGCTGTGACCCTTTTCCCTTATATATTGGGACTATCACGGCCTTGCACCAGTCTCCCGGTACCCGCTTTAGTTCCCAACATAAATTAAACAAGGTGTACAGCAGGCCTGCCACCACGTCCCCTCCAGCCCTTAGCATTTCGAGTGAAACTCTATCATATCCGGCTGCCTTACCTACTTTCATGCTTTTCATTGCTTTCATTATTTCATCTATACTTATCTTCCTATCTTTTTCATCTTCTTTCGGAATTTCTATTTCATTTAGTTCATACGTCTCCTCACTCATAAATACGCTTTCAAAATATTTCTTCCATCTCTTTAGACTCAACACTTCATCATTCAGAATACAGCTATACTCGTCTCGTATAGCATTCAATCTAGGCTGATTTGAATGTCCCCTGGTATTTCTTACGAGTTTCCATAACATTTTAATATTTGCCAGGAAGTTATTCGATATTCTTCTATCATTCTTATTCGTTCTTTCTTGCTTTTTCCTTTCAACTAATTCTTTTACTTTCTTATTTAGACGTTTAAACTCTGCCTTTTTTCTTTCAATCTCGTCATTCTTATCGCCAGAATTACCAGCTTTGGTCGCTAGTAAATCTAGCCATGCTCTCTTCTTTGCTTCAACTTCCACCTACCTACTTACCTCATCATCCCACCATAACGTATTGTCTTTCCTTTCATTCGTTCTCTTACTAACACCACATACTTCCGTAGCTGCATCCACTAAACCTTTCTTAACATTATGCCACACATTCTCCAAGTCTAACTCATTCGCACACAACTCATCCAAATCACTTATATTTCCTCTCAGTCTACATTTGTACTTATCTTTCACATCTTCATCTTGTAACCTCTCAATTCTTATACGCTGTAACGCAGTGGTAGACACAGATGTCCGATGCCGCCAACGTCTGAATAAATCCCTAATTCGGCATAAGACCAGGTAGTGGTCCGTCCCTACGTTGGACCCCCGGTAAACCCTTGTATCCACCACTGCGCTCCTCATTCTTTCATCCACAGTTATGAAATCTATCATGCTTCTATCATCACCTCTTTCCCAAGTATACATGTGAATCTTCTTATGACGAAAGAAAGTGTTCGTCACAAAAAGATTCCTTTCCACACATACGGTAAGGAGGCTTTCACCATTTTCATCAATACTTTCATCACCAAACGTTCCCAGTATCCTTTCATAGCCAAGCCTCCTCACCCCAACCCTTCCATTAAAATCTCCTAATATAACAATATTTTCATTTTCCTTACATTTCATTAACACCATCCTTACCATCTCACAAAACTGCTCTCGGATATAAGTGGGCTTAGACATGTCTGGGGCCTAGACCCCTAGAACAAACAACTTCTTTAGGCCCACTTTTATTCGTATCCATAGCAGTCTCGGGCTTACAGATTCATACTCTTTCACACATTGACCCATTCTTTCTGAAAGGATGATACCGACTCCCTGGCATGCTCGCTCGGTCTCATCTACACCGGACCAGTACGCGGTATATATGCCATGTGTAGTGACATCCTTTCCCTTCCGCTTCGTCTCATTTACACATAATACATCTATTCCTCTATCATACATCATATCGCATACTTCATCCATCTTATCATTCATTGCTCCACATACATTCAGCGTAGCTAGACGGGCCTCCGCAATCCTCTTTTCGCCCCTCCGGGAGAGAACGTGACGGATGGCGAGCCCCGTCGCCGGTTTTCCTCCCGGAGATTCTTCGCACCCCTGCCCCATTAAAGGGGTGCCAGGAACTCGGGGTCATTTCTTTTCTTCTTTGCCTCATGGTGCGAAAACAAGGGGGTGGTATATTTTACGCTGCTACCACACGGCGAGTAGCCGAGTCTGTTCTTTCGGCTTTGTCGCTCTTTTAGCACCACCCGGGGGAAACGTGTAGGGTGGGCCTAGGATTAGTATAATATGTAATTATTATAAAAAAAGTTTGATTTTATAAAATATCAAATGGCAATTTCATATATAATTATGTTACATAATAGTCATATTGGTAACGAAAACTTGTATATTATAAAGTAGGTTAAAATAGTATATTTATGCTAATGCTAAGTAAACATGCAATAAAAATTAGTAAATTTATGCTCGTACAATGGGATCGGATGTAGATTTAGGATTCAGTCACATGGGGCAGATTCCTGTGATTGTTTAAAAATTTTCACCTTGAACAGGGAACTCAGTAATTAGATACGTTGAGCAAAAGAAGATACTTATCTATCAAAAATCCAAACCTACATACTTTTTTGCACCTGTTTTATTTAATGTAACATAATAACATTACCCTCGCCAAACCAAGATAAGTGTTTCGTTAAGCAAGCATGCCGAAGTGGCAAGGCATACTTCGGCATACCCAAGGATCCTGTGGTATCCCGCGGCATGCCGAAGGATCCTGTGATATCCCGCGGCATGCCAAACAAAACAATCAAGACGCGCTCGTGTACTGGGCGCTCGCGCGAGCCTCTGAGATTGCCGCCACAACGGGCTAGATTCAACCTTGTTTCAATTACTTAGCACTCACATTCCTTTAACAATATAAAATAACCTAAGTGTTTCACGTGATTCAGCGGCGTGCCCCGACATCCCATGGAATGGCGTGACATGTCACGCGAGACGTTTCGGTCTATTCGTATTCAAATAAAGAAGTATCAGTGCTAAGGCTAAAATAACTAATTAATTACCTGTCATGCATGTAAAGAAACTACACACACACGATACATGCACAAACGTACGCACGTACGCACGCTCGGTCACACGCACGCACGGACAAACACAAACACAATCACACACACACACACACACACGCAGCACGCGCGCACGCACGCACGCACGCACGCACGTACGCACGCACACACGGGGCACACACGCACGCACGCGCACACACACACACACACACACACACACACACACACACATACGCACGCACGCACACACATGCGTACATAGCGTGTTTCAAATCCCTATATCGAGCTGTGGACTGTGAAGCTGAAAATTCTTATACCTTTGCTATTTGCCAGTCTCTTTTTTAAACTTAGCTATATAGTATCTAATTAATGATAATTTCGTATCATATTATTGATAAAAACTAAAATCAAAACATTATCTCCTAATAACTATTGAAACTATCCGCAGATCAGAATGCGTGCGCAGCGTGGCGCGATGGTTGCGTGATCGGTCATCATGCGCCTCTTCCGCGGGCCGAAGCGCAGGGAAGTGACCGGGCCGCAGGCTACTGCGACGCCGTCTTCGCGCCGAGACGCCAACGTCGAGCCGCAAGACCCACGCGACTATACGCTTGTCACTGCACTGCCAGCCATGGTTATGGAAGATGATGTCAAAGAAATGAAAAAAGGTACAACGTAATAGGCTTTCTAGCATTAAAATTATACTATAACTGCATTTGCGTAATGTGAATAATCTACACTTGTGATTTATCTGTACTTGTAATCAGAAAAAAGATTTAATTATTATTTAATAATTAAATATTATTAATAATTTAATAATTAAATATTACTAATAATTTAATAATTTTCTTCTTGATATATTTTTGCAAATCAATACTGGCATAATGCAAGTCAATATATATAAGTCAATATATATGTTTTTTTTTTGTTTCTAGTGTTCGCAACATGGGGTCGCCGGATGGGAAAAAAACTAGATATGTTGAAAAAGTCTGATACAAAGGAAGCACCCGAAGGAACACTTTCTCCGGAAAGCGTCAACGATGAATCTTCGTCTAGCATATCAGGCCAGTACAAGAAAAAACACAATTGGAAAATGGGGCGCAGTAGTTCTGACTCTACCACTTTACAAAAAGATAACGACACAGATTCTATTCGCAGTGGTTCAAGAGATCGATCTCCGAGCCCATTCAAATCATTTTTTTATAGAATGGGTTCAACAGGGATGTTAAACACATCAAAATCACATTCTCTTAACTCACAGAAGGTATCTGAGAATTATTCAAGCCAACCAAGCACTCCTTCGCTTTATCGTAGTTGTTCCACTTCACACTTATCTACATATGTCAAGGCTGATGATCCCTCCGAAGGAATAGATCTACAAAACAGCGAAAGTGCGAGCAATAAGCAGTCTCCTACAAAACAAAAACATAATAACTTAATACATGAAGAAAATTTAGTGACATCTTCAACAAAAGCCGTTAGTTGTGATAATATTCCTAAATTAGAAGGTCAACCAAATAGTGGTTTGTGTAAGAAACCGAATTTTCCATATGCTTTCTTGCGTTCAAAATTATCAGTTTTACCAGAAGAAAATAATATGGTACACAGACCCACCGTTTGCGTAAGGCAAAGTTTCTCAGAGAGGATAGATAGGAAATCGCCCAAGTTTCGACGGGAAAGACTATATTTACCTCATTCCCGTTCAGAAGACCGATATCAGAGTAGTGATAACATATCCGTCCACGATGAAAATAACTTATTCAACACTAATCTGAGGAGTAATTACGATTTTGTAAGAAGCTCTATGAGGAGTGTTAACGACATAGATGGAAATATATATCGAAGGAACGAAGATGTACCTCGAAGGTCATCCATGATTTCGCAAAGACCACCCCTAGACTATGACCCAATGATGGTTCCAAGAAACAGAAACAGCTTACCGGTGTACGACTACAGTGCAACACTTGGATCTTCACAAGATCTTAAAACGGACCTTGCTTCTTCTAATCAAAGTATACACCAAGAGGTTCTTCAAACACACCGTTTAAGTAATTATGTAAGTTCGAACGAGTCAGGCTATGACAGCGATAGTCGACCAACAGATGAACACAGCAATCATTCCCCACCAGTATATTCATATAACTTATCTAGCGGATCAGCGAGAGCTGATACAAATATTGGCAGTGGTGATGGACATTCTGGGACTTTTTCAAGACAATTAAGTTTTAATCAAAAAATAAACGTAAGCAGAGTTCAACTTCCTCCAAGAAGAAGTTCTACACCATGCGCTTTATTTCCGCTAGATAAGGATATTTCCCACGAGTATGAAAAGAAAATATCTGAAAATAAACTATATATTAACGAATCTGCAAATCAGCAAATGCCACTAGACTACAACGACGCTAAGCCGCCACCCTTACCAAAGAAGTCAATAAATAAGAAACCACCGTACATTTACAAAACCATAACTTTAGACGAACATGTGCAAACTAGAAAGGTCAAGCTTCTACATACCCAAATAATGCCGATTCAGCACTTGTCTACGCCAAATTTGAATGAAAATAATTTAACGGCAGAAACACAAACACAGCAACAAATTCCTGATAGAGATATTTTTGGTAGAGGACCTTGTACCAAAAGATTTCGAAAAATAAGATTACTTAAATCTCGTTTAGACGAAAGTCTTGGTGTTTATTTGGCGCAACATAGATTCGATTTCGATAACACTGGGTTTAATTACGAAATTCGTTATATCGTAGTAAAACTCGACTTTGATGGAATTGCACACCGAGATGGAAGACTTCGAATAGGGGATGAAATTGTAAATGTTAATGGAAGGGTTTTAAGAGGCTTATCATCTTTGAAAGACGTTCAACACATCGTTAATTCGTGTTCTACTGAAGCAAATATGGAAGAGAAAACCCTGTTTCAACGATATCAAGTCGATTTGGTCATGGCTCACGATGAAATAACTCCTATTACTTTAAGCAGAATCATAAGTAGCCAACACCGTGAACAAGTCTTTACTCCTAGTATTACAAATGTAACTCCTGACTTAATTTCGCAAACTGTTCACAAACCTTCACTATCTAATAAAATTACAATCGAAACTCACTTCCCTACTGAAGGACAATATAACATACATACCTCAAATGATACGAGTTCACATAATAACCAATTCGACATTAACCAGAAATGTGAAGTTGGAATTCAAATTAACGACGGTCATGTTCTATCGAATCAAAAAAGTGATGATGAAAAACTTTTAGAAAGACGTTATATACAGCCCGGTTCATTACAAAACATTACTAACATTGAGATTTCAATGAGATCTTCGCCAACACCTCGAAATAAAAGCACAAATAGTTACAGACCAATATCTCTTCATAATTCAAGACCGCAATCATTAAAAGGGAATTATTCGGCAAGCAATGATAATACATCTAACGAAATAAAAGAAAACACATCACACTATATCAAAAATGTTCCAAGATTATATCAAAATAGATCATTTGAGAGTATACCTGAGCAATTACGCAGTAGTAGTCGAAGTAGATTTTTCAATAGAGTTGGATCACAACGATGTACACAAAATACAAGTGTACACGTTTCACGTCATCAAGAATATAACGCTGCTATCAATCAGGAGCAACAACAGTTTTCTCATAGTTCGCTACACAAAGCTGAATTTTGGAAGGGACCGGGTCAAAAAAGTTTGGGTTTTAGTATTGTGGGCGGCACTGATTCTCCAAAAGGACAAATGGGAATATTTGTTAAGACGGTGTTTCCGAATGGACAAGCTGCTGATAAGGGAACTATCTTCGAAGGTAATAATTTCCTTTATAATCGAATAAATCACGATGCCACATTTATTTAATTACCATGGTGAATAAAACATTATATTTGACTTGCAGGTGATGAAATCTTATCTGTGAATAATGTTCCAACACGTGGATTGAGTCATGCTGGAGCCATATCGCTTTTCAAACAAGTTAAAGAAGGAAAAATAGAATTGACGCTTTCAAGACGGAGGTGAGCTTTATCATTTTATCTGGTGTCTTTTAATAATTTCATTTTATTGATTTTTTTTAATATTATTTAACAATTATTGTTTTTATTTTCAGAGCACCAAGGTCAAGATCTGTGGAACCTTTGGGTAATTTTCGTTGTGACAGTAAATGAAACTAAACAGAATGGATCCAGTACCCCAAAGAATTCAAGATATATATAATAGAGTGCAATAATTTTTACTTCATCACTTAGCCAAAGGCAAAATTCATTTACCTATTATTAAATCACAATTTTTAATTACCTTAATAAAATAATTTGATATTAGTACGTGGTACTGTTTCTAAGTATTTGTTTATAAGTACATCGTTGCTACAACGAACAATTTATAGTTATATGCTATCGTGAGATAAATATTATATAAAATTTGTGACTAAAAGCTATATTACGTATTTAACGCGAATAATCTGTATATCAAATATATGTATTAGATATAAAACAATTAGCTTTATATAACGTGAATACAATAAGACTGTATGTATAATATATTAATAATAACTTAAAATTTGTTCTAGATTAAAATAATAAGTATTACATTAATTTGTTAGAAATGCTAGATCTCGTTTTAGCCGTACGTTATGTGTACATAATCGAGTAAGTCATGCATTGATACATTTCCATCGTTAAATTATCTTTTGTAACGGAACAGACAACTTCATTGCGTTCATTTATAACTAGACTGATGTTTAAGTTTCTTGTATGTATGTACCTTTACTGCCAAAGTTTTAGACTTAATATGTTTCTGTCAAGATAATATAAATGATATAGACACTATGTAGACTACTTCACGTACTATAGGTTATGGATAACATTATGGATAACAAAAATCAGTTAACGCTTTCAAGCATGTGATGATAATTATACAAAGTTATAGTCCAAAATATAAAACGAATCAGCGAATTTGCTCCGTCCAGTTATATGGTTAAATGTTTGTAAAAACGTTATAGAATTTAACTTTCCTCTACCCTTACTACCATAGTAAAATCTATTCAAACTAGTGGCACAGTCAATTATGAACCTTTTTCTAAAACATATTTGACTCCACCGATATAGGTCCATAATGCCATTTAAAATACACGAGAATTTGTAAATAAATTACGATACTTTTCTTGCTTCGTCTATATAAAATAAAAAACGTTAAATTGATTCTATTTTTTATTTCGTATTCCGTAAAGTGATAATAAAACAACAGAATAATTAAAATTACATGAGACTAAAAACGTTCCTATAAAAATATTTTCCGTGACAGATGTGCCACCTACGAAATCGATTATACCCATATTGTATTTCCTTAACCGGGCAACAGCTGACGCTTTACTTAATATCGCACAATATGGCAACTCCTCTTAGGATCCAGTGATCAGGGTGTTTTATTGTAGGCAGCCAAAGAGGCGTAATAAAAGTTAAGTCCGTCCGACATGGTTTCTTGTATACAGGACACTGAATAACAAAAAAAAATGTTAGAATATTATTTTACTGGAATTAACTTTAAATTAAAATAACCTATTACAAAATAACTGGTCGAATGTCTTTTAGCTTCTTTTAAAGTGTGAGGCGACGTACCTATCCGCTTGCAAAGCATTGGTTTACGAATAATGATATTATGAAATACACATTATTTTTGTAGCCAAGCTGCGACCACTAGGCCCGTGGAATACAATAATTACTTAATAAAACTAATTTTTACGCACTATATCGCGTATATTAACTCATTTTATAATCCTGACGTTTCGAGCACTTAACGGCACCCACGGTTACTTGGGGACACTGAAGTGTTTAATTTTTTATTAATTTTAATAATATTTATGTATATTATTGACATTATTAATTTTGTTCCGATCTACACAGTATAAACTTATAGTATATTGAAGTGAATTATAGGATCCACGCTGGGAACTGCAAGACTTCACGATACTATAAGTTCATATTGTGTATATCAAGCCTTGAGTAGAGGAAGCCTTGCTTAACTATGACATTGGGCCGTCGAACACCTCAGTCCCCTCCCCCCTCGAGCATGGGCGCTGTAAAATGCCCGAAACGTTGGGAATATAAAATAAGTTAATATACGCGATATAATCAGTAAAAATAGTTTTATATATATATATATATATATATATATATATATATATATATATATATATATATATGTGTGTGTGTGTGTGTGTGTGTGTGTGTGTGTGTGTGTAGTGTTCGCGTAAACATAAGAAATCATTATAGAATAATTACCGCTGGATATCGACTAGTGTGTTTCTTCTGACCTTAACATTTTATGCTTACTTGGAGTAGTTAAGTAATAGTAACTTTAAAAGCGTTACAAGTATTATTTCATACCAGCCAATACTATTATATACCAACCAGTCAAAAATCGTATTACACAATAAAACGTCACCTTAATGCTTTTGTGTTTCGTGAGTGTAGAAAACAGTTTTTACTGGAAATGAGACATTCCATCTTAGTCATCAGGGGTGACAACACATCTGCGTTTTTATTCTTAACTGAGGATAAATGTAGATGTTTATGATCTACAGCACTCACTTACCACCAGGTGAACTGTGTGCTCGTTTGTCACCCGTATTCTATAAAAAGAAATCGCTTTCTATCGGAGACCATTAGATATCATTGTCATTCCCCATTATCTAACTCTTGTGTCTATGAGACGAGATGATGTGATGAACTAAAGCTATTATTAATTATACAAGATGTCTCATTAACATGAACTTATATAGAGTCAAACTGGGTCTACTTCGATCAACAATACAAACTATTGTTGATCGAAGTGTGTCTATGTTTATTTCAAGTAGAGGGATCTTGCGTAATAGATCACACTTAGCAAGCAGATCGGCGTACTCTTACAGCAAACTCTAAGATCTGATTACTAACTAGTATGAATATAATGGAACTGTTGTCATCTTTTAAAAGGTTAAGAAAGATAATTTTTTTCTGCAACACCTTCTTTTACAAATGTCAAACTCACCAACACCTACTGTTAACTAAAGATTGCAGGTTTGGCGATAGACAAATAATAATAATATAAGAGTTTAACCATTTCTATCAATCTACCCACAACAGCATATAAAAGTCCACAGCTGGACATAGGCCTCCTCTATTGATTGCTTAATAGGAGGGAAAATGTTGGTGCTCATCTTCTATATAGCTTTCCTCTGCCGCCTCTCACGACACCACGGAAAGATAAAAGGTAATGGATATTCTTACGCCGCTACTACACGACCAGTACAAATATTTAACCATTTACCACTAACAAAAAAACAATGTAAAACTGCAATAACCATAATCTATACTATACTATTTACTATTATATTAAAATAAAGTGGAATTTTTTTATTTGTTTAAACACGCTAATCTCTGAAACTACCAGTCCGATTGAACATTTCTTTTTCTAGAATTAGACTACAAGCTAGCCTTAAATATTTTTTTAAAGTAAGTCGGAAGAAAAAGCGCTCCCGAACTGCTTTATCCCCCGGCGCTGGCGTAATGGTTAGTGATAAATAAATACAATGTTCTACAAAAACATTAATCCTTACCATCTAAAAAACGTCCGCAATATCATTTGTCTGTTTCTTATACATAAGACATAATAGGTTATTTAGTGACAAAAATATTGAAAATTAAAAAGTGATTTATAACAATATTGTTAGGCATGGGATATTTATCCTTACAACGGAAGTTATTTGATCTTCAAGAAAATTCCATCAAGATAAACTTTGCTCTGTATTGCATGTTATTTGGACGCCCGTTTAAAAGAAAAAATTAATTTAAAAGATAATGAAAAAATTAATTTAAAAGATAATGAAAAAATTATTTAAAAGATAATGAAAAAATTAATTCAACATCTGACTCAGCGCGCAAATGACGCTACCCGCCTGATGACAACTGAAAGAAACCAACTGGGAATGCCTATATATGCGAGGTGTCAATTCTGCTGCTCAGAAGAGTGATATATGTAGTTAAAACCGCAAGGCACATCTAGTTTGATATAACTTAAAAAGATTTTATTCATCCAGTGCCTATCATCAAGGCAGTAAATATCATTCGTCTAAAATGGGGACGCAAATTCCCAGAGTTGTAATAGAGAATACTTTTCGATCAATGCGAGGCTATCAAGTTTAAGCTCAGCAACTCGTCTGCCAATCGTAGTGGACAAAGCTAACAAGTTATATGTAAGATAAGAAAATGTATAAAAAAAGAATCTTTGAGATTCTCCTACTACCCTTAGTCGACTTTGACTACGGTAAAAACGAAACATACCACTTTATTACGTTTATAAATAAAACAGCACGTCGAATAATTTAAATTAAATAAGTTTACGCTAAGAATTTTACAGTCATTTGTAATTTTCAGAATAAGGAATCAACAATTCCTACTCACGTGATAAAGTTTGGGATCTTTAGGCGCCGTAGAGTTGATCGCATAAATATGCACGACAGGCAGCGGAGCGTATAGAACTTTAAGAGTGGATTCGCACAAACGCATGTTGCGTCGATCCCAGCCCGCACCGTCAAGGAACATACCGTGGACATACACACCTTCCTATATAGAATGAGAACGAAAACTTATTATTTCTGGAGGATAGTTGCTTAATGCATAATACTAAGTAAATAATCATCAAGTAAATAATTTCGGCTGGCCTCAACGGAGACTTGCCATCGTCATCACAGGGTTATAGTGCCCAAGTGTACGTGCAAGCACAGGTGCACTCTCTATCTTCTTACTATCATAGTCTGACGGGACGGTAAAATGAACACAACTGAAGAGAGATCAGGCGCAGGACCAACGCTTTCCGAAACATGGGAGTGAAAACACCGCCAATTTCCCGACTTCGGACAGCTACTCAGAATTTCTTGACTGAAAAACTCAACAACTGTTTTTTTTTTGACCAGACCGGACTTCATGATCAGCAGTCGCATTTGTAACCACTAGACCAACGAGGCAGCCAACTAAATAATAAAGAGATCATTAATTCCATCATCACCATTCTCATTTCAGCCCTTACAAATTAGCACGAGTCCACAGCTGAACATAGACCTCCTGCATCCATCGAGTCGCTGTATGTCTTACCAGGTCCTAATTCCATCCAATGGAGAACACTAAACTTCGCTTATCAGTTCGAGTTATACGGCCGTCCAATCGCCACTTTAGCTTGCTGATCCGCTAGGCTACGTTATTACGGTTTCTATCACTTGGAGCAACTACGAGCACAGCTCTCCCTATAGCTCGCTGAACAACCTTGCGCTTCTTCGTACGACTGATAGTGAAGGGCGAGTGATAACAATAAAACATAATTGCCAATAAATGTATTTTTTTCTTGAAATAGTAACTTAAACGTACAAATTATACCTAAGAAAAATATGTTTAGCTGAAGTTATAAGGAGCTGTAATGCGAGAAAATTTAGGTATATGCTTCAATAACCAGAAGAGGATGGATAGGGAAAGAAATCATATACACAACTAATTTCTAAGCCTGTCCGATACGTTAACGGGTGTTCGGCAAATCCTTTACTTTGATATGCCGTCGTCACGCTACTCAGAAAAAGTTGAAATTTAAAAGTCTGTTAAAATTAGCAATGGCTTATTTAGTGAATATTTTTAATATCCAATCGAATTAAAAATATTTGTATCCTATAATGTTTTAAAAATAAAACTGTTTTTTATTCAGTCGTTATTTTATATATTACGTATTTTTATTATTTATATATTTAATATAGATCTTATAAATAGGGCAAATATTATTATTATCTTTTATCATTTAAAACTTTTCCTTTCATTAATATCTAATTGCATTACTTATGAAAGTTGATTATCGCTGACTTGGTTTTGCCGGCTTTTTCGTGGTCATTTAGCGAAAATATCTTAAATTGACATCGATTTTTGTGAGTAAGTTATATAACTTAAAACGTAATTAAAGCTTACTGGCGGAGGCGCTTTGATTTCTTCGTAACTAAACTTAGTGACATCATTGTGTAAAGTCACCATATCAAGAGCCCATCCCTTGTGTGCACGAGTAACTTCTTGTCTCATGGCCGTTAAAAAACCTACAACACCAATTTTCACAGAATAAACTTTTGATAATGAATGATACAAAAACTAACAGCGAAATCTAGGAACATCTGAATTTCGATATAAATTAAAACAACTTTTACGGATTTTATCACGCTAATTTATTTGACTTTTTAATTCCCGACAAAATTCTGGAAATAAAAATTAAATAAATTAAACGCAATATAATCCGTAAAAGTAGTTTTAATCAATGTGTAATGTTTGCGTAAATGTAAGAAATCATGGAGCGTTATATTATTATTTTTCTTTGTTCTTTAAGAAAACATAACCCTTGCTCTCTAAGATTTCCTCCTGTATCAAGAAGGTAATATGGGCACTATACCTTAGCCTATCTTTGTTCTTGTGATGGTTACGTCGAAAATGAGTGCCTATGCCAGATCGAAAGAGTGCCTTTGCGTTTCGTCGCTCATTGCGCTAATATATAATGCTCAACTAACAATAAATAATATCCTGGAGACCGAATTCTGATTACGGCGGCCAGTTTTAACGGAGACTAGCCATCTGCGCACGAGTGTGCACAAGCACAGGTGCACCTTCTATTCCCTCGCTCTCATAGTCCGATGAAACGGAACTCCGACACAACCGGAAAGAGATCAAGACACCGCCAACTTCTTGACTCCAAAATGCTACTGAGAATTTCAAGACGGAAAAATCCAAAAAGTCATATTGGCTCTACCCGGGACTCGTAGCCGCGACGTCACAACTAGAAGTCCTTACGACGCCTATGACCGTTAAACTAACAAGGCAGTCAATGACAGCCTCGATAGTAAAATATTCTCTCCCCAGTTGACAGATTCATATAGTATTAGTTTTGCTGAAAACGAATCAGCTTAAAAAGTTAAGAACTAGTTTTATTTTATTTATAGAATAAGAGTAAATAATAATTGTGGCTCATTTTAGTCTTATGAAATATGAAAAATAACTCGATAGCCTAACTTTTGGTTGCGAGTTGACTACAGGTGTCCGTAGGCTATAGTGACCAGTTACATCAGGTACACCTGCAAATCCGCTATTCTGAGTGATAACGGATCTTGCACTGTGTAAAAAAAAGTATATATGTTACGGGTAATGAACGGAAGAACTAGTTAGCTCACGTTTACTTAAAATCACCAAAGCTTTTTGCGTACAGTCTAAATAATAATTTAAAGTAACTGTGACTTAAATAAATTTATTCGAAAATACGAAAGTACATATCAAGTCCAATCCGATCCCCTCCGGCTTCGCACGGGTGATTTATTATATTAACTATATAGGGACCCATTCCCACACACTCGAAAATCGGTTGGATGGTTTCGAAGTCTATAACGACATCGATGGTAACATTATTTGTTTTATATTGTAGTTACGTAGATACAAACGTCAGTATGTTAAGATGCGGCTTTGAGGCCCGAAACTTCGGATATTTAAATTATATATGAACAATTCGGACATTAGCCAAAAACTATGCAAAACCATAAGCAAACCCAGGTAACTCTAGGTTTACTAGTTCTTGTGGTATTATTCGTAACAAATACAATATAAACAACAACCATTAATATAAGGTTTGTTACAATTGTATGAAAAAATACATAATAACTAATTATTTCATTAACTTCTTATGGAATTAATAAGTTAATTTACCTTGAGGATTAAAAAAGCCTGTCATCCAAAATGAGTTCGGTCTCGCCGTGAAACACCAGTTGAAGAACTGCGAGTTTCTCTCCAGAAACTCAGTAAACCAAAAACCTAATGTGGATGACGACCACGACCTCCTCAGCCATAATTTTGGCACTTTGGCATCGTATATATTATCTAGAGAATCTCGTAAAGCCTACAAAAATAATGCGCTAAATTAATTTATGTAACCCGTAAGCCATTAGACATCATGTGAAATAACTTTTATTTAAATACCTCATGTGAATTTTTAATGTGACTTATCGCATAAGCCTGAAGATGAAACACTCTCGTTCGGATCGTTTTATATCTTAAGATGATAAAGATAAGATGATAAAATATAAATAAATATATAATTACAGGCTGTGAGGAATTCTATCTTAATCCGCAGAGGTGAGAACGCTTCTATAGCGATCTTTGTTTGAAGTTGAATGCAGATATGCAGCTGGAGCCACTTACAGTAGTGGACTATTCGTTTGACACTTCGGCCATATAAAATAGATGTAACGAAGAAATGCCGAATGCAAAAAATATGAAAATGACATGTTTTAAAAATCCAATACCTTTAAACGAGCAATTCTTGTATATATATATATATATATATATATATATATATATATATATATATATATATATTATATATATATATTTATGTAATCGGAATCTCGGAAACGGCTCCAACGATTTTCATGGAATTTAGTATGCAGATGGTTTCGGGGGCAATAAATCGATCTAGTTGACTAATTTTTTAGAAAATGTCGTTTTATCCATGATTTTAGGCAATAACAAAGTGCTACAATATCATTAGAATACGAAAGTAAATTTTGCCAATGCCTATAAGTTTATAACAGCTCAAATGGGATATCGAGCGGTGCTGAAATCATAGAACGCCGGTTCGAGTCCAAATGTCTTCGGTCTGACTCTTTTTTCCTTTTTTTTCAAGTTCATTCTTTTGTGAGAAAAAATATTATTTTGAGCCCTTTTTTAGTATATTTTCTTTTAAAATTACGAAAAATAAGGACCGAGAAGATCGAAAAATTTTATTCATATTTCATGAGTATGTAATTTGTATCTAAATATAATTTACAAAAAACATGATTTCCAAAAATAACCGAGCCAAAGCTCGCTCATCCAGGTACTACTTATAAAATTGGCAAGGTCCATATTGTAAAGTAAGTATGCTGTAATTCTATTTCGTCTCGTGGGTGTCGTAGGAGGCAATAGCATGAAAAGCAACTAGAAGTATATCCTGAATTCCAATAGATGGCAGTATAACTGGTATGCCAGTCAGGTTTTAACTCAGAACCGATAGCGTGTAGTATCTTCAAAGGTGCAAACCGTCTATTACTACAATCTCAAATTCGCCTGATGATATTGGCGATTAAAGAAGCAGTGGCTACGAATAAATCGAGTTGGTCAAATTATTGAACTTGGAGAACTAGCTTTATTTAAAAAGTAATGACATGTCGCTGAATTGCGTTCTATAAATTAAAAATATGCTTATCTGTACCTCGTTCATTATAATAGTACCATCTATTGCCAATAACAAATCCTTCAAAGTGTTTCTAACCAACGTTATAACTCTTTGCATTCGATCAATCTCTTGCCGTAAGAAAATCACCATCGAATTAAGTATGCCGTAAAATCGTAATCTGAGAAAAATACAATTAATTATAAGCAACCTTCATGACAGTAAAACGATACACCTATTATTGAAAATAATTTGGTGACAAGTCAAGTTCAATGATTGTACAATAATCAAATTTTACATCATCATCCACCAAAGATTGCCACTAATAGTGGTTCTGAGCCACCTGCATTCATCGACTACCATGTAACATATCAAATGTACCATAGCGTCTTCACTCCATTTTAGGAATGGTATTGTAATAGATTGCGAGTCTCGACTCGTCTAACCTTTCTTATCCATCGGTCATGGGGTTCATGTGCAACTAACTGGCTGGGCGCTTATCTTACTTTACGTAGGTTTTATAAATCACTTCATCTGTCGCGATTTTCTCTTCGACCACCATCATTTAGAGAATATACGGGCATAGCCAAAAGACAAATAGTACTTTTAAACTATGCTAGATGACCTCTTTTACCGTCCGGAAATAATACGGTGTAACATGTGAACGGAGTAGAAGCCTACGGCACTTATATTTTACAAGATATAAAAACAAAAATTTTGAATTAAATAAATAAAAATCTATCGAAATTCAAATAATGTTCTAACTTTATGAACGGTAATAAAATAAATTCGGTAGGCATCTTTGACCTTGTCACATCGCAGGGTTACAGGCTCAAGGGCAAAGGGCAAAGTATTGTTCAAAAAAACATATTTCAAACGTTTAAATCAATTTTATTTTTTTTTTCCAGACAGTAAAAAAGTTATCAAGTGTATACGCGAAATAATTAAGGAACATGAGGGTAATGTGGTCATCTTTAGCTTTCCCGCCCAATAAAACCAAAACTTAGAGGAGGACAGAACAACATACCTAAACGGACCTAATATATTAAGAAAAAAATTTCAAACAAGCCTTGGCAATAATTATGAACACTTCGAAAAATCAACTTAAAAAAACTAAGTACACTACAAGATACGTCATACTCACTCTAGAATGGCAATACGAAATGCAGGTAATTGCCAGACTCGCATTCAGTCGGGCACGCTCTCGCGTCGCGACTATACTTCGCAATACCGCGTAAATCTTCAAATTATTCGTGGCAAAAATGCCCTTCTGTGTTTTAGATGGTGCACAAATTACACAGCAATAGTTATATACAAGAAAAACGTCTTATTTCATTCGTAAGTACAGTTTTTTAATTAAAACATTAGATGTAATTTCGTTTGACTATTGTTTAATACGAGTAAGGTAAAGAGCGAGATGTAATCTGTGCATGAGAGTGAAAGAGACAATGTTATCCTCCGTATCGGTAAGTCACGCGCTCGCGCCAATGAGCGCCAGCAGCAATCAATACGTAACTAATAATGTAATTCATCTTTTTCTAACGATAGGTATGCCCTATCATTTGTCTTTTTTTGTTAGCGCAACGTGTCATAATAAATAACTGTACGTAGATATAGTACTACCTGCGCCACTTTAAAATGCAATAACATTAATGTGTAACCAGTGGCTTAGCGTGCCTTGGAGGAGCCGTGTATCAAAATTTGTTCGGGGGCCCAAAAGAAGGGAGAAGATTTCTCATAAAGAAACAAAACTGATTGCATTAAATTAAAATAAATATTTATTGATTATAAGTTACCGCTTCTTCATAGAAATTAAGAAAGCCAAACAATTCAAATTAAATATACACTTTTCTTGCCTGTTCTTCGGCAAATTGATTTATTAAACCATCTATAGCTGCAGACTATTTCAGTTTTTCTAAAATTTCTGCCTCTATAGACAATAGTGATAAGTCTGAAAACCGTTCCTGCCCCATCGAAGTCCTAGGTAATTTTTTATTAGTTTTAACTTTGAAAAACTTCTTTCAGCTGTTGTGGTTGTAACTGAAAGGGTCAAGAATAGAAAGCATGCTGTTATTACCTCGGGAAAACTGGATGCAAGTCATGCAAGGCTATTGAATTTTATCAACAATAATTCTATGAGTTCCTTAATGGAATAATTTTTTGAATTTTAGATTTCAGGCATGTTTTCAGAGCAATTAATTTTTCATAAAGATTAGCTGTAATGTCTCTACTGCCTCTATGATGTGTGATGTCTCTATTTAGCCGACAGTTTTCCGGAAGCGTATTTTATTACTTCGTTTGAAGAAGATAAGAATTTTTCCAGTTGTAATACTTTGAACATATTACTCAGGTGATAAAAGCTCTGAAATCTTCGTTTAGTTTGAGAAATTAATGTATCTAAACAGGAATAGTATACATATATATATATATATATATATATATATATATATTTATATATATATATATATATATATATATATATATATATATATACTTTGAAATATGATTCCGCGTCTGAAATTCTCTCATCTTGTGATAACTCATAAAAAAACGCTTCGTTATCTTTCGCCTTTTATTTTTGAAAACAGTTGTTACCCCCATTCTTTTGCTAAATCTCTGGACTCATTTAGCAAACCATTGAGTGAATTTAAATTTCTTATTTCGCTCAATCTATTCAAAAGATTACTTAATAAAGAAACAGGAAACAGAATTAATAATTTTAAATAGTGAAGAAAAAATGTGACAAGTACTAAGAAATCATAACTCTCTAAAACGTAGATTATATTTTTACATTCTTCACGTTCATCTTTTTTAGTGGAAATTAAATTTAGTTGGTACAAAGTTTTCATGATTAATAAATAATTTTTCTTTATTGCTAATAAAGCGTCGTTCCTTGAGGACCATCTACTAGGACATACCTTTTTAAGGGTAATTTTATATTTTTCAGATGAATCCGTACTCAAAATTTCCCGGTGTTTTATACTATTGGTAAAAAAAGTATTTTTTTTTCTAAATTGTCGAAAAAAGTCGACACTTCAATAACATATTGCAAATTTAATGCGTGTGCAGCACAATGAACATAATCGGCATTCCGGGCATGCTCTTTTATAAGGGCTTGTAATCCTACATATACACCCGACATAACACTTACCCCATCGTACCTTTATCCTCTACATTTAGATAAATCAATTCCATATTCTTTAATCGTATTTAAAATTTCAGTTTTAAGTCCTTCTGCACTGCATTCGGATACTACTATAAACCCCAAAAAGGATCCACAGATTTTCAATTCTTTAGGTACATTATCATCATTTTCTGTTATCGAGATGTACCTATCGAAAAACTACACAAAGTTGGGCAATTTTTGACAAGTTTTGTGTTGTATCCAAAATAATTACGAGAAATGGAGCTTTTTTAATTTCTAAAATAATAATAATTCCTAAAAATCTTATACTTGAAAATCTTATACCGTCTCATTGATACGGCTGATACGGCGGTAGCTACGCCCGTGTGTGTAACCCGTCTATCCTTTTTTATACGTCTTTGGCTAAAATCGACTAAAATATTTACTACAATATCAACTGTCAAAATGGCGTCGATAAAGCAGCGCCCTTTTGACCCTTTATTATTTGATTGACTAATGAAGAGCTATCGTATTACAAAGGCATCTATGTAAACAAGGCTGTAGTTTTTGAGTTATAAGAAAGCGACCATATTAACCAGATGACCATATTACCCTCACGCACTGTAAGTAGTTATACTTTTTATTGGTAGCACAATAAAATATTTTGATAAACGGTATTGTAAGTGTTTACCCTTGTGATATTTATAATACTCGAATAGGTGACTAAACGCGCAAAACCTAATGTAATGTCTCATTACTAGTAAAAAGTCGGTTCTAGACCATACGAAACACAGCGACATTACGCTGCTATTTTACGTTGGTATTCTTTGAAAGCTAGGCTACCTTTCTTGTCAAGCCGAACGTTCATACTGCAGCATACAAGTGCAGCTTGATTCTGCCATGAATAGTGCATTAATGCAAACTCTTTTATTTATACCTTTCTCTCACTTCGTGTGGATCGAAATTAGGCGGAATTTTTTCGAGCATCTCTTTAGCTTGTCTATATACAGATGCTTCGCGCGTCTCACCGCTGCCTGAACTAGACTCTTTTGGTTGGATAGACAATATTGTATCCAAAAGCTCCTGCGTCACATTTCGCTGATATCTATAACAATCATTTAATATCAAATTAATATTCATAAGATCTAAAATTACATTGTTTACGACGTCGACCGCAAGGACACCATTCGGTAACCCGGATGTTTCTTTTTAAATAAACGGTTACATAATAGACATTTGTCACTAACTATACGTTAATAAACACCCCGAGCTTGTATAATTACTTGTAGGCCTTACAACAGGGTGAGAAATTGTGTGATAAGAGAAGATAGAGTGGTTTGCAAGGTAATGTTGTGACCAGGATTAAGAAAAGAATGCTTCTGTGGTTTAATCATGTAGAAAAAAAAGGAATGAGCAAAGAGTGAAAAAGCAAATTTATGCTGTAAAAGTGAACGGCAGAGTCAGAAAGGGAAAAAGGGGAAAAGGGGCCAAATTAAGAATACCCATAACCGACGAGCATGTGCGCGAAGGTGAATGGATGTGGAGGAGGCGAGGTAGGTGTGTCAGGATCGTGCCAAATTGAAGTCTGCCTACCCTTCTGGGTGACAGAAACACTCACGGTTTATGTATATATGTATGTACTAAATCCTTATTCAGTTCGTAATTCAAATCCACGACCAGCAGCGCTGCAATGCTCACTGCACTAGCAAGCCGTCATTTTGTCCCTAACGTTACTTCATTGCGGATACTTTTAATCAAATTCGAGCAGAGCCGCATTTAAAAGTAAGAGTAAGAAATATACTTGGAACACTTCCTCATCTTAAAATTGCGGCTTATATCTAACAAAAATACCTTTAAATTTTCATCTGTCCAAACTTTTAGAAGTAATGTGAATTATTAGATCATTATTCATTATATCCTTATATGATAATAGAACCCTAAAATGATTTCTGACTTACGTTATATCCGCATTTGTATGCAAGCCATAAACTTGGGGTGGGTCAACTGTTTTCATCTTCTCTATTTCCTCAATATATTCTGGGATGTTCTTAAAAGACATGATACCGTAACCCTTATAGAACTGGAAGTCTTCCGAAAATAGTTGGTCGGTGAACCACACCTTACAAAATGTGGCCAGCAGGCGGTTATCGTAGTCGTCGGTCACCCGCCCGCCATATTGTACAGCAGATATCATGTAACTGTATAGTATATATAAAATTAGTCACATATTTTTTTACTCTTAAGGGAATGAAGATTAGAAAAGGAACGATTAAAAACACTTTTAAACTCATACATATATCTAGATTTATTTTTACAAAGTTAGACTTATGCTACGTTAACTACGCAACTTCAGTTTGACCTGAAGCCTCTCATCTTTACAGCACAGCATACACGTGCATTTAAAAAACCTTTATGATATTGAAACCGTCATTACCTCGGTAGAACACTATAGCATCTATTGATCTATTAATTAAATAGCAAAAAACGTAAAAATTAAAATCGTAAACTGCGGTACGATGTGGTTTTTACTTAGATAAAAATATTCCTAAAAGCTTACTAGCATTAATGATGACTATCTTTTTGAAAAAAACTATGTATTTTTGAAAAAAATATTTTATACTCTTCAGGTTTTTCATTAGTAGCGCTGACTAGTGCATTGCATGTCAGTTTTATCTAATTTTTATTATATAAGATAAAGACAAAAGATATTTGGTGGCAATATAAAATATCGTCATTTTTTTACAGTTAATTTTACAGTTAATACTTCTTTAGACTTGTTGGAACGGTTAGCACCCATAGTTAAAACTGATGGTGTGATAGCCAACATTAATAAGTAAATTAACCATTTTATTTTTCTCACTTGCTTGCTTAAAAAATGAATTGATATAATAAAATCTTACCGTACTGTCGTCCAACTAATTGGCTGTCCAGCCTCTAAGTCATCGAGATGGTTTTGTATAAACATACAAGAAGCTAGCCAATCCGCAGAATTGAATTCGTAAGGAATATTCCAACCTAGAGGACCGAACTTGCGTCTTTCTTGCACCACAGTATGAAGAAACGATATCATGTAAATTAAAGGCAAGTAAAATAGACTATCACTATAATCCAAAAAGTCTTGACTCATGGCATCATACGTTCTCATGAGGCCAGCCTTGACTCCTATAAAACGTAATACACACATTTTTAAAAACTAATTACAAATCTCAGAAGTAAAAAATAAAAATATACTAAACATCACCTGATGGTGGTTCACAAGTGTATTTAATAGACATTTGTAACAGCGTAATTGGAAACTTTGGATGGACTTCTGTAGTAATCCACAGCCTACAATAAACATCGAATACACGATACATTAGTTCAGCGTACTCGTACTATTCATAAAACAGAGAAAACATTTAAAACAAATTAAAATTATTAACCTGAATGTTTCGTGCACTTTCTCAGGTTCCTTTTCAAGTTCAGCGAATTGTTCCATAACTTCGACCATGTATTCCAAACCTAAATGGCAGTTTTGAAGCAAAACCCATATACCCTAAAGACAAAACAATAAGTATGGAATATTGATTCAAAACTTGTTTTTGATTCATTACAGTTTATAAGTAAACTTCATACCTCTTTTAGACCACGATCAATGAGTTTTCTGGCATGAATTTCCTGCCCCTGCCCCATTGAGACAGACGAACAAATGCATTCCATTCGCTTTGCCGTTATTTCGATTGAAGGCGTCGGATCCGAACCCATTGCCAGGAAACCAATAAGGGGCACTAATGGACGAGCCTCGGTAACCATTTGCTAATAAGTAAACAATAGAATTTAAAGAAATATTAAGATTATTATATATTGAATTAATATATAACATAATTTTAAATTAATACGTACTTCATAATTTACAATAACAGCTTCAGAAAACTTAGCACCCATTGAGCTTATAACATATTTTCTGGAAAAAAGATGAACAATTACAACACAACAAAATTTACTATAGGTGTAGTCATTACTTAGCAGATTAGCAGTGAAGTTACCTATACAGCCTATCGAGGGTTTACTGCTGGACCTAGTCCTCCCCATATATTGTCTCTACGGTGTATTCTCTAAGCCGTATTGGCACAGTTGCTACAGTTGGTAGGCAAGTTTACTACGGTAGTTTGCTTTTCTTTTTTAGTTTTTATTAGGTAGACGCACAATATGGGAAAGTGGATATTCTTACACAGTAATTATACCTATATATTTTAAAACATTGCGGTTGCGGAGTGATGTCCACCACTAACGATTTCTACCAGAATTACACAATCGCACTGTAGTAAAGTAAAGTTACAGCCTATAAACGTCCCACTGTTGGGCACAGGCCTCCCCTCATTTCTGAGAAGGTTTTAGTAGGCCAAGGAAGTGTCCGTCGCGCTGCCCCAATGCGTGTTGGCGAACTTCACATGTCTTCGAAATATTTTTTTCTTATTTCTCACACATGCAGGTTTCCTCACGATGTTTTCCTTCACCGCCGAGTACGTAGTAAATCAGCACTTAAAATTGCAATTAAAAATTTCGTTGGTACCGACGGGGATCGAATCCGGGTTACTTGCGTTCTGTTATATTTACAGATACAGATACAATAACAAAGTAAATAAGAGGAATCACAAAAGAAGAAGAATAATATGGTACGCACAAACTCTGTGATAATGTTCTGTCTGGACACCAAGCCCGAACCATCAACAGTTTTCTAAAAACATCTAGTGTATGATAACCATCTGGAAGAGGTTCATCTTCTGGGGCTTCTTTGTCAAACCTGTAAATATTTAAATATTGTTGATATAATTGTCCAATATTATAATAGTTCTGATCGTGTGGTGGCGTCTTAAGAGAATTCATCACCCCATTTCCACCCATAGGTTTCGAAAAAGGTAACTATGGGAAGTACCAAAAAGTTCTCATGGCAATTGCTAGATGGCGTTATAACCATCTAGATTACGCCAGATGTTAAATACCCAGCTCCCAGACCGGTGACGAGGGGCAGTGACTTAGGTGTGAGACGTGTCTTGTACTGCTATTTCCCGTGTCTGCCAAGAGTGGCGATGAAGGCAAAATGTAGCAAATACAAACTGAAAAGGTCTTAATATGGACTTTAAAAGTATATTGGCGATGATGACAATGATAGTGGTGATAGTTTTGTTTACAAAATAATCAAAAACTGAACCTAAAACCTAAGCATGTAAGCAACCAAAAATTGATCAACAAGCAATATGTGGCGCATTGTTCGCAAAAAATCACTTATCACTTTAGGCTTTCGATAATCCAACCATTCTGATGGAAAAAAGAAGTATAGGAAAAAAGGTAATTTGGAATACTGCAGGCAATATTTCCTTTTAAATTTAAATTATTCTTTTTAAATAGAATAGAATAGAATAGAATATTTTTATACAATATAGATTACATGTAATTTTAATTGAAAGTCATTTATTTTCTTATACTGGATAAAACCATTGTCCTGGAAAGAACCAGCAAGAAACTCAGTGAAACTTTTTTTTAAATTAGGTAAATTATACAATATGAAAGGTTGAACAAATTATTTACATAATTTATTTTAGTAACAGCTTGGATGTGACGATCTTATTCTCAGGAATTAATCAACCATGTATTCATGTTAACTAACATAAACACCAGTGAAAATAAAAAGTCAGACATCTTGTACTTAGCCAAATATTGTTGTATGTAAATCCATAATTATTCTGTGTATTTGATTAACTGGAGCTGATTATAGTTCATAAAAGATAGCTTGAACTCTGCGACAGCTGTCAGTAAAATCACGCCTATGAAGTCCTGAATTTCTTAGTAGTACAGACAGTACCTGTCAATTTCATACTTTATGGGCATGCCGACCTAATTAGTGCATTTCCATAAAGCATGACATTGACAGGTACTGTTTGTACTACTAAGAAATTCAGGACTTCATAGGCGTGATTTTTACTGACAGCTGTCGCAGAGATCAAGCTATCTTTTATGAACCATAATTATTGGTATTTTTTTAATAATAACTCTACACTCTCAAAATAATGGCTCTACACTCTATTGTGAAAAGTCAGAATGTGTCAAAAAAGGCACGTATGGCAATTCACAATGCTGTATTAGTCCCTACTTTAACATATGGTAGTGAAAGTTGGGTGTGGCAGAAGAAGCACGAGAGTAGAATAAATGCAGTAGAAATGCGGTCGCTAAGGAGTATGTTAGGGCAGAATCTGACAGGGTGAGAAACTGTGTGATAAAAGAAGAGTGTGGTTTGCAAGATGATGCAGTGACCAGGATTAAGACAGGAATGCTTCGGTGGTTTGGTCATGTAGAAAGAATGAATGCGGAAAGACTGACAAAGCAAATATATGTTGCAGAAGTGAATGAAGAGGTCGGAAAGGGACGTCCTAGGCGGAAGTTTGTCGACCAAATTGGCAATATACTAAAAATGGGCCAAATTAAGTGTACCCTTAACCGACGAGCATGTATACGTAGGTATATGGATGTGGAAGAGGCGAGAGAGGTATGACAGACAGCCAAATGGAAGTCTGTAGTCTCTGCCTACCCCTCTGGGTGACAGGCGTGAGTGTTTATGTATTATATAATAATATATTTTTATTAGGAGCAGAGACAACTAAATGTTAACAGAACTATGGAAATATATAGTTTATTGACATTGAAGGCAACAGTTTTATTTCATATCTATTATTATTGAAAATGTCCTTCTGATTCCGAACGAGAATGAACATGTTTTGTTGGCTTTAATAGTGTTTGTAATATAAATTATTACTTAATCAATACAAACATAAACATTTAAAAGCAATAAATATGGAAAAAATAATATTTTGAAATGAATTATTATTTAGTAAAAACACTACAATATTCCTTAACTTTTTTCAGGTGGATCGCTTATAACAAATCTGTATGTCTTGCAGGCTGAATGCTTGCGGAACTGCCAGTAGGCAGATACAAAATGGAACAGAAATATGCAAATTCCTTCTGATCAAGTTATTTTGACGTTATATTTATAAATTATAATAACCCTTTTTATAATAATTGAATATTATAATGCTCCGATTTAAAAAAAATACAAAGAAAAAATATACTAAATATAGCAGAATTTGTTTGACGAAAGATGCTATAATGTAAGTGTAATAACTCTTTCTAGAGCATGAAAAAAATGAATATTTATACAAATTATATATCGATATGTAAATAAAAACGTACCAACTTTTCCAACCCTTTTCATTGCTAGTCACCTGGTTTAGAATGTTAGTGAACTGTCGCAAACTTGACAACTGTACTAAATTTAACCACGACATATCAGTAACCCATTTAAATGGTTTTGGCGGACATGCATTCAGATCCAAGGCGGCACCACCTAAAAAATAAGAAATAAGCTTAATATACATAAATTACAGCTTACTTAATATTATTAATATGATGAACGTAACGTCACACGTTTAATTTATATTAATAAAGAAAGCATCAATATATTCAAGAAAGTTTACCCTTTATAAATGTTTGGAACTCTTCGTGTGTAATATATTCCCTTTGTAAATCGATTTTAAGCGTTAACAAAACAGTAAATAAATATTTGTGCTTCTCATAAAAACCACGGCTGATATATTTAAAAACATCAAAAGTCTGAAATAATAACAAGATGTAAATTATTATTGAAAAACAAAAATCAAACTGTACTGATCTAAAATATTATTATTAATAATAAAAATATACGTATTTGTTGTTTTGTGCAAACATCGGCGTATATAAGAAATGTTTAGTTCAATTTGAAGATGAAGACGAATCTAACGACACATCGCAAAGCAGTTTACGCTACAGAAGAGTTCATAGAACATCACTCAAATAATTTACATATAATAAATTCGTATAGCATATAGCCATACATTATTTACTTTAAAAATGTTCTACACATACATATATCAAAGGCATAAAACAACCTTCCAGTGTTGATAAAAATATAATGATTTAATAAAAGATACCAACGCGATTATAAAAATATATAAACCAATTATTATACTCAGGAACCGCAATACAAACCAAATAATCAATAATGAACATGATCCTCTTCGTTGTAATGGGGCTCCGTGTCGATCTTTCCATAGAAATGTCGAAACGTTCCAAGAACTGGGCGAGCGAAGTCTGATACATGTTGCAAACGAGCGACATATTGCAGATCAAGAAGTACAGCACGGACCCGCGAGTTGCTACAGGTCGAAATTCTTCCCTAGCCGCATTGATCTTTGATTCAGTCTCTTTGGCTACGTCCAATTTTTCTCTTACCTAGTGAAATATCATACATATTTAATTTATTTTTAAATGGACTTGAAATATAATGAAATTTCAATGTTACGTTTAATATAGGTGAATTTTAAAGCAATACATCTTTAGCCTATATGAGTTCTACCCGTTAAATCAAGAAAAAATTCTCAACTCATATTAGGTAACAAATAAATATACCTACTGTGTAAACACAAAAACTTTACATAAATTCAAATAAAAAAAACCCAGCCTATATGTCAATTTTATTAAATACGAATAGTAGTGGATTAAATACTACCAAAACCAAAATGTAAAAAGGGGCAAGATTACTAGGTTAGTAAGGTTTATTGTACATGGCTCCCGTTTTCGGCCCGGTAAGTCGGCTAGACTTCGAAAAAAAGGAGATTCACTATAAGATGTTATTTTTTTGTGTGTTACGCGGTTCTTTATCAATTGTGCACCGATTTTTACGCTTATTTTTTATAAACCAGGTGGGGTTTACCTCAGGTATGATCCTATATAAATTGTAAGAAAAATTATACCACTAAGGTTAGAAAATAGGGAATGGAGTTTTAAGCCGACTTCAAAAAAAGGAGGATTTTCTCAATTCGACTGTATTTTTTATGTGTTTTTACCTCAGAACTTTTTGCTAGGTGAACCGATTTTGATGATTCATTTTATTTTAAAGCTGGTGCTTTTTATATAATCCCATAAAAATTTGATTAAGATCTGACCAGTAATTTTTGAGGTATACTTAATAATGCGTATTTAATTAATTTCGACTATATTGATGATGTTCTCATTTTATTTATATTCGTATAAGCCGGTTGTACAAAATTTTTAATTTACCAACTTGTTATTATAACAATTTTGACGACTTTTGAACTTATGATAAGTCTATCGTTCAAAAGGGTCGAAATTAGCCAAGACATAGTGTATCAAAGAATTAATGCCCGAGTTCAGAGGCTATTTTGTGAAAACTATTTTGATTTTTTAGTCCGTTTATGTTGACGTTTATGTTTTTGGTGGGATACCAGTAACTTAAATAGTGGCTTGGGTTTATGATGGTTGTCAAAAATGGCACTTTCAAATCTTAGTAACTCAAATAACAAAATAGGTTTATTCATGAAATTTTTGATTCTATGCATCGAAGGGGAATAATAGTTGATGGGGGAGGAATCGAAATTAGTCTAAGTGAATAAGATTTTTTTTTATTTTACTTACTTCTGTGGCTGTTGCCTTTGTGACATTTAGCACTTGAATCAAAGTAACATCTTCGACGAGAGACCCTTGTATCGTAGTTAATTTGTGTAACAAATTTTCTTCCAGTTCTTGCATCTTTCTCCTGTTTGAGGTCACATCTACTATTAGTTGCGTGCGTTCTGCTTCCAACTCTGCTTTTTCTGTTAGTATCACCCGACCTAGTAATTGATCTTCCAGTCCTAGGAATAAATAAGATTTAATTAGAAATTACTACGTAGATGTGCAATACGTGGTTTTCTATTGATGTTCTTTAAGAATTCATTTAATAATAGAATTATTATATTATCAGGCTGGCGGCTGTGACTAGTAATGCCTGTATTTATGCCCACTAGTTACTTCTTTTGCAGTTCATAAAATGACTGTCTAATCTATTTTTGAATTGAGTTACACGAATTAGGCGTTACATTGCGGATATCAATTATGTTAAAAATGTTAAAATCGATTAACTCAGATCCGCGCAAAAAATAAAAATTATGTCACTTTTTTATAGGATAGGATGACAAACGAGCACACATTGCACCTGATGGTAAGTGGTTGCTGTGGCCCATAGACTATCCTCGATTACGAATCAAAATGCAAATGCGTTGTCATCCGTAAGGACTTAGGTGGAATACCTCGTTTCCAGTAGAAAGGGTCTCGGATTCTCTACACTCTCCATACGAAACACAGCAGCCTTAAGCTACTATTTATCGCTGGTATTCTGTGAGAGCCTGGTCCTTCCCCGGTCGAGCCGACCCATTAGTGCTACAACTATACTACTAATATAGCTGCAGCATGGCTCTACCACGTAAAAAAACTAGTCTAAAGATTCATGCATTCTTACTAAAATAAATGCCATCCCTTATTTTTAAGACCTCTAAATTACAAAATACGGTTCGTAAATGCACGATCTTGATACATTTTTACCGTATTCTACCGTAAGGGGCAGAACAGCGTCTGCCGAGCCAGCTGAGTTAAGCCAGTTCGGATCACTAGTTTTTTTTTTTAAATAAATTGCATCTTTTTGAATAGTTAGAATAATAAATACCTTGCATAGTAACTGTAAAATCAATTATAGAAGTACGTGCAGATATTTCTGGGGTGTAAGCAGGATTAGGTAATTTAGTGGTAATATAGATTTTATGACTGGGCATCACATCAATTTCTTTGTCTCCCAATTTGACCTGGAAAAGAACTTTATATAACGACCACGATTTGATTTCACTTTATTGTAAATTTTTAAACATAGTTTGTAGATACTTTGTATGTTGATCCAATTTTAATATAATTTTTCTCCAAAATATTATCCAAAGCGGGATCTAACTCTTCTGCTACATCTTCTATCAAAAGAGGTCTACCGAGAGAAACACAGTCTTCAATATGATTTCTGAAATAATTAAAATAGAAAGGTAATGAAACTAAATAAAAAATACATAATAAATGTTATTTTTGCAATGTTTGACTAATAATAAAGAGTTTTAAAGAAAAGTTTATAATCTAGAAAATTCAGTATATTAAAACGGCCTTTGAATGCTAAACGGAATTTAAAAAGAAAATATCAAACCTAAAGTATTTGTGATTTAGTGTAGTAATAATCAGGTCATTATATCTCTCCATGTTTTTGATCCAGTTTTTGCCCTGTGTTTGTGGATCTATAAGTAGTGGAAAACGAGCAGCTTTTGTTACGATTATTCCATTCTGTATCGATAACTCATCCGTTGGTAATCCATATAAATTCCACTCTCCAATCTGTTCAAGGGAATATTAATTCGTTTTTACCGGAAAGGGAAAAAACACAACGTTCCAAAGCGTTAAATCTATGACATTTACCAAATATAAACCATTTAGTTTGGTAGATTTGTTCCAATCTTTAATAAAAATATATTAGATATATACAATTTAATACGTATACATACGTGTTATTTTACTAGTTTTACATGATGATAAATTCAATTGGAGTGAATTAGAATATTCTTCACAAAAAATAATTCTTTGTAGGCTAGATACACAAGTTTGAAAGGTAATATATAAATAGTCAAAAGATACAATAGAAAAAAGAAATCATTAATTTTATATTTCCGTCAAATATTACGCCCGACAAATAAAAATATTGATAATATCAAAAAATCCGAATTTCATACAAAATAGGAAGGTTCTTGAAATAAGTAAAATCAAAATTATTCTAGCCACGGAAATTATTGTATTTTTATTAGTAAATATGTATGTATATAGTTTAAGTACCGTGGCGGAGTCAGTAAGTTCCTCTGTTATGCTTAAGTTCATAGATACTGGTACTTTACGCTTTATCAACTCGCTGAGCCAGTTGGTAACCAATAAGTTACGGTATTCTTGATTAAAAGGTCCTGAATATGACAAAAATCTGTGAATAAAGCACAAAAATACATCGTGTCAATGTTATTGTTGATCTTCAATTATATTTAAATTATAAATTTATCATTATCAATTCAATTATCTCGTATCTTTTAATAGTCATTAACCTTATCCTACAAAGACTCAGTTTCTTACAACGCATACAATGTATTGTTTTATAATAATAGAATGAGGATCGAGCTAACAAGCCAATTATCAATACTTTGTAATGCAGGTTATGAACATCTAAAACTCTTCTGCTACATCACCACTTACGATCAGGTGGGAGAATAATCAAGCACTGACTTAAAATAATTAGAAAACGCCCCTCAAACAAAAGTCGCATATATACCACTACAAGTATTTATACCCCTAAGTATAAAGTTGAAAAGCAAGAGGATGGTAACAAAAACAACCGTCCATAAAAATGTAATACAATTTAATATGTCTCCACCTAGCAATTATCACAACTTCTTCTTTAACTAATTATGGTTTGGTAGTTCAGCATATCAAATCAAACCAAATTAATTATTTACAATCCAAGTGTACCCAATTGGTCTTAAATTAAAAATGTGCTTAGACGCCTTTTTTAGGTACTGTAAATTTGACGAGGACACTGATTATACATAAAATATACAATATACTTAGAAGCTAGATAAATATAAAAATACATAATAGTGTTATTTTGTGTTATCTAAATATACTCAGTGGAGGAGCACTGAGTAAAAGGGGTTTTGTTTTAAATATTTACTGAGACTTGATTGAAGTTTGGTTAATTCTGATATGTTTTTTTTTTCCTGTTTTATTTTATTGTAAACTTTTATTGCTATACAGTAGATTATCCACGATATAGATTACGTAATACATAAATTACGTGAAATAAATCTTATTTAGAGGTGACGACTGCTTAAGTGAATTCATTGCCTTATTTCTCGATGATGTTATGTAAGTGTCCACTAAAAAAATATAAGGATATTGGAGTGGGCTGTGATCGATAGTAAAATACCCATTTGCACAATCATATAAAACATACAAAGATGGATGACGCTATGCCACGCATATACCAGAGGACTATTACTACAAATATCAGTCCACCATACATTATGATGAAAACAAACCTACCTTGGGGAGGTCTTAAACGGACAATGATGATGTTTTTATTTTTTATGCAAACCGTGGCCTGGTTTGCATAAAAATTTATTTATTTTTCTCAATGTAGAAAGTACAATCTAAGAATACAGTCGATAGTATAGGCTCACCCAATTAATAACAAAATGTCCCCCACCAGCCGCTCTATCTGTGACTTGAATAACGTTGACTGTTCTGTCCATCGCACACGTTCTCCGCTAAGGCCGTTAATAAGCGCTATTGCGGCATCCATTTTCTCCTGGCATTTGGCGGCATCGTCCAACACGGCTTGTTTCAATGACATTGCCTCATCAAATTGTTTCTGAACGTCTGCTAATTCTCGCTAGAAAGCAATTAGATTGTGTAGCTTTGCAATTATTTTAAAATTTGATCATTCTACGAATCTGTGGATTTAACTAATTTTCTACTATTAGTTCTAAATTTCTAGTAATCGTTATACGCCTGAAGAAGATTATAGTAATATCACTATAATCTCCTTCAAGCGTATTTACGATTACTCTGACAATTAGTCAGTCTCAACATAGACTAGCCATCTTCCCATAGCAAACTTATAGTAGACGAGTGTGTGCGTAAACACATCTTAATAATATGTTCTCTCTATTCCTTCTCTCCTCATAGTCCGATAGGTCCGCAATCTTTAACTACCGGAGACATATCACAACAACGGTTTGTAATTTTTGAGGCACATTTCCTGACTTCGGCCCACTGACTGACTTCTTGACAGGAAAAAAACCAAAAACTGATTTTGACCCGACAATGGATTCGATTCAGGGACCACATGATTAGTAGTCTCGTTTCCAACCACTAGACTAAAGACGCGGTTAAAGTTATACTAACAGTAAGACTGCAATTGTCAAACGCGGCAAATACTCCATACAAAAAGTATACTTTAGTATTTGGATACCACATTGTAATAATATTTTCTTTAGTATCCTCACAAATATATATTATTCCTTTATAATTATTATATAGAAATTAGAAATTACACACTCATTATAGTACATCTTTGTCTTTTAATCACCTATTTACTTTGAATATGGAGTATTCAAACATTCGCATTAAATCGTAAAAATAATGTCATTGTCGTTACATTGACAAAAATTACTAAAATCCTATTATTATTTCTGTAATATAAATCAAGTCAAAGAAAATTACCTCTTTGGATTCTAGCTGTGCTTCGGCAGCTTCGAGTTCTTTCTTAGCGGCTTGATACTTGCCTTGCATGACGGCTAGATTAGCCTTTAGCGGCAACACGTCTTTGTTCACCGCATAAAACTGTGCCATTGCTATGGTCCACGATATTAACCCCGCTACATTACCGCATGCAATTTTAGCGGCTTCAAAAGTATATTGACTGTAATATTATATCAAAAATAATGTGAACAAGTAATGTAGCCAGTATATTATTTTGTACATTGTCAAAAGCTTTAAATGTAACATAAAGACTATTGTTTACAATACCTAGACAGATTTTGATTAGTTTCCCAATAATAAATAATATAATTATATTTTATTTATAATAAATTATATATAAATTGAAATAGACATCGTAATTTTAGAAAATTTCAATACTATCTTAACCATATATTTTTAAATATATGGTAAATAATAGGTCTTTACCTATGAAATTTCAGAACTGGCCACTTCAAATCAAAATAATTTTTATAATAATTTTGTTTGGCTAATAATTCTTATTTCAAGTTAATTTTATTTTGGTTAGCGTTATGTTTTCATCATATTTAAATCTATTTCGCCATCATGGATACGTTAAAGATTCAAATAATTATGGAATATGAGTACCGTCGTGGAAGCAAGGCGACACAAGCGGCACGCAACATCAATGACCTTTACAGAGCCAATACTACAAACGATACGTTACGTTATTGCTTTTACTACTACTCGCTTAATGTCAACACTTACGGCACGGTCTCCGTAGGACCGTATGGAGCCAACTAAAAAACAGCGTCGCTATCCCGCGGCTTATACTGAGGCGGTCTCTTCCGCGCCGCTTCATCTGTTTCGATTATTAAGTCATGAATTGTTGTTATATCCTCTATTTTTTTTTGTTTATTAATTTTCTTGAGTTTTTATTTCTTTTATTTCATTCTTATTCGTCTTAATTTTGTTTATTAATTTGTGATTGTAATCTGAAGTGTCGGAATAAATGTCTTTATGTCCTTATTGGTTTGACCGCTTTCGTTCTGAAAATTTCATCCTGAAAAACCCCGTGGTTTTCCGAAAACTTTGGTCAAAAATGACAAATTAAAGGCTATTATGAAAGCTAATGATACTCGATCTACGGCTGAATTAGCAGCAGCTTCCGACGTTAGCATCAAAACCATATTTGTTAAATATATATTTGCGTTAAATTGGCAAGGTAAAATAGCTTGACAAGAGGGTGCCCTATGAACTCAATGATCGCCAGTGCTAAGTACGCGTCGAGAGAGTCTATTGCCGGTGCGATTCATCACAGCTTCTTACCAAACGGGATGAGCATTACTGCCAAATTTACTGTGAATAACTGAAAACAATTATGGAGAAGCTCGCACGTCTTCAACCAGCCTTGATCAATCGCCCGTCCTCGCCGCTCCTGCACGACAACGCGCGACCTCACACTGCACAATAGATGTTCTCCAAGTAACAAGAGCTGGAGTTGGAAGCTCTCCATCTTCCGCCGTACTCACCAGACCTTGCGCCTACAGATTTCTACTTTTTCCAGAATTTGGATAACTTGTTTGCGGGAAAAAATTCAATACCCGAGAGGCTGTACAAAATGTCTTTGAAGAATTTCTTGCCTCCTGTACAGCTGATTTCTACAAGAAAGGCATCAATAAACTGCCACTGTGTTTGCAAAGATGCTTTAATTGCATGGGTGATTACTTTGATTAAAATAAATAATAAATATAGAAGAAACTACGGTAACTTGTTTCATAAAAACGACAATTTCGTAGATAAAGACCTAATGTTTTAAAATGAAACCTTCATGCTATAAAACCTAAAAATTATTAAGACAATAAACGCAATCAATACAAAAAAAAACACATGGAACAGAAATTTTACCTATAATTGAAGTACGGCTGTAACAAGTCAACCATTTCCGCGTTAATTTCATCCTTTGGATAATTTTTAAGATTATTCAAGAATCTTGCATCAGCCATAATCTGATTGGAAAAAATAAATAAATTGGTTTTCAATTTTTATCAAAAAGTATTAATAAACAACAAAAAGTAAAATGTTACCTTCAAAGACTCGCCCCAAGAAGCAAATAAAAACTGTCTATCGGGATCAGGCTTAATAGGATCAATGCGTTTTCTGAAGAGAATAATTACAGCGTCCATAATAAGAGTAATCAGGAATGGCGGTTTGCCTAATTTTCGTACCGTTGCAATATCAGCAGCATTTATAGTCTGTTAAAACAAAATCATAATTATTAATTGTAACATTTTAGCAAGGGATTATGGAAAAAGTATGTTTATTCAGTTATCATTATCTTCGCTAGCACTATAACACGTATAACTTTGCAAGTCTTGACCCGGTCTCCATACATATCTTTCAATAATTGTCCATGCTAACTAATATAGCATCTGTGTCTGCGCCATTCAACAAATGAATCCACGCACGCATGCCCATGCATGATTATATGCAATGTAACCAGCCGATCTACTTGTTTAGTTTGGCATACATGTGGCTTTGTGTATGTAAAGTAATATATAGCTTTTGGTTTTCTACCTACCTATATTGTCTTCCTTTAGATAACTCCAATATTTTGTCGAACATCGTCTTTTTTCTACTGAGTCAATGGCTCATTTGCACAGGTTTTAATAGTGTTAACAAATTTATACTTATATTAGGCTTTTGAACAAAAATATCATTAACACTTGTTTGCATGTTTGTAATGCAATTATATATATATATAATAAAATACATTACCAATAATGCAGCTTCAGCTGCATCCAGAGCGGGTTTCGCAGCTGCTAATTTGTCTTCAGCTACTGCCGTTTCTGCAGCAATCACATTGACCAGCTCGACAGCACGTTCCTTTACAGCCAATACTTCTCCCTTTACTACTTCAGCAGCTGCCGCTGACTCAGCCACGGCTTCCAAAACCTTTGAAATTTTATTTTATTAAAATTATTTATCACAAGTTCGATTCTAACATTGAACCAGAATTTGTATAGTCAACTCCTTATGTTACTAGTATGGAAGTAATGTTTTGGTTTTAAAACCAAAACTAAAATAACACCTTAAGCAAAATAGGAATAACATAGACATTATTCTTGTTAGTTTGAACATATTTAAATGAATATACCGTTTATAGAAAAATGATAATGACAAAATAATAGAAGAATGGTATTTATTTCAATCAAAACAAACACGTATCTACCTCTTCTGCTTTAGCACTAGCTTCCTTTATTTCAAGTTCTTTTAGTTCCAGTTCTTTTTTCAAAATATCCACACTTGCTGCAGCTTCAACCAACTTGTCCAAACCGGTAGTCATTCTGTATTTATTATAAAAAATTGCATACAACATTCACTGGCTATTTAATTAATTATATATATTATTTAATTATTTTATATATTCGTAAAATTTTAAATCATAAACGGAAGTCCGTCTAGAGATCTGGAGACTAAATAACTTTCTAATTTGGAAAAAACTTAGAACTAATAATCGACAATTAAGAGCTGGTGATGATAGAAAGGATTTTTAGTGATAGAACCAAGCTGCACCTGTTTTGTTGTGACCGCATCACAAAGAGGTTGGCTCGAACGTTGGGAAATATAACAAAAATTACGTGAAACAGCAGTTAAGTGCTGGTGTGTTACCAATGGCAAGTGTAGAAACTAAAGTCCCTATTCATTTGTAATAGGACATACCATTTTCAATTTCAGGAGAGATTATTATTACCTTCATTCACATCTACATTTTGATTCTTAGTCTAGTATAGATTTAGGTGGTTTCTGGGTCATAGGGGACACATTCACTTACCATTTTTGAACGATGTGCTCGTTTGTTACTGTTAATTCTATAAAAAGGTAATGATGATAATGGCGACGTAGGTTAACATTCTTCATATTTTAAACATCAAATAATTTTATTCAATAGATTGCCCCATAGGGGAATACCATTCGTATTTTAATTTCCCTTTGTCTCCTGCTATGACACTCACGGGATATGTGGGGTGGATAAATATAGTGTATCAAAAAGTGTATAACCTTTTTGCCATTTCTGCAATATTAGTATGTTTTTCCTTGTATAAAACCTTGTATCCTTCCAAGAAAGACAAATAAGACTTCGGGGTGACATGGGTCTGCCTTCTAAATCTTTCGTAGTACGTTGAACATGCTTCAGCAACATTGTCTTGAACCATGCCAATTACTTCGATCAACTGATTTTTAGTTTCCGCTGAGCAGACAACCTATTAAATTAAAGCAATAGATTTAATATCTTTAGGGTGTCTGATGTGCCCTCTTTTCGTGACCCACGGTCACGAAGCGAAGATATGCTTTGCGCTACAAGGCACTCGAAATGTCAATTTAAAAATAAATCGAATAAAACACGATAAATTCCATAAAACTACTTGGTAGACTACACATCAGATTATCAATCCGATTTTAGATACCTTGATGATCCGATGGAAGCTAAAGCCGATTTTGTTTACATCCCGGAGATAATCTCATAGTGCGTGCGAAAAACAAAACAGACAAAATTTTTGGTTAAGTATACCTTGATAGCAAACAAATATATAATATGAAAACAGCTCTATACTAAACATTTTGCTACTTGAGCTTTAGAACTTTTTCTCGGACCCAACACTCGACAATTGGAAACGGCCTTTTATGCCAGATCAAAGTTAGCAATCCGAAAATCAATATTATAAAGATAATAAAATTTACCTCGACTTTAGCTCGTATTCAAAACAGAACAGTGCCCATTGAAAAAACGGATCAACTGCTCCGAAAGTTATTAAAAATCAATACATCAAAATATTCAAACATACCTCGAAGTCAGCTAGATAATGTTGAGCAACTTCTATCAGTGCCTCCTTTGGCCACTTTTGAAACCAATCCATTGTACATCCGGAAATAAGTCCAGGGAACTTCAAGGCTCTACTACGGAATTTTTCACCTACCTATAAGTAAATTTAAAATGAAATAACAAATCATGACTATTAACAACAGCAATAAATGTATATTTATTACCGGGGAAAAGCATAAAACGACATGCAAATTAGCTCTGGATCGCATTATAAAGTATTCATATAACACATCTGGAATGGGAACCCTTCTTGGTGCAAACTTTTTCATTATAGGTGTCAGTTGGTTGAAAATTTCATCTGAAACATATTTTTATATTATTTTAGAACTTGTAGACTAATACATGTATATTGTGTTGTAATTTCTAGCTTAGTAATAAGCACAAGCTTCCGAATACTGACAATATCTATCAACTGCTTATATATTCTGTATTTTTGAATTTATAAATTACATAGAAAACACAATATATTAAATTAAGGCTTAAATTAAGCTGAGGAGGCCCTAAAGGCTGATGTTATGGAATGGAAAGTGGAGTTCAGCAAAGGATACAGACAGGCAGTATGTAGAAGCATGGCCTCTCCACACAGAATGGTTCGATGACATATTACCCCCCGTAACGACACCATATTTTGCCAGGTTATCTGTGTCGGCTTTCACCTAGAGAAAAATAGTAATTTATATTTTTATAAATTTCCTCCACTACTCGCAATAATAATCTGATCATCCAAGATCTACTTCACAAGATGAAGAATCCTGGCTAGGTTGTATCTACGCAAATACTCGGGCTACTAACAATCGGTGATTTGCCTAAGCAATGGGCCGAGATCATCTTCGTTACCTCCATTGAGATGTCTTCTCATTTTTCTTTTTACCAGCCCGTAATACTCCATTTGTGGTCATAGGCATACCCTATTGTTGGAAGGATCGGTTATAATCGCCATATAAGTTGGAGGTACTGCTTCTCATCGATAATTATTTTACGACGTCCAAAGGACGAAATCGGATGACCGATGCGCTGATGGCTCTTCAATATTGTAATCATAGGATTTATCCCTAAAAATTTTTGATGTTAATAAATTGTTCTACATTCCACGGTTAATAACATATGATCTCCTCTGCAAGTAATTAAAGAGGCTGAAAACCTCGCTATAGTGCACAGAAGGCGTTTAAAAATTACATCCACTATGCTCCTGCAGCATGTACCGCCTCATCAGCGACAATCTTAGACGATGCCTCCTGTGAAACGCTATGATGGTGCGAGCCTTTCTGTTTATGGCGTCTACTTTTGTTTGATTCTACCAGACTATGCTAAATTAAAATAAAAGAAGATAATGTAATCGTTGTACAGGGGTTTTCATCAGGAGCGCTCGAACTTTTAAATGAATGCAACCTGTGTAATAGATATTACCACAATTTTTATTTTATTTTAAAGAACATTCGATGGCATTATGTATAAAATATAATATATGATCAAACGAACTTCTCCAAGTGAAGTTCGATCAGTATTATATGAATCGCTTCATTCGAGGATATAATATTAACAACGTAGTTTCCTTATTCTACAAGGCTAAGTCGCACCTTTAAAGATTTTTACTCTACCCACATCAAAAACAATTGCCCCCCTCCCACCAACGTCTCTCGCCGTCCGAGCGTACAGCCTCATTCTTTTAGAGATATTATTCTAAGCAAAACTTTTTGTGGGTTATGGGTGGGAGGGAAATTATATCTTCGAATGAAGCGATTCATATATATAATACTGATCGAACTTCACTTGGAGAAGTTCGTTTGATCATATATTATATTTCATCGCTTCATTCTTCAGATATAATATTAACAACGTAGATGTTTAGAGCTTAAAGTTTTGCTTATTGGGTTACTTATGTGTACCTTGAACTTTAAAAGAAAAATCATAAAAAATCAAATATCATTTATTAGTTCAATCTTAACAAAATAACATACACTTAACGTAACATAACTTTTCTATCTTATTTAATAAATTCAAATTTAATTATTTAGGAGGACAGTTCTCGCAAACTTATTTTCGTCAATAATTTGGCGATGATAAAATTTTGCAAAGGTCTCTGATGCTGACGACCAACCGGCTGTTTTTCTGATCGTATCTAGAGAGATTCCAGCGGACCTAGCAGCCGAGGTGACAGCATGGCGCGTGCTGTGTGCACTATACACAGTCACGTCCACGCCGCTCTCCGCTAATACGTTCTTAATCCACCTACTGATAGATTGAGCAGTGGCCGCCTTGTGTGGCCGCCTGTAGGTTAGCAATAAGTTCCGACAACCTGCGGGTCTTATTTTTTTTGTAATCTCTAAGTAATCTTTTATTGCCGTGGCTGGACAAATATTTTTATTTTCAATAAAATAAGGTAAAATTAAAAGGGGTTGCTGACGTCCCGCTGCAGACGTTTTAATTATATCAGTGATGCTGATTCTAACATCTGAAGAACATATCTTAATATTGTCTATCTTTATTAAAGATAATGTTTGAGCTCGGTGTGCTGTGCATAATGCCATTAATACTGCTAATTTTTTTGTGAGTTTTTCAATTGAAAGTGTATCATTGGGAACCCAACCTCCAATATGATTTAAGACAATTTTTTGGGTCCCAAGTACCAGTATATTTTGGAAGGGCTGGTCTTAACTTGAATGCGCCCTTTAAGAATCTTTTTTATTTGGTCTTTAGAACCTACACAGTCTCCCAGAAGTAATGATAAAGCCGACCTGTGGTTATTGAGTGAACCGTAAGAAGCCCCATTATTAAATTGCTCCGATAAAAATAGCAAAATTGACGGTATAGAATTTGCGTAAGGATCTAAATTATTTTTATGACAAAATTGCCACCACAACTTATACGAGACGCTATACTGAAGTATTGTATTCTTTGAAAGGGATGCCATCATCACGTGAAGAGCGGGTGATGGTGTACCTCTTCTTATAAATGCGACCCTGAGAGCCTCGCTGCACCCAGGGTAAGTTGTTTGTGCAGGTGATGCGGAGTTCTGGAAGAAGACCGTAAGAGATCTCTGTGAGGTTTGAAGAACATTATATCTGATCTGAGTAAGTTGTTTAACATTGGGTACCAAGGCTGGGATGGCCAATAAGGAAAGACTAAAATACCTTCGGCTTTATCGCTTATGATTTTTTCCAGACATTTCATTATTAAAGAAAAAGGTGGAAACGCATAGAAATATTTGTATCTCCAATCAATAGTGAAAGCATCTACTAATAGGGCATCTGGATCCGGTCTCCAAGACACATAGTTCGTGCATTTTGCATTGGCGCGAGAAGCGAAAAGATCTATTTCTGGTTCCCCCAATTTTTGTATGATCTCTTTATAAGCGTTATCACATAGCTCCCATTCTGTATCTAGGTTTAGTTTCCTTGATTCTTGGTCTGCTTCTACATTTTCTTTACTATTTATATAAGATGCGTGTAGCCAAATGTTTCGCTTCTCGCACCATTGCCATATTGATCGAGATAACTCATTCAAATGGGGGAATTGGATTCCTCCCATTCGATTGATATAACTTATAGCTGTTGTATTATCTACGCGCAATAAAATATTACAATCCAACTTATCCCTGACAAAACATTTAATACCTAGAAATATGGCTAGTAACTCTAGGTAATTGATATGATAGTTGAGTTCATTGTATTTCCATCCTCCGCCAACCCGAATATTATTACAACAAGCACCCCAACCTGTCAGGCACGCGTCTGAAAATATCTCATAATTAAATTTAGTTAAACGAAACGAATTTTTGGTTAAAAATACATTTTTTTTCCACCATTGCAAATCTGGTAAGATATCTTTTGAAAGTTGAATATTTTTATTATACGTCTTATATTTTTGAAGCGCAAGGTATTTTTGTCTTTCTAGTCGTTTAGTGTACAACCAGCCATATTTTACCGCAGGACAAGCGGCCGTGAGAACACCTATCAAATGAGCGAAATCTCTGATCGAACAACTAGTTAAGACAGAGAACCTTTGTACTAAGTGAGCTATATGATTTTGTTTATCTATGGGTAGGCTTATAGAAAGTTCCGTGGAATCAAAAATAAATCCCAAATATTTGCGAGATATATTCGGGACTAGACAGGACTTATTATAATTAATAACAAAACCTAAGCATTGTAAAAGATGCATAGTCGCGTTAACATTGTCTAAACATTCATTGTAGTCTTTACCTATACAAAGAATGTCGTCAAGATATATGACAGACTTATATCCCCTGCTTCTTAAGTTGGTTATTACCTCTTTCATTATCTTACTAAATGTTCTAGGAGCAACGGACAGACCATACGGCATAGCATTGAACTCATATAGGGTTTTAACTAAATTTTCATCCTCAAATTCAAATCTTAAAAATTTGCGATGACTCGACTTAATAGACACTAGTAAGTAAGCCTCCCGTAGGTCAATGGTAGCTATGTAACCATTACGAGGTATTAACTTTGAGGCCGTTCTGTAATCCTCCATTTTAAAGTGAGATTTTGTAATGAACTTATTAAGAGACTTTAAATTCAGAATAAATCTTTTGTCTCCGTTAGGTTTTGGTGCTAAGAAAACTGAGGATATGAACTGATTCTTTGATGGATGACACTTTGATATTGCTCCTAAGTGTAATAAATTACTAATAGCTACAGAGATGTATTGTTTATCTTTTGGTGACAAAGTTGAATGAGGTAATCTACACTGAGTAATATGTCTATTAAATGGTATGGTAAATCCATCCCGGATCCATCTTAAAATAATTTTATTTTTTGTTAATTTAAGCCAACAGTCATAAAAATATTGTAATCTTCCCGAATGTACCTGTTTTACTGCTGAACTGGAGCACGGTGAGATTTGTTGTTGCTCCAAGACCTCGTTTGTGGATACACCTGAGGGGGTAGATCCCTGCGGATCCCCGATGACAACTTCCTTGGCCCTCCCCGCCCCCCCCTTGTTCTGCGAGCGAGCAGGGCCTCTCCAGTTTTCCTGGTAACGATTGTTTCTTGAAGACGAACTTGTTTTTATCTGTGACGTGGAAGGTTTTGGATCTGTTTTCCTAATCTGAAGACCTTGTTTTTCGATGGCTTTTGACGCCTTAATCTTTTCAGGAAGCTCATTGCCAAAAAGGGTTTCATCTCTTTCACTCTCATGAATGACTTTAAAAAAAGACTTGTCTAATCCGGGTGTCACCAATTTAATTCTGGTTTGGGTCTCAGAGTGATGGAGGTCGGATAATATACGGCAAGCATCAGATAAAATTTTTATCGCCTGAACTTTATTGTCTCCGATGAGAAGTAAAGACATAGCTCTATTAACAGCAGTAATACCTATACCCAGTATTTGCTGATCGACCTCTATTTTCTTGTCCCTATTTCGGGCTGCGTCGGTAAGTGCCGCTGCAATCTCGGGATTCAGCGTAGGTGCTCTCAAAAGCTTGCAGTTTTCGGGAATTAAATATTCTTTTAACAAGTTTTGTCTTGTTTCCTTAGTAAGACCCTTACGTAGAAGAGGAAGCCAACGGTGGGCAAGATCCTGGTGAATATTTTCACCGTATATTTTCTCATCAATTTCCGTATCACCCAAAGCTGACAATAGTTCAGGTTCTAATGTAGGAATTGTTTCTTCCGATTTTTCTTCAATTGTCAAAAGAGGATGCTCCTCGGAGGGAATGGATGCTACCATGGTGTCATCATTTACGACCTTATTACTATCCTCAGCTTCGTTATCTACATCAAGAAATGAAATATATATATTTCGGAGGTAGATAACAAAAAATTTTATTGATAAGAATCTAAATGAACAACTTAAAACCTAAAACTGACGCTTTAATATATTTGTACATGAGTATTTAAGTTTATATAACCTTCGTGCTAACTCTCGGCTAGCCCCCCCGGTTAGAATACCTTCGTACTGACTCTCGGCCAGTCCCCGGGTAAATTTGTATTCGTGTTAATTCACGATCAACGCTAAGGTTTTTTGTCTTAAATTATATTGTTAATGATCACTCAGGCACTAGAATTGAATTACGTAACTGTAACACTTACCAAAATTTTCTTCGGCCTCAGAAGAATCGGAGTAAACAATGACTCGTTTATGTCGCTTTCGTTCTTGTTCTTCTAGTTTTTTGATTTTCTTTTGATAATAACCAATTTTATCTGCAGCACTGCGTTTCGACATTGTACTGTTCTAAGATAATTAAGTAAGGTGTGCGCTCTGCCTCGCACGAAAAAGGAATGAGGCTGTACGCTCGGACGGCGAGAGACGTTGGTGGGAGGGGGCAATTGTTTTTGATGTGGGTAGAGTAAAAATCTTTAAAGGTGCGACTTAGCCTTGTAGAATAAGGAAACTACGTTGTTAATATTATATCTGAAGAATGAAGCGATGAAATATAATTCCAGCCAAATGGCCGCCGTGACTCAACTGTAGGTGGTGTTTCCTGGTGAACCAATTTTGGACATATTCGCATAAATAAGGCCCAATTTCATGAAGGATGCGACTTATGTAGACCTTCAGGGTGACAATTGTCTGTGGTTTATCCCACATAGACCAGAAATTTCACATAACCCCACAGAAAGCAGTCGGGCGGTATTAAGTCACACGTTCTCGGTGGCCAGTTGATGTTGCCATCACGCGAGATGACAAAGCTCTCGAAATTATCATCCAATAAATTCAATGTTTCCCATGTAGTATGGGAAGTGGCGTCGTCCTGTTGGAACCTCATATTTGTGTGATTCATACCATCTATCCTAGGGCACAAAAAATTGTTATCATTGTCCGATATCCGCCATTGAAATTGAGCTCGGTTTCTTGCGCATCTTCAAAGCAATAAGGGTCGATGATATCACCGGACCAAAATTAACATCAAATATAGACTTTATCGAAGTGATGAATCTCCCGTGGGCTTTCGTCGTTCCAAATCTGACAATTTCGTTTGTTAAAAAAGTCACTCAACCAGAAATGAAACTCATCACTGAAGATGATTTTTTTACCGAAAGCAGGGTCAGCCGCCACATACTCTAAAGCCCAATCATCGAATACACGACGCTGTCTGTAGTCGTTGAGTACTATAGACGAGAACCCAAGTCTCGACACAAAATACGCCAAGTTGATGTCGCAGAAAGACCCAGCTCTTGCGCACGACAGGAAATGGACTGTCTGGTGTTTACTCGCACAATATCCCGAACAGCAACAATATTCTCCAACGATCTTGCGTTTCTTTGACGTACATGCACTGCTTCATCGGTCACCGACCCGGTTATCTGAAATTTATTCATTAAACGACGGATTGCGGACTCTGCGGAATGGCCATGAATGCCATAAATTGGACGCAACGCACTAACGTTAGGCGAACAGACCACTGATTTTGATAATAAATTTTAACAATTTCAACGCATTGTTGAGCTTGTAGCGTTAATGGTGATATATCAAGACTATACAATTACGTTGTCTTTCAAATTTGACGCTGTAAATTTCGATCGTCCCTATTGAGTATTTTTATTATTATACTGGCTATCTAATTTACCTTAGGAAAAATAGGGTGTGAATCTTTGTATTTGCTCCATGGTGTGAATTGAAACATATCTATGCTATAATATCTATACTTCTTCATGCATTAATTTATTTACCTACCACGCCTTTACTCTCCCGTTAAAAAAATCATCCTTTATGTACCCTTAACTAAAATCATGTTCTTTGAAAAAAAGTAATTAAACGACAATAATTAAATGCTTAACATATTTTTTTTTATTTTGTCTTACAAAACATTATATTACATAAATTTCACAAGGACAAATATACAGACCCGGAACAATTACTTGTAGGCCATACAACTTACCTGTTCCGTGCGGGATTCGAAACCGCGGCCTTTAGTAAAAATATAACCACAGTATTTCGACAAGTATAAACATTTCATCACGACGACCTATAATTTTTATAAACTCGAAAATTGAACTGAGCACGGTTTTTACATCAGAAGGTAATAAAAAAATACATTATGAGTTTAATATTTTGCTATAGATAGATTTCGAATTATTAAAAATATGTACTCTATTACTTTATTATTTAATTTAACTTTAAACTTTTTCTTCTCACTGACTAAACAAAAGTCAATATTTAAAGCCAGCTGAGAGTTGTAGCCTAATGCTAAATATCCTAAACTTATTCCTCACGAATCTGGCTGTAATATACAAATATAAAAATATTTTTCAAATCGGACTGGTAGTTCCAAAGATTACAAACAAAAAAACTTCCGCCTTATTATACTAGTATAGATTCTACACTTCCCTCTCAGTGTTAAAGTTCAATGCTGGAGAACATGATAACGGCAAATTCTCACTTTGTAGTGAGAATTTGGTACGCATATTAGTGTTAGCAGTACCGAATGTTTCGCAGACTTCATGCTGCGCAAGTGATGTAACGGCCAAGTAGTAGCGGTGTAAAAATATCCACTACTCCACATAGTCCCGTGGCTGTCGTAAGAGGTGTCAGAGGAAAACAAACCTGAGATGAGCAGCAGCGTCTACCTAATAACAATTTAAAAAAATACGGTTGACCCTCCAGGTACTTCCCTGGAACTTCCCGCTTATTTTCTAGTCTATGTAATTTTTGTTGTTTTTTTTTTTTGGATTTTATTCTCTAAAATTTTTTTTAAACGACTCGACCGATTGACTTGAAAATCTCAGCTCGAAGTCTCAATGAATACTTTCGAAGCCGTGTTGCCCATCTCGATCGTTTAATTCGTTCTAAAGTTATCGTACGACATAACTTTACCTACATACATAAGGGTGACAAGCGAGCACACAGTCCACCTGATGGTAAGTGGTTGCTGTGGCCAATAGACATCTACATCTATCCTCGTTTGCAAATCAAAATGCAGATGCGTTGTCAACCATGAGGACTAAGATGGAATGCCTCTTTTCCAGTAAAAAGGGTATCCGGTTCTCTACATTCATCATACGAAACACAGCAGCATTAAGCTGCTCTTTTACGCTGGTATTCTTGTGTGTGTGTGTGTATGCTGTTTATTTTGTCGGAAGCAAAGAAATCTTCCGGCGGCGGCTTCCCTTTGTGAACTTTCATTAGAACCGCATGACGAATTTAGCTAATGGAGATATAAATTACTTAACAAAATTGAGCAGAATCTTACCCATTTCATCTTTATTAAAGAGATTAGCGATTTCGCCGGAACTGAGAATATTGTTAAGAAACTCCAGGAACTGCTCGTCTTTAATATCATTATCGGTAAATATAAATGTAATGCCTAGACCTTGTAATCCCGCTACACGGTACAAAACTTTAATGTCGTCCATAAAGTTGTTGACATTATATGCCCTGAAAATTTTAACAATTATTTTAGATTTGATCTTATAAAGACTTCTTCATATCTAATAAATCTGCATATTTTTATTATTCATTGTACATCAATATACAGAAAAAAGCAAAGTACAATTTAAAGTTTATTATCTACTACAGGCGATCTTATTACTCTGAAAGTAAACTCATCTATAGACAACTTTTGCGTTGAGGACTGATGCTAACAATGGTTAAAGTAGAGGCACGTGTACGGAAAAATAATATTTAAATGTAATTTAACATATGAATATAGATATCAATTAGAGTATAGAAAAGAAAAGAATACGAAAAAGTAAAGTAATTTTAATTGCAATTATGTAATTGTATTCTCAGTAATAAATAAAAAGTTAAAATTTACCTCGTTAGCGTGATCTGATAAAATCTGAAATTTGCTATAAATGAAGCTAATTTAGTCAAGCTCTGTTTACCGGAACCACCGACACCAACAAGCAAAGCATTTCCTCTGTAATAAAACAAATTAGTTTCAAAAATTTCTGATACGCTATAAAGTCGGACAAATTTTTTTTCTTATTTGTGTGTTAGTAAACCGGTACAATTATCAGATTTCAATTCAGTATCAAAAAATACTTATACTTATTTATTTCCTCAGATGAAGTAAAAAAGGTAGATATCGCACCTAGAACAAGAAACTGTAACCAATTTTATAACTTTGTGTGAGTCAGAGAAGTGTTGCCACTTTTTTTTAAAAGTCCCTGAAAATCGAGATACAATACTACAACTATAAGAGTAATATGCGATGCGAAAGTAATCTGTCGGTTTTAATAAATTTCAACAATTTGACTATTCAAAAAAAGATGAAGCACGTAGGAGGCGTCTGTAGATCATTTAAAATTCTTCGTGATAGATTGTCCAGTGAGCACGTAAGCATCGATAAAATATATAACATATGTAATATAAAACATGTTGATTATAAAAAATAACTTAATACTCAACAAAAACTAGTTGGAATAAAAAATAAATTTCCATGGAATTAAACATATACTTTTTTAAATGAAACAAAAGTACATTTTAGTAAATGTAAAATAGAATTAACTCCAGCCGGGGGCACAAAGGAATTTTCTAATTTGTACCCCGGGTAGGGGAGATATGAAGTATCAGCCGGAGAGGACACCTGAGTCTCGGTTCAAAAGAACAAGGCCGGCTTCGCCGTCTCCAGATGATAGTGGATAGCATTAAGATTGGAATAAAGTGACAGGGGTCGCCTTGGTCTTATTGCTCCGTTGCCCTTAGCAGTTTTAGTCGCGAGCAGAATTCTCCCTCCCCCTCCCCCAGAATACGCGGAGCAGCCTAAGCACCCACACTCAGGAAGAGTAAAGTAGCTTGGTCGTGGATGCTCAGCGAGAGATTCTACGTCACCAGGAGTGAGGGTACCCTCTTGGAGTAGTTTTTATTTGATTCCGCTACGAAGTAAAGGGGGAGGAGGAATTGGGCCTCCAGCCCAAGCGAAACGCAAAGGTAAACCTCTACTTCACGCAGGTATTCTGTGAAGTCGTGGTTCCGGTTCAAGCTGGCCCATCCATGCGACTTCAATAGCCGCTGCGTGGCTCTACCACTGTCAAGTCAAGAGGATGGCTGCCATTTTGGTTCATTTCAGCTTAGTCTTATAGCAGCTACCCTTCATTTTTTTATAGGATAGGATGACGACAAACGAGCACACAGTCCACCTAGTGGTTGCCGTGTCCCATAGACATCTATATACTATATCCTCGATTACGAATCAAAATTCAGATGCGTTGTCACCGGTGAGGACTAAGATGGAATGCCTCGTTTCAAGTAAAAAGGGTCTCCGGTTCTCTACACTCACCATACGAAACAGCAGCATTAAACTATTATTTTACGCTGATATTCTGTGAGGGCGTGGTCCTTCCCAGGTCGAGCCGACCCATTCGTGCTATAACTATACTTCTAATAGGATAACTGCAGTATGGCTCTACCGCCGCGCTGTATCTACCTTTTATTACTTCATCTGAGTTTATTTCAATATTATTAAAAAAATTAACAAATAAGAAACACTTACCTAGGAGTATTTATGATTCGGGATATAATAAACAAATGCACCATACAGTCATGGAAAAAGACTAAATCTAAACGCGTTCCTCTAATTTGTTCATTAAATTGTTCTTGGAACTGTACTAGTTTTGACAATACAAATTCCCACCTGAAAAAACCCACTTTTACCAATATTTAAAAACCTACAATAATAAATTAATTTATCTAATTTTAAAGACTATATTCAGACCTATGGCATTTTAGGTAATCAACAGATAACATACTCGTAATATAACAACAAAAAGTATGAAATGAATGAACTCTTTATTTTTTAAATAAGAAATTAAAACTTCATTTGAGTCAATAGGTTTTTAATTTACTACCGTTTCAAAACGAGGTTCCTCTATCCGCTAAAAAAAGCAGTGAAAGAAACTCCACAGCTTTTTGATCACTTGTCAAAGTTCAGTAATACAATATTCTTAATTAACAATAATAAAGAATACTCGTAATTAAATCATATTCTAGAATCAAAATTACACCAAAAGTAACAGGTAATATTAAAGTTGTTATGTTGCGACCCCAAGTTCCCGCAAGCTGCACCTGTTAACAAGTATAACGCATTTTGGTGCCGTATAAAATAATTTAATAAAGCTAAATGTTTAGTTCTCACGAAGGTATCTCTTCATATATTTTAGGAGCTTCAATACTGAAATCCTCGTCCTCATCGCCTGTGGGATCAATGGGCTCTCTAAGGAAGTTGACGAAAAATGTTTCTTCGGTTGGAAATTCGTTAACAACATCGGGTAATTCACGAGCTGCGGTCTTCCAAAAGTTGGCCACAAACCAATCCTTATCATCGAATGTGGTAAATCTGTACAAGAGACGTAATCATTATGTGGAAAGTATTTTAGTTTTTCGAACAATAAATATTACACAAAACACGAAAAAAAGGAATACTATGCTGCCATTTTACAAGGTAGAATTTACATTTATACATTTTAACATAAACACTCACGCCTGTCACCCAGAGGGGTAGGCAGAGACTACAGACTTCCATTTGGCACGATTCTGACACACCTCTCTCGCCTCCTTCACATCCATACACCTACGCATACATGCTCGTCGGTTAAGGACATTTTAATGACCATACATATCTGTTGTGCTCAGTTCAAAAATTGAACTAAAAATTTTTTTGCAACTGCGTAAATTTACATGTTCCCGTTATTATTATTGTATATAAATATATAATATAAACACTCACGCCTGTCACCCCGAGGGTTAAGCAAAGACTAGGGACTTCCATTTGGTATGATCCTCACACACCTCTCTCACCTCCTTTACATCCTCCTATATATCCATGCACACACGCTCGTCGGTTAAGGGTACTCCTAAACTGGCCTTTTTTTAATATTTCGCCAATTTGGTCTATAAATCTTCGTCTAGGGCGTCCCTTCCCGACTCTACCGTTCACATCTGCAATATATATTTGCTTTGCCACTCTTTCCTCGTTCATTCTTCCTACATTTCCAAACCACAGAGGCATTCCTTTCTTAGTCCTGGTCAAAACGTCATCTTGCAAACCACACTTTTCTCTTATCACACAATTTCTCACCCTGTCATTCAGATTCAGCTAAATAATAATATAATAATAATATAATAATATAATAATATAGATACCCCATAATAATAATAATAATATTCTCGCCATTAGTAAGCAAGAGAGTTGTGTTGGTATAGACAATGATAACATACTTTTACATTATAGAATAAATTTTTTTTGAGGTGGGCCTGTACTTCATAATGTTCAAAAATTACTCTTAAACTGACTTGACTTTAAAAAAAATTGTGGTAAAACTATATTTACAATATAAAACAGTAGTAGTATAATGTTTGCATATTGTATATCTCAATTTTTTACATTTTTACCTATCTGAAATAACCCTGACACATTCATGGAACCACAATTTCAGCACAGTTACTATACTTTGCAGTTCTTCTCTCTTGATATACAGTATGCCTTCCCAAATTCTTGATAAATCACGCAAATTAAACACGTAGTGGAATTTCGCTGGAGTCGGCAACATCTTAACCTGTAAACATTAAAGTCATTATTTTATTGCTACTGCTAGTTCAATCAGCAGATACTTGCAATTTACAAGTGTAAAATCATAATATCGAAATATTTAACCTTTGTTTGTTGCCAAATTATACGAGTCACAGGTACCAGCCTTGGCATAAACTCTACAATCTTTTTATCAAATCGGGTCTTACAGAAATAGCCCGCACTTATGGTTTCTGTATGAAAGATACAAAAAAATTAATGCTTTAATTAATAATAATTATTTTAATATTTAAAAAAATCCTAATAATGTCCAAAAATTACTTGCCGAAAATTCTATCCATAGAAATATTGCTAGGAAGAGTACAGTTAAAAATATTGAATTGTCTCTTCAAGCGAGGTGGAATATCATTGCGACCACCACCTACAAATTTAAAAAGTATGTTTAGTTTATTTCTTACTAAAAAAGCGGACATTTAAAATAACTTATATAATTTTGTTACCAGGATGTATCATAGCACCAAAGATTTGAATGTCCGCAATTATAGTGAAGTCTCCAGGTTTATCTAACGAATAAAATCCACCGTACTCCATCATTTGCCGAACTATTTCGTTAGTTACCTATTTAAATATAGCAAATCTTTAGTAAAAAAATCAAAAAGAAATCGTCACGGCTGCAAAAAGTTTGGTAATTGATATAAATATAGCTTTGTGTTATTAAATTGTGTCATTAATATTTGTTTGGTTATTTGTGATAAGCTCAGCAATCATGATTAAATAATTAATAGATTTCTAATTAGATATACTTGAGAACTTGCTTGGAAAGTAAGATTGCACCAATCCAGATGAACGCCTAAAAATAAACCACCAACATCGATAATACTAACTAGGTTTTGGGCCTCTCTTTCTGTCTATTTTAATACTTGTGTGGTTGAACCAAATTTAATTAACACCTATTGGTAGGTACGTTATAATATTTTTCTTTCTTAATCTTACACCCGAATACTGAAACGCAACTTAAATCTGTCACTTTATTAAAGGTCCCCTAAATTTGAGCATCTCTCAAATTTAACTGAAATACAGAAACATCACTCAAGTGATTTGAGGGTTTGATTAGCTGAGTAGCCCTCAAATGTTTACGTCATGGTAACTTTAATAAAAAACTTTGTTCTTCTTGACAATTTTACGATAATTGAATTTAAATACGTTTTATGCAACATCATCTGAAAATATTTAAATAATTTTATATTCGATTTGCTTTAAAATTATATTCAACAATAATCTCCTGACAATACTTTAATTTTAAATGTGATTTATGTGATTTTTTACAAATATTGTGGATGAAAAGTACATTTCAAAGTAAAAAATTATGTGAAAATCGCTCCGTCTATCGTCCTAGAACGAAACGAGAATCTTTTACTGACCTGTGCCGTGCTGTCAGTGTCAGTTCATTTGTAAACTACAAATTATCATTGTAATTTTATTATTCATATTTGACTACAAATTATCGTTTCAACTGATAATAAGAAGAGACGCGGATGCAATTACACAGTGTCTGAGAAAGACACTTTATTGGAATTGATAAAAAAGTAAGTAAATACTTAAATCGTCAATTGAAACAAACTACACTAAATAGAACGCCCTTTTTGACATTGTGAATAAAATATAAGAGTTGTTCATATTTCAACGTGTGTTACATATTTCAGATATCAACATATAATAGAAAATAAAGAGACGAATGCCCACATTATTTTGAACCATCCAGGGACTCGTTTTGGAGGAGTTCCGTGATAAACACATAGAAGAATTACATTCATAAAGATTGTGTAATGTTAAAATAACCCCTGAGAATGACTGATCACTTCCATGCTGTTTCTAAATGTTTTATTATTTTGGTGTACAAAACACTCATATATTTAAAGACTGTTATTATTAGTGATCATTTATCAGTAACTTGCTTGCCGAGCATCGTGATGTGACAGACAAGACAAATCCTCATGAAGGAGGCATGAAAAAGTTCAGCTGTGGGCTAAAAAAGCTTTTTAATTACTGTTTACCTACTAACCTTATAAAAATTAATGAGTTACCATATTTCAATGAATCTACACTGTGATACAGCAAACTTTTGACTGATCTTTGTTTTATTTGTTATTTTGTAAAAGATTGATATTAAAATAAAATGAAAATTAACCAGAAAAATATGTATTTATTAATGACGTCCTCACTATAAAGTTTTGATTTATTTCAAGGCTGGGTTGTACCATAACTTCTTCCTCTACGATAGCTAAAGGAATTTCGTCCTCAATTACATCATCCTGCCTTGAAATAGCAATATTGTGGAGTACTGCACATGCCACAATAATAGGTGGAATGTTGGTAGTTTTCAGTCCTAACCCATTGTGGAGACAGGGAAATCTTTTAAGAACACCAAATAGCCTTTCTATTGGATTTCTGGTTCTGATTTGTGAACGGTTATATGCTTCTTCAGCTTCTGTCCTTGCATTTAAAATTGGGGTTAACAGATAGGGGCGACATGGATAACCACCATCGCCCAGAAGTACCATAGGGGTAAAATCTCCTCGCTCTAGTTGGGCACATAATGGTGAGTCGTTAAAAATTGTACTGCCTGCCTGCTGCTGCCTGCAGGCATGCAAGCCTGGCCATCTTGCAATGATATTTCTTATACGCAATTTTGCATCACATACTACTTGCACATTCAAGGAGAAGTAGCCTTTTCTATTTCAGAAACTTTCAGGTTGAGCTCCCCCTGTAAAGACATTTAATAACAATGAGTGTCTTTAATTTTTTAATGATATGACAATGTACACGTAAAAATATAGCTCATGATAAGAATAGGTACGTACAGTCAATAGCACCAATCACTCCTGGAAATCCAGCAATCACATAAAAGTCATTTGCTACTTCTAAACATTCCTCAGCAGATGGCATACTTATATAACGATATCTCATACTTGCTATATGTTCTGTAACCCTATGCACGATTCGATGCACAGACGGTTGCTCAATATGGAATATGTCCCCTATAACTCGTTGATAACTGCCTGTAGCATAATACCGAAGTGTTATCAATATTTGATCCACGGACTGCAAAGATCTATTTCTTTTTGTCAAAGGTTTTATCTTGCTACCGAATACAGAATCCAAATGTAACACAGTTCCTTTTGAAACGCGGAACCGCGCACGAAATTCTTTGTCGTCATATTTATTGAAAGCGTCAAGCTTGATATCATTTCTTCGACTTCCTGAAGGCGTTTCGTTGTCCGAAAGAGAAGATAACGACGAAACAGACATATTTAGCACATAAAAAACACTTTTAATAGATTTGAGAGTCCTCGCTACCACACTTAATAATAACGAGTACTTAAATCAATTTGACGTTTGATTTGACAGCTTAAACGCGTTGAGTGATGTTTCAGTATACCAATTTTTAGTTGAGTAGGGTTTAAGCACAACTCAATTTGAGTCACACTTAAATTTAAGAGATGCTTAAAATTTAATTATGAGAATACGAATATAGAGTTTAGGAGCTACTCAAATGTTTGAGAAGCCGTTAAATATTTGAGGGACGTTTGAGTATTTCGGTCATTAGCTTACCTGGTCACCCCACTCGTTTACTACTGGCATATTGATATCGTCCACGAAGACTGTCATACTTCGGCCGCTAGGAGGTCCGTACGTCATACCCACACGTTTCTCTACATATGACTCGATTATTCTCTAAAATTAATTAATTAATTAATATACTATTGATTTTAAATCATCATCATTGTTAATAAACACCGTATGTAATTAATCAACTTTAGGTAACAAACACAGAAATTCGCCGCGTCAATTTCCTCACAATGTTGACTTCGAAAAAGAGCTCAAATAAAGGTAAAGTTACACATACTATATAGATACGTCCCATTGTTGGGCACAGCCCTCCTTTTACTTCTAAAAAGATTGTAAGGCAGTTAGTCCGCCGAGCTACACCATTGGGTGTACATACATGTTTTAGATGTCTTTTATGTTTAAGACGTGCAAATTTTTCATCATATTGCAGTTGATTGTGACAAATATCAAATTCACATATTTTATATAATAATGGTGACAAACGAGCCCACCGGATGGTAACTAGATTGCGTATCCCACAGCGTTCTACATCGATCCTCCCTTAGGAATCAAAATTTAGATGCATTACAACCCTTGATCCGTAGCCGTTACGGCCCGTTAAAGTTCACTGCTGGACATAACCATCACGCTATAGATTGCCTTATACGGCGGGTTGGCAAAAACCTGAGAGCACAAATATAGAATGACTCGTTACCAGTAAAAAGGGTATCCACTCCCACTTATTTGAACAATATTATTGTAAAATAATATTTTGATAATTTTTTCAAAATAATTAAAATAATTTTGTAAATTTTAATTTGTAATTTTATTATATTTTTTAATTTTGTAATTTTGTTTGTTTTTTTTGGGTATTGTAAGAGATTTAAGATTTTTTTATTTTTAAAGAAATTGTAAGAGACGACCAGGAAAGTGCTATGACTTCTGACAAATGGCGGCTAACCATTTTGCTTACGTCACAAGTAAAATGCCCACCGGTGATGGCAACCCCGTCAATGGTGTGCCATGACGGATGGCGCAGCCATCATCAATCCGCCTGCTGTATACTGGTTAAGTCAACCCTACTATAACAGGAGAGGCCTACATTTTAGCAGGGAGCTTAGATACGATAAAGAAAAGAAAAACAAGTTGCAGAGATTGATATGAAACTTCCTAGGTAGTACAAAACTACTTTTAACATTCTACAGAATACCAGCGTCAAATAGTAGCTTAATGCTGCTGTGTTTCATATGGTGAGTGTAGACAACCGGTGATCCTTTTTACTGTAAACGAGGCATTCCATCTTAGTCCTCACGGGTGAAAACGCATCTGCATTTTGATTCGTAATCGAGGATAGATGTAAATATCTATGGGCCACAGCAACCAATTACCATCAGGTGGACTGTGTGCTCGTTTTCATGGCATTATTTAATTATAATGTAGGTATTGAAAATGTGAACACATTTTTAATTATATTTATGTTTTAAACACAGTCAGAATTTTTTTTACTTCGCATCACTTGAAACGCGCATAAGTCATGCATTTTTAGTACAGATTCAACCAACCTGAAACATGTTAGGAGTGGTAGCAGACGAAAAATTTACAATTTTAAATAATTTTACTTCACTGTCATATTTCTGCATGTAACTTTTTAGCATGACAGTTTTGGCCGTTCCTTGTTCTCCAATGAGTAATACAGCTTTATTCTGCTTAGCAATAGTATCAATCAAGAACGAGATACACACGTTATCTATATTTGGGACAAGAATTGATGCATATTCTGGTACGCTGTCTGATGGGTAAATGTAATCCTCTACGCTTTCAGACCTGTAAAAAAATTAAACGATCAATATAATATAAACACATCAACAGAATCTAGGGATACCTTAAACCTAAATTATTTACGACTTCATAGTTTAAAATCATTTCAGTTTCCATAAAAAGTTTATATACAGATTGGAAACTCTTTTATTCTATTTTAAAACTTAAAACGTAAATAAAAAAGAACAAAACAAAAACCAAAATACGGCGGAAAAAATGTTAGTAATTCGTTAGATACGTCAAGGAAAACTTATATTGTTCTACTAATATTAATTAATTAAAAGGGATTAGATTGTTTTTCTTTTTTAATTTAACCTACCGTGTGAGTTTTAAGAGTCATGTCACGTCGGCATTTGAGTCGAGATGAGTTACGAGCTATGGGCATTTTAGAAAATGGTGCTATTCAACGCGTCGGTGCTGAGGCCCTACACACCAGCTAAAACATGATACCAAGGTTGTGGTCACGTTATCGCAGTACTGGAGATGTGGCTGAAGAATGGCGCACGGGTAGATATCATGTACTACGCAAAAACAGGATTGATTTCTCCAAATGACCGCCAGAAGACAACCCAATACCACAGCGATGCAATTACTACAAAAGCTTCAGGAGAACCACCCGCAGCTGGTAGGCGACCAAACCCTGTGAAGGAGGTTGCATGAAGTTTGTCTTCATGCTCAAAGACTGCTACGTGTTTCAGCATTGCGACGTGGCAATCGTGCTCGGCTGCTTTCGTGGGCTCGGGATCATTTACCATGGAGTGACGAACAATGGTCTTTCACAAAACAAAACAAAAACACCCGTTTGGAGAACTCCAGGGAGAGTTAGCCGACTACGGCACTCTCAGGAGGTCCATTCATACTAAAACGGGACAATCATGGTGTGGGCAGGAATTCGTCTTGGTGGAAAAACCCAGCTTGTTTGGATCCAAGGCAGCATGACTGAACAAAAATACTACGAGGAGGTCGTAGAGCCTGTTATTGTCCCACACAGAATCCAAATGGGCGAGCACTTTCTACTCATGCACGATAATGCTCCTTCTCCTTCCAATACGGCGCGGCTGGTGTCGGCCGCTCCCGAGACCACGATTACCAGGATATTCAAGTTTTGGATTAGCCTGCACAGTCGCCTGACTTAAATCCTATCGAACATGCCTGGGACATGTTAGAACGAAAAGTTTTGAGAGATTTCTCGCCAAATTTGACGACGGAACAACAACTTTATGAACACACAAAGAATATATCGCACCTCATTCCGCAGCAAGACATTGACAATTTAGTTTTAAGTATGAACAGTCGATATCGATGTGTAATTTATGTAAGAAGTGGCAACACTGATTATTAATAATTCGATTTTATAGGATTTTTCAGTTTTAACTAAAATTACTCGTTTTATAGGAAGAAATGAATTTTTTATCGTACTAATTTTCTACGGCGATTAAAAAAGTTACATTTTTAATTAAAACAAAAAAAATATGAAATGTTTTTATTTTTTAATAAAGACCTTAAAATAACTTATCATACTTTCATTTAGTAAGTCAGAAAATATTTCATAGATTTTAGATATTTGATGAAATATAAAATATCCCTTGATTCTGTTCATGTGTATATACATATATTTTTTCGCTGTGTATTTTTTTTTCGTAATCTTAATAGAAATCCACAAACACAATTCACATAGTTACTATTTCTTTTACAATTAGTTTTAAAAATATAAATTATCTATAACATACCAATGTTGCCAAACGCCAGACTCATTTACCATATACTCGAAAGGCATGACCCACTCCTTTGACCTGGCACGGGGCCAATCCATTTTGACAGGCAGTTTAGTCATAAATTCGGCCATTCGTGCGCGCTCGTCTAGTTCCAATACAGTGCCTAATGACCACATCATCGCGAAAACAAAGAGGCGCTCTAGGTGGCGATCCGTATGTGTTTCTGAAAAAATTTAACAGGAAACGAGCAATACAGTTACGATACGTGTACACCAAAACCAATTTTGTCGGCCGATGGCGGACGGAACTACCCGGACGAGTAACTCGGACGTGTATGTGCTACAGTGCCGACATTGGACGTCCAGTCGACCCAAACGTCGCAGGCACATCACACAATGACACTACACCCACACTAAATGGGACAAACACTATTAGGATAACGAATGGGACGCGTCGCACCCGCAGACGGGCACGACGCGTTCCAGCTCACACCGCGTACACACCGTACACCCGCGTTCCTGGGTGGTTCTCACCGCCCAGACCATCGACCGACACGAGTTGAGCAGTCAGAGACGGGGGTCCGCACTCTCCCCTCGGACTGCGGTTAGATAGCTCAAGAAACGCCTAAAAAGGCGACATGATGATTGGTAACAATACCAAATCATAAACCACTCATCATCATCCTCACCTCATTGCCTTTCCCTTTTTTAATTAGCTGAGTCAGATGAAGCTGTAAGAGTCGTATAGACTAACAGCGCTAACATCCAGAAAATAGTAGTACGTTGCCGGTATTCTGTAGTTGACTCTGTTGCTTAACAGACGCGTTTTTAAAATGGAGGAATTTGGAGAAATGTACACAGGAAATGTATCTTTTTGAAAATTCATACCGCAATTTAATTCGTCGACGTCATCGTCGGCGACATCGGCGTGTGTGGATTAATGAAAAATATTTATGTACAGAAAACAGTGTTCCATTCCAAAAATCCATATTTTAGTGACCTATTGGTTTTATTTTAATTAATAAGTAATATTTAGACGTAATAAATAGAAAAATTATTGTAAATTCGAGTCCAAATCTGAATTAGTGATCGATCGTGTACAGATGTTGAACGCATGAACTATATACATACCTAAACACTGCCAAGTTTTAACAGTCCGACAATTATTCATTTACCTTACTATTTTAAAACAACACGTGTTACTAAAGGGGAATGCCCACTCTTCATAGACACTTCGGCCATGAGTGCCCACATATAAAAGCATATAGATATGATAATATTCAATTAAAACAATGAAATGGTTAAGGAATTGCTTTAAAAAAAGTCGGGGTTTTGAAGATATATAAGTTTTTATTTTCACAAATGCAGTTTTTTTGTGTTTGTGTGTGTTTTTAGAGACACAAAGTGTGCCATACTGTTTACCTTTGAATATTCCTATGCACATAAATATTTTTGTTTTCTTAGTCCATTCTGGTACAATAAAATAAATAAGCAACTAAACTTATACATTTTAAATAAGAATCAATGTAAAAGAACCCTATTGAAATGGCTTCAAAAACTAGATTTTTTATAGGATAGGATGACAAATGAGCACACAGTCTACTTCTCTACACTTACCATACGAGACACAGAGGTATTCTGTGAGAGCATGGTCCTTCACCGGTCGAGCCCACCCATTCATGCTACAACCATAATAGCTGTAGCGTGGATCTACCACGTAATGATGAAACAGAAGAATTATTGAAATCCCTAAATAACCAAATTACTTTTATAATGTATAATTAATACACTATTAAATTATATCTTCTCATTATAATTATTACTTTGATGAATACTACTCGACCTCTTCATCGCAACCACACAAAACACATACGAAAGGAACAATTTACACTCAACACTTAAAAACTAACTTATATATTTAAGTTTAATTTTAATACTTTAAAATAATACTGTTTGATACATGTTTAAGTAAGTTTAATCATTAAGATTTCTGTTAAAATGTCCCATAAGAAAGAGCACTATTGCCGGAAATACAAGCTTGTTAAATTTTTTTCCTGAATAAAGAAATTATTATTATTATTATGTTGATGATTGTGAAGGAGTTGTTTGGTTCGTAGTCACTGGTCAGTGCAGTATTGCCATATATACAGATTTCCCCGTATTTATACAGATTTTCGGTGTGTGATACAGATTAGCACTGGGTACAGATTTTTATACAGAGTTTTCTAACTCTATTGATTGGATTACCATAATATTCAACTTAAAATAGAATGAAGCAAAATAAGTGACTAGATACCAAATTACACACATTCATGATTCTATTTTTTATGGTTCATTTATTTTTTCACAACGTAATTAGTTAGTATGGCAGAATTACAAGTGTATTACAAAATATGTATACAAGGTGTAAGTGTAAACACTGTTGTCACTAAAACCATAGGTAGTTGGCTTTAATATAAAAATATTTATCCAAATTCTAAAAAAAACCTATTTTCTTTCATAAAATTTAAGAGGTCTCTGTCCGAAACCGTCCGTAAATTCATGGATACCCTATGTGCCCGGGTGACGTAATCACTGTATAGATCACCGCCCGCGCTAGCTACCTACACTATATTCCAATAAAAACACAATAGGTACAAATAACCTGTGATGTAACTTTTCCTTCATACTTTGACCCTGGCTTAGGACAGGCAAAATTGAGGAATTAAGGAAAAATTGAGATTTTATTAAAAAAATGTTATTTTTCATTGAATTTACGTTCTATAAGTGAAACCAAACCACTGGTTTCAAGGATAACGGTGTTTACACTAACGCCCTGTGTATAAAATATGTATGACTGAAAATAATAAAGTAATTATATGTTCATTTGGCAAATGTTTGAGTTTTAATATGTTGCTTGCTTAAATTAATGTTTTCAATTTTGCTATATAAAAAATTTAGTGTATAGTGTATATTTTATACGTGGTAGAGCCACGTTGCAGCTTTATTATGGTTGCAGCACTGCAACCATAATAGCTGACGCTCGACCGGGGAAGGACCACGCTCTCACAGAATACCAACGTAAAATACCAGCTTAATACTGCTGTGTTTCGTATGGTGAAAGTAGAAATCCGGCGACCCTTTTTACTGTAAATGAAGCATCCCCTCTTGGTCCTCAGGCGTGACAACGTATCTGCGTTTTAATTCTTAAGCGAGGATAAATGTAGATGTCTATGGGTCACAGCATCCACTTACCATCGGTGGACTGTGTGCTCGTTGTCACCCTTATTCTATAAAAATATTTTTATTTAATAACGATAATCAAACCTTAACTGCTTACCACGTTAGTAGTTATTCCTTGTTTTCAAAAAAAAAGCAATGATGATGATGATGATCAATTATTCTATTTTGGTTTATTATACAGATTTTATACAGATTTTAAGTTTAAATAGCATACAGATTTAATACAGATTTTAGCAGTATCTAATACAGATAAAAGGTTCAAGACATCTAGCAACACTGGGTCAGTGACAAATGAGCCTTCGCGGATGCGGATGTTTGTGAAGGCGTTATTTGAGTGGCAAAGGCTCTTCAATATTGACAACGCATGGAGGAAATGACATATTTGATGACAAATCTCCAGAATCGGGGCGAATTAATTCTTCGGAGTAACGGCTTACAGGATAATACTGAAGTTGGGTATTTTCTTCTTCCATGAACACGTCTAACAATTTTCGTTGAACAAAGATTTTTCTATTTCCTGGCACTTCTTTTAAGTATGGAAGCAAACTCAACAAAAAGTTACGATCAGGATCATCTGCAGATTCTGCTGCTGACCTGGACTCATATAATTGAAGTTTTCTTTTTTCTATCTCTAAATACTCTTGGTCTACATCAATATTTCTCCTTTTCATAAGTCTTCCAGGTTGATTGGATGTAAAACGATGAGGTTGCATTATAGGTACACGAATAGGTTTGGTATGTGGTCTAGTATGTTGTTGTGAGGTGGAGAATACTGCTTGGCTCGAATTCGAAGCTCCTAGCTGCGACAAAGATGAAGGTCCAGGTTGCAATAAAGGTGCGGGTGTGGGCTGCGACAAAGGTGAGAGTCCAGGCTGCGGTACTGTTTGTGGCTGTGATTCAGGTGAATACTTAGAAAAGGTTCAGGCACATTTCCGGTTAAAGTTTTCGGTGTGATTTGTTTTGCCAAGAATAATAACGATTCGTAATATATGCACGAAGTTAATTTGTGATCCGCCGCAGCACCGGATCTACCTGGTTCATTGCATTTGTTATATTCTTTACGGAATTGGTCCCTTAAGTTGGTCCATTTTTTTAATGTCTGGAATCGCTATATCCATTTCCGATGCAACTTCAGCCCATAACCGTTTCGAAACATCTCGATTATTGTAATTTTTTGAATGTTTATCCCACAAGGTTGGTCTATTAAAAACACAACTAATGAATTTTTCAATATCCAAAGTTGTTTAGGTGTATAAGAACGCTTACAGAAAAAACAGAATAAATACAGAATTAATAAATTAAACCATAAGTACACTTAATTTTCTCTGTTATAGATTACTGAATATGATATACTAGTAGGGATGTTCGATGATCATCGATGTTAGAAATTAAAACATCGATGTTTTAACATCGATGTTGCCACGTGCTAAACATCGTAACATCGATGATACCACATGTCAAACATCGAAACATCGATGTCAATGAGCCAATAATTTATTAATAAGAACTTGTGAACAATGCCAACCCGCGAAATTAATATCAACTAAATATTTCATCTCCTATTAAAAGTTTAAAATTTTGAATAATTTAGGATTCTTAAAGGCATCAATCACCTGAAAAATATCATGTTGTGTCAAACTTCCTCTCAAGTGTGAACCGTAATGTCACTGCTTTCGCTTTGTTATTCTGTGGTATCATTGTCACCTAATAACTATTCTACATAAATTGATATACAAATAATGTTTTTTCTCTTGCTGTCTATACACACATAATTTTGAAACAATATGAATATACACAATCCAATTATATTTAGCTGTTTTTTGATCTAAAGAGTTTATTTTTCGCTTTAAGTTTATGAAAATAAATCACTGGGCGATTATGAGCATAGAAAATTTCACTGTATAGTGCATTTTACAGTGCATTTTATAAACGGCTGTGGATACTGGGCTGTCTAAGAAAAAATAGTGAACAAAGGTGACGGGAAAGTCTAATATTTTATTTTTGTGATGTTTTCTAATTCGCCCTCTATAATCAGATGTTTTTTTTATTTCGCGATAGGAGTGGTTAATATAGAACATACGTCTAAATCGTAAATTAGGTCTCATAGTATTTTTTTCGTAGAATTTTTGTTGTATAGGAACATTTGAAGATCAAAATAATAACATTAATTATTATCGGCAAAAAATATAACAAATGAACTAAACATTTGTTAAGTTTTGCCCATTTTCTAAATTACTATTTAGAACTAAATGTTTTATAAATTTCTATCATTTCACTAATAATAAACTATAAACTACACTATAAATTTTTTGTTTATTTAATTTTAACCTACTAATTAGGTAGGTAGTAGGTACATGTGCAATAACATCGATAATGGCCAACATTGATGTTTTAAGTACGATAAACATCGAACATCGATGTTAAGTTATCGATATCAACATCGATGTCATCATCGATGTTTCTGCAACATCGATCATCCCTATATACTAGGCCGGCAGTCTGGCGAGAAATCCCAACAAGTTCGGAATTCGAATCGCCGTTGACCGGCCGTTTTCGTGGATCATCGGACGATAGCGGTCGCGTTTATGTATGCGCTCTCTTTGTTTTACAAGTGTTTGATTCGATCGTCTGAGTTCGGCCATCGTTGCCCGAGCAAACTTCGGCCGATGACGGATTAGGTTTAAGCGAGCCGTTGATCGGATTTTTTCGTGCGTCATCAGACTATGCAATCGTGTTGGTGTACGCGCTCTCTTTGTTCAACAAGTGTTTGATTCAATCGTCCGAGTTCGACCATCGTCGCCCGAGCATTCCCGAACTTCGGCCGATGACGGATTAGGTGTATAACGTTATCATTCATTCAACTCATTCGATTGTCTCTACTTCATTGAAATCAGTCGAAAACTTGTACTAATATTATAGAAAAAATAGCCCGATCATCAGACTTCTCAGATATGTATGTACTAACCTAACACTTTTTAATATGAATAGGACAAGTAAAATATAAGCTTCAATTTACATAGTTATTTTTAAGGGTCGACGGCCTTAAGCTTGAAAAGTGTGAAAGGAAATCGAGATACAAAAATATATCAAGTAAGGGTGCAAATTATAACGTTTTTAGTCATTTTTTATTAATTTGCTAATTATTAACGCCTCTTACCACTAATAACAAATGAGTCATTCGTTACTCATTCGTCACACTCATTGACCCATTCTGATTGTGGACTTAGTCACTGAACTAAACGGGCAGACAAATTTATTCAGCGAAAAAATATTTTTTTCAAACTCTTAAATAACACATCTGCGTGTCTACAGCCTTCTACGATTTCTGAGAGGGTTATTAAACAGAAAAAGTCCACCAAGCTACAAATGGACTTTGAAAATTCTCTTTTTAACCTTTATTAATCTACCACCAATCTAGCTGCTACGGAACAACACTGAAAATTCTCTATCAGCCTATTGTTCATATCTTGTTCTCATATTTATATCATATTGTTACAAGCTTAGGGTTCGTGACTGTGGCGGCGCTGTCGTCGCGCCACAAGCGAAATAAACCGAAGCCTAAATCACGCTATCAACATTCCGAATCATAAACAGTATATATAGAACTTCTCCGAACTATCACTCGGAGTGTTGGCCACTCCCCGGACACAACACCTTGCCCGCCGGGAGATCTCCCCTTTTCCTTCCACGGCCACAGTGGTGACCATCCAACGTGATCTGAGCACGCGCAACCAACAACCCTCGGAAACTTCAAGCTTCATCATCGTTATAGAATAACCCCACCCATTCGCTCCCAAGCAGATATCGTCTGCAATCTTCATATCCTGCAAGCCATCTAGCTTCACAAGGTTAATCGCAGCACTGGAATAATAATGCTTCCCGTTCCTTCAAGCTACTCTCTGCGCTATACAGTGTTCGGCACGGCTCTGAGCCTCACTGCTCGCCTCTGCTTCACGGCACTCTCGCAGATTACTTGCCTTCTTCTCGACTCACCACAGACTACAAGGCAATCTCCTGGCACTTGCACATTCGTCGACAACGAGATTGCACTATCGAACTCCGGTCTGAGCAGGGGGGGTGATGTGGCGGCGCTGTCGTCGCGCCACAAGCGAAATACACCGAGCCTAAATCACGCTATCAACATTCCGAATCATAAACATTATATATAGAACATCTCCGAATACACGGAGTGCTGGCCGCTCCCCGGGCAGAGAACTCCCCTTTTCTTTCCACGACCACAGTGACAGTAAAAATTGCCGATTGTATTACCAAAATTGACACTTTAATTACCGAACCGACACCGACACGTTATTCGATACTAGATGGCGCTGTTGGGAGAGCTCTAGAAAGATCTTGACACTCCTATTTCTGATTCTTGATACCAGATGGCGCTAGTGCCATCAACTGTGGCGCGCAATAATATTATTTCTATCCCAACTGATAATATTTTTAAGAAAGCACGCGTTAACATACTCGAAATACTTATCCGTAATAAGTATGGACTGTGCAGACTGATTTGTGAGCACAGAACCGATAGTTTAGCACTAGTAATATTGCTTTCTACGTTACCGTTTGTTAGGCACCAGTTTCGTTTGTTAGTAAGCAGAGTTATACAATGCGTGCAAGTAGAAGAAGAAGAAGTATTAATTTGTAGAATCCATTCATTTATGACCAAAAATAATCTACTGCGGTAAGAGTTTATCGCTATACTTAACACGCGCATTTTTTTTTGTAGGAAACAGGTGACAAGCGAGCACACAGTCCACCTGATGGTAAGTGGTTGCTGTGGCCCATAGACATCTCTGTATCTATCCTCGTTTGCGAATCAAAATAAAGATGCGTTGTCAGCCTTGAGGACTAACATGGAATGCCTCTTTTCCAGTAAAAAGGGTCTCCGGCTCTCTACACTCACCATACGAAACACAGCAGCATAAGCTGCTATTTGACAAAATATGTGTGGTATACATGGTATGTACTAATATTTTAGAGGTTTTTGCCCATATGGTTGATTTGGTCTTATATAAGTAAGAACTTAAGAGTAATTGTTTACCCTGACATCTAACTAACATACCAATAATAGTTTGCTTGTGATCTACATAATAGTATGATAATAAAATATCATGAAACTTACTGCCACCAGGAACTTCAATTTCCAATAGGCCGACTAAAACATCTATGCACTGTCTATAAAACAACAAATGTTTTATTTTATAATAAGATTTAAAAGGCATAGTTAAATAAATGAGAAGACAATAATAAATACCGAATGTAAATAGCTTCTAGAAGCATCATTTTAGCTGGTAACTTTTGTTGCACGAAAGAATGTACATCATCATACACTTTGTTAAAAGCATTACGTAATACATCAGCTTCCTTTTGCGTTCTCTTTTTTAACCAACCCTGCATGTATTAAAGAAATAAATTATTATTATGAATACACACACTTACTTAATACACAAAATGTATACATATGTAAAGCCATATTATACTCTGTTTTATGATAAGGTAATTTATTTATTATCTCTATTTAAGTTAAAATTAAGCTTCTTAAAGAAAGGGCAATAATATAAACAACGGCTTGGTATTGCAGTGGCAAAGCGTTGACTGCGGTCCTGGGGGGTCGCATCGCAAAAATGTTTGTATGGGTTAGAAATATATTATTTCAAGAAGTTTATACATGTGTAATTATTATACAAGTTAAACGTTTCCACGGTACAGGAGCAAATCTTCTTCTTTAGTTAGTTTCGAAAATTAAAAAAAGACAAAAATATTTCAATTTAATATTATAAAAAAGAAAAACGTCTTACCTCTAAAATAGGCTGCCATTTTAAAACTGATGAGGATAGAAACACCATTCCCATTCGACTGACGGTGGCAGGTGAGGCGTTATCAACGTTATCCGGCTCGAACACCAGTTTGCTATTCTGAGCCATCGTTATTCGATCTCCATTTGCTAAGGTCAAGGTTTTATTGTCATCCAGCACAGAATTCAGATTTTCAATCCACACTGCATCCACCGGGCCGTCTTAATATTGAAAAGGATTTTAGTTTAGAGTTACACTTATAAACATACAATTACACTATTGAATCAACATCCAATATTTGATAATATAATAATCATAATATAATATCTAATGTCGTTAGGCTAACTCAAAGCTCAGATTAAACCATAGAATACTATAATACACAATAGAATGGCTGTCAACCTTATTTTGTACGAGAATTGGCGTGAATAAACCCGATTCGCTGTGTTGATAGACTGAGTAAATTTACACATTTTAGACTTTTGATTAAAGTTCAAAATCACCATTAAAAAAATCGTTTAAATTTTAATACATATTTATTTGTAAATAGCACCCTATTTTAAGATTCATTTTTCAATTTTCATATTATAATTTGGCATTCTCTGAATAATTTTCATGTGAAATTTGGAAACGATTGTAACGTCAAAACACATCTCGTGTTGACATTTATACGTGTGAACTGTGAATTGACATGTTAGTGTTCCCGTCTATTATGTATATATTATAGTATTCTATGAATTAAACTAATATAAGTTAATTGCAATTCAAAATTATATGCAATATTTTACATTTTTCTAAAATCAAACATCAATAAATTACGGCAGTTGACGTTATGTTTTGAGTCCCGTATATACAAAAATAATTTTGTTTTGTTTGTCTCGTGTGCGTGTTGTATATATATATATATATATATATATATATTTTTTTTTTATATATATATATTAAGGAATGATTTAGATTCACAATTAGATAGATGGTGTTTTTGTCGAGGTTCCAAACAGGAATAGATCGCTTGTTTACTGTAAAATTTAACGATCAAAGTGTAGAAAGTGTCGTTATGACATAAAATAATTGATGGATTAAGTTGGACACAAAAAAATTTACCCAACACAATCCAAGTGGTATCCGACTTCTTTACCTTCAATGTTCTTCGCCATAATATGGAAAATATACCATCTGTCCAATCGTTTGTAGCTACATCCAATCTCCCAAACATTTGTGGCGCCGTTATTGCTTTAGGATTCATTCGCATTTCCTTATGTGGTTTGCCCAATTCCGTTAACGCTGCCATCAGTGTATGAATACATGTTGTCTTCCCAGAACCCGTTGGACCCATAGTCATCAAACCATGCCGTACTAAAGACGTCTCGTATAACTGAATAATTTTGAGATTCCATTCCGGATGGTTGACTAAACCAGAACGCTCCGTCACTATATTTATAGCGCGTTGCATTTCCCTGAAAATATTTTTGGTTTGTATGCAAAGCGACTGCAATAAGGTGAAGTTTGCGTTACTATCATTGATTCTACCAAATCAATCATAAACTGAAAAGTGAAGCCTGGGGCCAACAGCGGTCAAAGTCGTAACCTCTAGTTATTGTTGTCCGATGGCCGCGGTAAGCCCGCGTAACATGTATGCCAATTGCCATGTAAGTTTTTATATTTTTTATATTTATTTGAATTTTATATCTATCCCGTTTATCAACCCTAAAACAGTCGCCCTAAAGTAAAATAAGTTAAACATATTATTTGTTATGAGTACAATAAGATAGTATACATCTTAGGGTGAATAAACGGAATAACCCGAATTTCAGTTTATATTTAATAGTAATGGGTAATGTTTACTATTTATTCACTGAAAAGATTACAGATTTATATTACGATATCACCCGAAGCACCCACACGGAACAGACAGGTTTTAATTTTACATCTTGTATATTACTAAAAAAAACTTTGACTCAACAATGTAGAAATTACTTTTACATCAATCATGATTATGTAATCACATTAACTTGTATAATATGAATACATAACTTCAACATGAAATGTGTACCTATAGTTAAATAAAAACAAATAATGATATTAGATTACCACTTATTACCTTTGAGCAGTTTGCGTAAGCTTCATTCCAGGGAATAAATCTTCTATTAGGGAAATAAATAACGGTTCGTCTTCGTCCACTAACTTGGATACATTCATTTCCCTTAAAATAAAAACACAATACATTTTAAATTAGCGGGCAAAATTATATCAAACTAAACTAACCACAGATAAATAAGGTACAACTTATTGAACTTATTATAAAAATAAAGTCATCTCATTCTCATACTAACTTCAAAACCCTCATCATAATATTTTCCTCAGTGCTTTCCGGATTTGCTCTTTTTTGCGATCCCATTGTTCTCAAAACCGACAATATATTCCGAAGACCGAAATCGTAATGAACTTGCTTAGATAACTGTTCTTCACATAGTTTGTATAATGTGAAGAACTTCCGAGCTATAAAGCAAATAATCAAAGTATACATTTTGTACTTCATATAATTATTTTATTAACACTCGTCTCCGGTGCAAGAAATTCAACATTTATACTTTTACATACAAATAGCAAATTTACGTGCTGGCAATTACGTAATTAAAATAAAAAGTAATACTGTGAAAAAGTAAGAGAGGAAGAGAAATAATCTTTGTTGCTGTTAACTATATGAAAAACGAATCTTAAAATTTATCGCAAAAACAAACTGAAACATGAATTTGTATATGTATAAAAGATAATAAGCAATTATGAATAACAATGCACTGAATTAATATAAGTTAGATTTATTAAAATCTGTAAATAAAGTTACTAAATAATATGGTAATAAAGTTTTACACACCCAATAAAATATTTTCTTTAAATCCGCAACTGGCCAATTTAACCCTAATAATAATCTGCCTGTCAGGCACCATCATAGCCACAGAACGGAACTGAATCTTCAAGTTTTCAGGCAGTTCCTGACGTCCAGCATAACCAGGGTTCATAGTAATTATAAATGCGAACTCTGGATTTAAGCTTACGACGTCACCATCGCTGTATATTAAAATAATGCATATTATTAATATAGAAATAAATAATATGTCTGTCATGTACTATATAATGACCACCTCTATGAAAGACTTACATGAATAACCATTTTTATTAATTCTGAGGTTTAGTTTAAAATATTTGATAAACAGCGGCTACTTTTATTTTTACCTTTTTTTATAGTAGATCTTAACCGTAATTGCACATATTTTCAATGTTTTCTTTAACTTGCAATACTTTTTATGTATAAAATGGTTAGAATTTCATACCTAAATACAAAGAACTCTTTCTTTTCCCTTCTTGCAGTTAGGCAAATATGTATTTGTTGAGCCGCTACAGAGAGGACGGGTAACTCGATACGGTTGAACTCGTCAAAGCATCCCCAAGTGCCGGACTGCGCGAGGCCTTTAAAAATGCGTCCCAAGCCTGTCGACATGACAACACGTTTTGTATTCTTTTGAGGTATTTTATGACAATTAGAGCTAGCGCGCACTGGCGATTTTTGTCACCGTGACATTAAAGTTTTTGTCATTTTCACGTCACGTTTCCAAAACAAAAACAAAAATGTTACCCAGTTACGTCGTAACATGTGCGCATCTCCATGGACTTGATATGAGTGACGAAACAGTCACGGTGACAAAAATCACCAGTGCGCGGTTACTCTACTTAAATTGCAGTGTGATTTTATTATTATTTAAATGAATATAAAAATTTAATGTCGAATATATAAATTAATGAAAATGATAAAAGATTATCGCAATATATTTGGAAAGAAATCAATCAAATACATATGTACACTTTTGAAAGAGAAAAAGGTAAGAACATGATAGACTTTATAACAATGTTTGATGGAAGTTTGATGTAAGAATGAGGTGCGCAATGATAGACACAGAGGTTTATCAGTTTGCAACGTAGATACGGATCATTAGTTGTTTTTATGCCGGATAAATGGTCTTTTCAGAGGTTAACGGCATTTAACATATGTGGCTACGACTTTGTACATCGTATACTGACTGCCTCGTTAGTTTAATGATCGTAAAAGCAGCTGCTGATCATCTTCAGCTCCCATGATCGCAAAGTCGAATCGATTTTTCAGTCAAGAAGGTAGCAGTACCAGCAGACAGGAAATTGGTGAGTTGCCACTCCGGTGCCTCGGAAAGTACGTAAACCGGTAATCCAGTGACAAATCTCTCTCCGTTCGTGTTGAATTTCCGTCACATCGGACAATAAGAGTGAGGGGATGGAGAGTACACCTGTAGGCGCATTTTCTTTTATAGAAGAGGGGGCAGGTGCGTTACCGGCCCTTTAGAAATGAGTACCTAAGCTCTTTTCTTGAAGGTCGCCAGGTCGTATCGGTCCGGAAAAATCGCCGGTGGTAAACTTTTTCACAGAGAGGTCGTACGTGGAAGAAAACTCCCCATGAAACGTACAGTGGTGGACCTCAAGCATGGTGTGGATGGTATCGGGAGGTTAGCCGCGTAGTGCGTTCATGAAATTTAGCGGCTGGGATTACTCCGAATAATTCCTCAGAGCATTCCCTGTGATAGATGCGATTAAATTCGCAAAGAGATGCAACATCTCGAATAAAAATAAAATAAAAAGTTCCACACCCTGAATTACTACATCAGCGACAGAATCAGCAACAACGTTGGGATCGTTCGGCGAGAAGCAAACCCGCCCCCAAGGGTAGGATGCAAAGGAAGACCGCATCCCATCCCAATCAGCTGACCTATAGTACCAAACACGGCGGCAGTCTGCAGAATGCAACCGCGATTTCACCGTGAGTGGCACCACACTCCAAACGAGACAATGGTCCGAGGAGCCTAAAGGGGCGTCGAGGGAAATCTGGTATCCGTCCGGATGAGAGGTCAGCAGTAGATCCAACAGGGAATGTTGATGATGATCAATGATCATGATGAGACATGATCCTCCATAGGCAAAGTAACCAGTTGTGTCAGATCATATGCCAAGGCAAAATCAGAAACAGATCTCCTTGCCTGATCGGTTGAACGTGAACCAAAAAGCCATTTGGCGTGATGGGCGTTAAAATCGCTGAGTATCACGATCTCTGCAGAGGGGATCTGCTGTAGCAACGAATTTGTAGCCATTTGGACGTGGTTGAAGAGTCGGTCTGTTTCGGCATTACCGCTATGGGATCTATAGAGGCACTCGTAGACGCGCGAATGGTCGTCGCTGTCTACGCGTATCCAAAGGATGGAGAGATCCCAACTTTCAAGACTGCCGAGGCGTCGAGAACAGATGTCCTCTCTGACGTAAACGCAAACTCCAACCCGAGGCACAAACAAGTGTTCCAGTTTGTACTCCGGGTAGGACAGATACGAAACATCAGCCGGGGAAGGACACCTGCGTTTCGGTCAGAAAGAGCAGAACCGGCCTCACTGTCTGGACATGGTAGTGGACGGCGTTTAGGTTAAAATGAAGTCTCCTGATATTGCAGAAATTCACGGATAGCATAGCAGGGGTCACTATGGTCTTGTTGCTCAACTTGTCCCGAGCAGTTGTTGTATTGAGCGAAATCCCCCCCCCCGTGGTAGCCTGAGCATCCACGCTCAGGAGTGGAGTAACTTGGTCGTGGATGCTCAGTGAGGGATTCTCCAAGGTTACTGGTACCCTCCTGGGTTAGATCTTCACTCAATTACTTTACCATGTTAAGGGGGGGGAGAGCAATTGGCTTCCGGCCACCTACACTTACCAGACGAAACGCGGAAGTAGAGCTTCCACTTCACTTCCGTATTCTGTGAGGTCGTGGTACCACCCCGGTTTGAGCCGGCCCATACCTGCAACAGCAAAGCTGCCGCGTGGCTCTACCACTGTTAGAAAATAGAGCATAGACTTGTACAGTCGATTCTGCCATGCACACAGGACTAGTCTCCGTAGAGACTGGCAGCTATTCACTAGCCTAATGACAGGGTGCGGACCGCAAAGTTAAAAAGTCGTGGATTCGAATAAGCCATCCAACCACTGTCGTGAATCCCTCCTAACACAGAAATTTTAGGCTTATCAGAAGTGGTTACAAGAAGTATTAGTGATAATTATAGCATTACAAGTATAAAAAAATGTATAATATTGTACAATATCAGAAAGGTTACAAAATGAATATATAAAAGAGAAGTACCAATGTAAATTGAGAGAAAAGTTTGTGTGAATTTGAATGAAACATTTAAACTCAGAGATTGTGTACTATAAAGTTAAGAAGGTTTGGTGAATGCAGTAACCAAAGTATATGGTATATGTAATAAAAAGACTGTCCGGAATAATAATACCTTATGGTGGAATAAGGTACGAATGGAAGTTGGAGCAGAGAAAAGATTATGGCTATATTATAGCCATACTCTTTTCTCTGCTTCATGCATGCATGAAGCATGCATATATATATCCATTCATGCATTCATGCATGCATGTACGGATATATAGCATGCTTAGGTTATAAGAAAAATGTCCTTTCTAGATGAATAAATAAAAGAGTATTAGATACAATTTTATATTCTTCGTTTCAGCAATAAATCTGCTCGACAATTATAGCCGAAACGCATAATGGAATTCAGTTTTCACTCATTTACAACTCAAATTTCTGAAATTTTATAAAATAAGTTGATATTCAGCAGTAACTTAGTTGATGTTATGTAATAATTTATATTATAATGCAAAGGCTATCGTTTACACTTTAAAATACCCTTGTATTATAGTGTTCATAGCTTGGCATACAGATGATTCACGCTAACTCACAGAGAGAGAATATTGTCATGTCAATAGGTCTGGGACAGGATCACGATAAAGAATTTTATTGCAAATTAAAACGTGATTTATATTTTAATTGTAAAATTAGAAACCAATTCGCAAAAATCAATAATAGTGTGTATTTACGAATGAATTAAAATACCTCTAAAATCCATTTGATCAGAACAGTTGAACACAATGACCAGCTTGCCAAGAGCACGGCCCATGTCCTTCGTAGTTTCAGTCTTGCCGGTTCCGGCCGGGCCTGCGGGCGCACCACCCATGCTCATTCCGATTGCTTGCGCCAGCGTGATGTAGCAACGATCTGTCAGCGGCGTGATCACCAACCGTTCCGTTATGCCCAAATATTCATTCTAGGGTAAAAAATTAAATTTTAGTGACTAAGAACTTCAAATATACCGAACGCAATTTAATTACACTAAAACATCCACGTGTCTTACTACGTATTATATACATGCTGCACTACGGTACGGACGGTTTGAAATTGTCGCCGAAATTGATCGGCCGGAAGGATACTGGATAATGCTATCCTGTGCATGGACCTCACTATTATACTTCTATTATCTTTCTTATATCTCATAAATGCCTAACGTCTAACGTTTCACGACTAGAAATAAATCAGATTGACTTTCTCTTTATTTCCACAAATTCACTTTAATACCTTAATTAGTTGCATGCATGTAGCTTAATTGCAAAATATTGTCGTAAACTATAAATAAGTGGATGCTTACCTCTCAGTTATCTAATAGAAATTTATGTTTAGTTACCTGATAAATAAAATCAACGTCGGTAATAGAAACAATACAATCGTCGTTCTCTTCAATGTAATAAAACCTTGCTTGCTTTTGCCATTCAAAGTCTCCTGGATTTTTGATCCTCATTTTTACAAGATCATCAAAAATATCCCTTTTTAAATCAGAATTTGTAATAATATATAAATATCGTACCGTATAAGTAATGTCTAAATTTATAAAAACAAGATATAAAATTATTATTTATCTAACCTTTGATGGACGTGAATCGTTATCATAGTTTCAATTCTAGTTCTATCCAATGGAACTAGGTCTTTAACTGTCTGATCAATAAGTCCATTCAAAAGATCAAGGAATTTCTGGTTTGTCAGTCTCATAATATAGCGGTCGACTTTAGCCTTTTTGAGGGCATACTCCGCGTCACTAGTCCACAAAATTTGCATACCTAAAAGACTTGCCTTAAAAAATATTATTACATTATAATATAGCTCTTTATGTAGTGATTATCATCATAAGGCCCAAGCTAAAAAAATGTTTTAATAATTACCGACCCATGTTTTTAAAATAGGACACTATAATTATATAAAGTGCTTAACGCCCAGAGGAAAAAATAACAGGTTACACGTTTTCAACAGCCGTAACTTTTTCCACAGTGACGTGGTACAGATATAAATGACCTTTGAAGTACCTAAATGTAGTTTTATTATGTTCTTTTTATAGGACATCGGGCAGTGTTTGTGCAGTGCAGTGTGCAGTGTGACAATAGTGAGTATTCTTAAACTGTGCCTTAAATATTTAAATATAATAAATATTTAAATATTTAAAGCACAGTATATATATAATAAGGGGGTGCTAAGAATCTCCGGTGGAGGTTCGGTTGCCACCTACGACGACTCGACCTGGCAACATATAACGCACGCACCCTGAGGACTGACGAGAAGATACTGGAGCTGGAAGAAGAGGTAGACAAGTTGCGCTGGCATATTATTGGATTATCCGAGGTCCGAAGAGAGGGGGAGGACACGGCAATCCTCGAGTCCGGCAACTTGTTCTATCACCGGGAGGGCGACCATCTGTCCCAAGGAGGTGTCGGATTTATCGTCCACAAATCTCTCGTCAACAACGTTGTAAAGATTGGGAGTGTGTCGACGAGGGTCGCGTACCTGATACTCAGAATCACCAAACGGTATTCGCTGAAGGTCATTCAGGTTTACGCACCAACCTCGGCACATCCCGATGAGGAGGTGGAGGAAATGTATGAGGATATTTCCAGAGCCATACATTCCTCCAAAACCTACTACACGGTGTTGATGGGAGACTTCAACGCAAAACTGGGCACAAGAGAAAGCGGTGAGCTGAAGGTAGGGAAATTTGGAGTAGGGCAACGGAACCGAAGGGGCCAGCAGCTGGCCGACTTTATGGAGAAAGAGGGACTCTTTATGATGAACTCTTTCTTCCAGAAGCGGCCCCACAGGAAGTGGACCTGGTCGAGCCCCGACGGTTCGACAAAAAATGAGATTGACTTCATTATGACGACCAGACGCCAACTGTTCAGTGATGTCTCAGTGATCGCAAGGGTGAAAACTGGCAGCGATCACCGAATGGTTAGAGGCACACTGAACCTAAACGTTAAGTTGGAGAGGTCTCGTCTAATGAAGTCAACGCTCCGTCCCCCCTCGTGCTCTAATCCAGAATCCCGAAACCTTTCAGCTCGAGTTACGTAACCGCTTCCAGTGCCTAGAAGATTGCAATGCAGTGGACGATATGAACGACAAGCTCGTGGAAACTGTCCATGCGGTCGGAGCTAAGTTCTGCAAGACCCGCCGCAGAAGAACACAAAAACTCTCCGATCACACTCTTAATCTCATGGCTGTTAGACGGGAGATGAGGCTGCAATCGTCAACAGATTTGACAGCATACAGACAACTGAACAGACAGATCTCCAAATGCATACGGCGAGACTTACGCAACTTTAATACTTCTCGTATTAAAGAAGCGATCGAGCGGAACCAGGGCTCCAAAGTCTTTGCCAGAGATCTGTCTGCCAGAAAGAGCCAACTGTCAAGGCTGAAGACTGAGTGTGGCAACATCGTTTCCGGGACACCTGAGATTTTGAGTGAGATTGAGAGGTTCTATGGGCAGCTGTACACATCATCGTTGGAGCCACACGCAAGTGTGAGTAACGATCCAAGAGCAAGTCTTATCCGACACTATTCCGATGATATCCCGGACGTCAGTCTAAGCGAGATTAGAATGGCTCTCCAGCACCTTAAAAACGGCAGGGCCCCAGGCGAGGATGGAATTACAGCGGAGCTTCTGAAAGCGGGTGGAACACCGGTACTTGAAGTCCTTCAGAAGCTCTTCAATTCCGTTCTCCATGGTGGCACTACTCCAGAGGCGTGGAGCAGAAGTGCGGTGGTCTTGTTCTTTAAGAAAGGCGACAACGCTCTCTTAAAGAACTACAGACCGATTTCCCTTCTGAGCCGCGTCTACGTGCTGTTTTCGAGAGTCATTACGAATCGTCTCGCACGCAGACTTGACGACTTCCAGCCTCCCGAACAAGCCGGTTTCCGAAAAGGCTTCAGTACCATAGACCACATACATACCCTGCGGCAGATTGTACAGAAGACAGAAGAGTACAATCTGCCACTTTGCCTGGCGTATGTGGACTATGAGAAAGCCTTTGATTCCGTCGAAATTTGGGCGGTGCTACAGTCCCTTCAGCGGTGCCAAGTTGACTGTCGGTATATCGAAGTGCTGAAGTGTTTGTACAGTAGGGCTACGATGGCTATCCGAGTACAGAACCAGAGCTCGAAACCTATCCAACTGCAGAGAGGTGTAAGACAGGGTGACGTTATATCCCCGAAACTCTTCACCGCTGCATTGGAAGACGTTTTCAAGCTACTGGACTGGAAAGGATACGGTATTAACATCAATGGCGAGTACATCACTCACCTTCGATTTGCCGACGATATAGTCCTTATGGCAGAATCGCTGGAGGACTTAAGCACTATGCTCAATGACCTCAATAGTGCCTCCCAACGGATAGGTCTTAAGATGAACATGGACAAAACAAAGATCATGTTCAATGTCCATGTCACACCTATGCCGGTAGTTGTTGGGAGCACTATGCTCGAAGTTGCTGACGAATACGTTTACCTGGGACAAATAGTCCGACTAGGTAAGTCCAACTTCGACCGAGAGGTCAATCGACGGATTCAACTCGGCTGGGCAGCGTTCGGGAAATTACGGCATATCTTTTCGTCAGGTATACCTCAATCTCTAAAAACTAGATTGTACAACCAGTGCGTGTTGCCAGTGATGACTTACGGATCTGAGACGTAGTCCTTCACTGCTGGCCGTATGAGGACGCTTAAGGTCGCTCAGCGAGCTATGGAGAGGGCTATGCTCGGAGTTTCTCTGCGTGATAGACTCAGAAATGAGGATATCCGCAGTAAAACCAGAGTGACCGACATAGCCCAACGGATTAGTAAGCTGAAGTGGCAATGGGCCGGCCATATAGCTCGAAGAACCGATAACCGATGGGGAAGAAAGGTTCTCGAGTGGCAGCCTCGTACCGGTAGGCGTAGTGTAGGGCGACCCCCACTAGATGGAGTGACGACCTGGTAAGACATGCAGGAAGTCGATGGATGCAGGTGGCTCAGGACCGTGCTTTGTGGCATTACTTGGGGGAGGCCTATGTTCAGCAGTGGACTTGTGAAGGGCTGTAATGATGATGATGATATATATAATAATATATTACACAAAGCTGATAGCCATGAAATAATTTAAATAAAAGATATTAGAGAGCATACTTTTATTATCATATACAAAGAAAAGACTAAACAAAATCACATTACTCTTATCAGCAAATAGTGTAAAATACTGAAAAGAGATAATTGACTTTCAAATTGAACTGAAACCTTATAAATTATATTATTTCGGTAAAACGATTCCGTACCATAAGATCTGAAACTATAGTGTTTCGCCGTCTTATTTCCGAGTACATCCTCCTTCAGGGTGTTTTGGAAAATAAGCTTGCCATTATGAAGCTTATATATAAATAAGCTTACCTTTGCTGATATTTAAGCTGCATCCACCATTCAGAACAAAAGACTTATTAGTTTTTTCAACAATTCGAATTACTAGTTAATCGTCCACATATTATTGTTGAAAATAAGCCAGTGGGTTACAAAATTTTTTCTGATGAAGCACTCTAGATGGCAAGGTTCTAATAAACGTAGTTCTTTGAAAATAATTCTTTTCTTAACCCTCGTGGTAGACGTAGAACTACCTTGTGATACAGCTACTGGTGCTCTATTTTCTACATTTGCTCTTCCTCGTTAGGCCGCCAAGTATAAAATTTCGATTTCAACCACGCCCGCGATTACTAGTATTATATACAATGGGCTCTTTAGTTTCAAAATCATTACCGCTATCTGATACGATTAACAGCTTTTTTTGGAGGATAAAAAAGATGGCTCGTCACAATCTGCATCACTTGGAAGAAAATCTTCAAAATATGAATTATTTAACACATCGATACCGATTTCTTAAGGCCTTCGATGGCCCGTTGACGTTTAAAAATCACAAATTAATTAATGACACTAGAAATAAGAATATAAAGACTTTGAAGATATACAAATGTTAGTCATAAAAGTTTCTTCTTTTGTTATTTATTTCGCATGAAATAATATTATATTATTCTAATATTTAATATTTCAAAAATAAAATAAGATAATACTTACCACAGCAGAGGAAACTTTTTGCCCCCCAAAATAGTTAAAAATAACGGCTTAAAGTCACTTGTCAATGTCAATTTTTTATAGCATAAGTGTGACAAACGGATAACTTCCAGGCAAATATTAAAATGTTCTGGAAACTTGTAAGAACTGCCAGGGGACATTCAAAACGGCCTATGATGAATGCTATAAGAGACGAGAATGGCTATATTCTGAATGATGAAGTTTTGAGTTTAAAGAGATGGAAGGAATATTTTGAAAGCGTGTTTATGAGTGAGGAGACAACGTGTGTACTAAGTGTAGTAGAAACTTCGAAAGAACAGGAAAGAGGTAGCGAGATAAGTATAGATGAAATAATGAAAGCAATGAAAAGCATGAAAGCAGGTAAGGCAGCCGGATATGATAGAGTTTCACTCGAAATGCTAAGGGCTGGAGAGGAAGTCGTGGCAGGCCTACTGCACACCTTGTTTAATTTATGCTGGGAACTGAAGCGGGTACCGGTAGACTGGTGCAAAGCCGTAATAGTCCCAGTATATAAAGGAAAAGGGTCGCAGCAGGACTGTAAAAACTACCGTGGCATCAGCCTTCTTAGCATTGTGGGAAAACTGTATGCTAAGGTACTGATTGAAAGGGTCATGAAAGAAACTGATGGAAAAATTTGGGATGTGCGAGCGGGATTTAGAAATGGAATGGGATGTACAGATCAAGTCTTTTCCATGCGCATGATCGCGGAAAAGTTTTTTGGCCAAAAACCAAAAGGTTTTTTGTGCGTTCATGGACTTGGAAAAGGCCTATGACAGAGTGGATAGGGATGTGCTATGGCAAACACTGAACTCATTTGGGCTGAGCGCTGGCTTGTTACAGGCATTGGAGTCTCTTTATAGGGACTCTAGTGCTTGTGTTAGGATCAACGGGGTCTACTCGGACTGGTTTGACATCCATAAAGGTGTCAGACAGGGCTGTGTGGCTTCCCCGTGGCTGTTCAACCTACTTATTTATTGCAAAATTTGAAAGTTGAAGAATGCGGTTTAAGAATGGGTGAGTTAACCGTCAAATGCCTTTTGTACGCCGATGATTAAGTTATCCTTGCGTCGTCGGCGGCCGAGTTGCAAATGATGGTTACATTAATTAACAGATCATTAAAAGAAAGGGGTATGAAAGTGAACGCAAGTAAGACGAAGGTTATGGTTTTTTAAAGAGAAGAAAGTAAAACGATTTGTGAAATAAGAATAGAAGGGGAGTTGATCGAGCAAGTAGATGAGTTTGTATATTTGGGCTGCGTATTTAGCAGGGATGGGAGATATGATAAGGATATAGAACGACGAGTGAATGCGGGAAATAGAGTAAATGGGGCCCTGCACTCTATTGTCAAGAGTCAAAATGTGTCAAAAAAGGCACGTATAGCAATTCACAATGCTTTGTTGGTCCATACTTTAACGTATGGTAGTGAAAGTTGGGTGTGGCAGAAGAAGCACGAGAGTAGAATCAACGCAGTAGAAATGCGATCGTTAAGGAGTATGTTAGGGCCAAATCGGAACGACAGGGTAAGAAATTGTGTAATAAGAGAAGAGTGTGGTTTGCAAGATGATGTTGTGACCAAGATTAAGAAAGGAATGCTTCAGTGGTTTGGTCACGTGGAAAGAATGAATGAGGAAAGAGTGACAAAGAAAATTTATGTTGCAGAAGTGAATGGTAGAGTCGGTAAGGGACGTCCTAGGCGAAAATTTGTCGACCAAATTGGCGATTTATTGAAAACGGACCAAATTAGGAGTATCCTTAACCGACGAGCATGTATGCGTAGGTGTATGAATGTGAAGGAGGCGAGAGAGGTGTGTCAGGATCGTGCCAAATGGAAGTCTGTAGTCTCTGCCTACCCCTCTGGGTGACAGGCGTGAGTGTTTATGTATGTATGTATGTATGTATGTGACAAACGAGCACACAGTCCACCTGATGGTAAGTGGATGCTGTGGCTCATAGACATCTACATTTAATCTCGATTAAGAATCAAAATGCAGATGCGTTGTCAACCTTGATGACTAAGATGGAATGCCTCAATTCCAGTAAAAATGCTAAACTATCAATAGTTCACTTATCCACTTTTCAATCCTCAGATGAATAACGAAGGGAAATGATGCGAAAGTTTTAATCTAAACAGTAGTACAACAAAAGTTGACAAATGTCTACTAGATCGTGTAATGATTACCATAACATATACTTTTTAATAAATTTTATTATTTTGTTAATACTATATTTTATTAAACGGAATAATTAATAATAATCTTAATAGACCAATAGTAATTTTTACTTACTTTTGTATTCGTTGCAACTTATTGAAATTTGTGAATGTTAAAAAAAGTAGGCAAACAGGTGAACTCATTTTAAAGGCAATCGATAATAAAGAAATATTAATTTAAAGAAGTATATGAACATTAGCTTTCGTCCGAGGGTAAGTCCGAGGGCAAATACCGCGTCTGATATGATTTTATAGTAAATTTTGAGGATAGAAGGTAGCCTAGTTTTTTTAATGTTTCCAGACGACTGAGTAACACATACCTTTTTCAAAAATCGGTTGAGTAGCTTATCATTTGATTTCATAGCTTTTCCCCAAGTTTGCGGTTTAATGGGAAACAATGACAAAATTTATAAAGCCTACCTAGCTGTGATAGTTAACTTTTTTAACAATCAGACGACAACTATCTCAATTTTATCACAATTCGTTCAGCAATTTAGTCATGAAAGCTGGACAAATTTTCGCATTAAAGTAGAAAAGTATAGATTTTCTTTCGGCAATACATTTTACAGCGGATTATGTTTTTGTCTTATATTTTCTGAAGTAAAATTTAAAATTGACAATAATAAACCTAATATTGGATTTTTTATGCGTAAAATTTACAAAGAATCGTGTATTTGGAGCATCCAAATCATTTTTATTGCATTTAAATTACAAAGTGAATACGTTAGTATAATTTATCTTTTAATAGAAGATTGTTCAAACTAATAGAGGAGCTGTCGGGTATTATAACATAAAATAGTAAATATTATTGAAATATTTCAAAATATATATGGGTAAGGTCGTAAAAAGTGTAAATAACGCACTGGAAGATATACCACACGATAACACAATAACGTACTGGAATAATATAAAGGTCAATGTTCACTTGGAAAAAGGTTTAAGTAAAATCCATTTTAAAAATATTATCAATTACTTATTTTCATGAAATTAAGATTAAATAATCAAAAACTAATCTTAGACTATGCATAGACTATGCATATCTTGCATGTTTGCGAAACTAAACACCAAAATAACACAACACATTAGAATTAAAGCCTTTAACAAAATAATGTACTTACAAAAAACAGTAGGTACTAATCAAAGTAGGTTATTCATAAAAGAAATATAACGAATTTAACAAATGTGTTTACAGTTTACAATAAGTACAGATACCGTAATCTTTACCATTTATCACAGAATTTTGTTTTACTGTTTTTTTTTTTTTAATTATAAGGGCTATCCCATTTGAGACTATTCGCGTTCGCACAGAGCCATATTTAAGAAGAAATTGAAATTTAAAAATGCTTTTTTTTTAATGTAATCAATAGGCTAACTATAATATACTATTAATTTAATATGTAATGATTTAAAAAAAAACTTTTTGTGTTTCTCTAATAAACTCAGCATACAAATATAATAAAGCCACATTAAAAAATGTGTTTTTAACAATAACTTATTTATATTTTGCCATTTAATAAAATTAAAAAAATGCTTCTTATCACTTAAATATTTTTATATTATGGTCCTGTGCGAGTGGAAAAGTTGACGAAAGGCGACGACCTCTTAATTAAAAACGGACCTAGTTCGGCTACTGAGGGACCACTAGTAATAATAAATCAGAATAGTATAACACTCCACTCTTATCTAGGTACGTTAGAATAACATTACACCTTTTTCATTTCACCGAAGTCAGTTAAGTTATGTGAACAGCCTCCTTTATAAAAATCCAGTGTGTGACATAACAAACACCATAACATACGTAACGAACTGGAACAAACACACTCGAAAATTCAAAACTCAACAATGAATGCCGGTCATAAATGATGTGCGATTTACTTAATAAAACTTGACATACACTGGTAATTGACTATAAATTTCGAATCAAGCATCCAGTAAACGATATCTTTGTACTTCTCACGTAGAATTGACATATACACTGCCCGAAATTTGAGCTCTAAATTATGGAATTTACAATTGTTTACGGTCACGACTACAAATTAAAAAAATATGTCAAAACTGACATTTGACAGTAAGCCTATGGCATTGCCTCATCGAAATTAGGTCAATAATGTTGTTTAATGTTGAAAACAAAAAATCTATCCCATATCGAATCGGAGTAACACACTGGTTAACTTTTGGAGACACAAATTCGAATGAGATTTTTTTCCACTAGCAATGTATTATTGCAATAATTTATACATTATCACACGGTATCTTTATTGCTTTCAAAGAAAACTACAATTTTAAAACCATAATGGCATATTTTTTTATTTGTTGCATTTTTTCGTCCCGTAAGTTGATAGGAGACAAATAATTTTTGTATGCAGCTTTATTTTGTTGACTCAAAAATATGTTTTTCATGTTTAAGCCTCTTGAATATTATGGTTATTTCTACATTATTCTAAAGATGATTATCAATTTTTTATTAATATAAACATACTTTTTGTTAGAGTATGGTATTCACAATCAAACATGGGCCCACTCAAAACTTTCAAAAAGTAAATTTTTTACGACCTTACCCATATACTGTAGTTTTACTGGTAGTTACCCGGTACCGGTAAATTATTAAACAAGATTACGTCCCTAGCTGTGATACCATTATATACTACAGTCTGCCTAAACACACAGACTAATATGTTGCTACGCATCTTAAACGTGTTCAACAACTTTTTATTTACAATAAGAAAAAAATAATACTTACTGTATTTGTATTTGCGTTTAGTTTACACATTATTTTCAAATAAATATGTATTAAAATTAAAACGATTTCTTTTTTAATGATTATTGTGAAGATCAATCAAAAGCCTAAAATATGCTAATTCGCTCAGTCTGTCAACACAGTTATTCCTTCTCTTTCTTTTCAGAAAGAGACGGTCTGTAAAGATTCGTTGTGAATCCGTTGTTATGGCCTTGGAATAAAGTCTGATTTTATGTAATATTAAAATGCATTTGTATCTTTTATTTATTGAAATTTGTATGACAAATGAGCGAATTGGGTTTCTAGTAGTGATAACAGGACGTAACTGCTTATACTTGTGCTCCCGGTGTGGTTGGCAACCATTCTGTTGTGTTTTATAGTACTCTATGCCTACCCGTCTGGGTGACAAGTTATATAATATGTTATGTAACTACGTATTATGTATAACACAGCGGAGATGAGAATAAAGCTAAATAGAATATAAACAACAAACTCTGTTACTTCATACACTTATAGACATAATTTAATATGTTTCGTAGTGTAGCATACCATAATAATGTACATAAATAATTAAACACAGATACAAAAGAGTGTAAGAACAGTCAAAATTGTAACGTACTTCATTTATTTTTATAATATTATCCAATGCAATTTACCTGTCCAGGGAAATTCCAGAATCCAACTAAAAATTCAAACTCTGGATCACCTGATATTGTTTGACATATGTTAGCAATAATGTTTCTCACCGTATCTTTCATTGTATCTAGCAAAGTATTCAACCATATCTGTAAAAGATATTTATGTATTGACAGCATAGAGCAAGCAACACGAATACCGGCGGACCGGGGGGAGTAGCCATACACAGACGTTGCTCTCTGTCAAAGTACAAGTCCACGCATTCCTATGCGCAGTGTTGCCAGGTCTGGAGGTTTTTCCTCTATCTAGGAGTTTTTGGAGGTCGTTAAGGTTTTCTTAGAGGTTTTAATATCACGAAATTAATCTAGAGGTTTTTTGAAGGTTTTTCACTGGTCTTACCAACTTCCCAATTCTTTTTCAGAACAGACAATGCCGACAATCCATTTCACCGATTAGAATTAATGGGATAATAAAACTTATAAGCTGGCAACACGTTCTTTTACCATCAAATTGTTTTGTCTATGATTTCGGCTAAAAGTCTAGTTTCCACAGCCAAGACTAAACTGATCAACCAATTCAGTTAATTGTTTAAGAATTTATCAAGGATAATTATTCCAAGATGTCTTTTCTGAATAAAATCAAACAGTACTCTCAAAAATAAAACAAATATCCTGGGAGGATTAAGAAGTTTTCAAGACATGGTTGACGAAATGCGTATAGTTTTCAATCCTGATTCACACGAAACTTGGCTGAATAAAAAGACAGAGGTTTTTTATCCCCCTACGTAGGTAAACTAAAGGTTTTTTGAAAAAATCTAGGGGGAAGGTGAAAAAAAAACTGGAAACACTGCCTATGCGTATAATTAAATTAATTGCAGCCGCACTGTTCACTACAATAAATCTACTTGCGCGACTGAATCGACGTCCTACATAAATGCAGAGTTGCTGCAAAAAGAGATCTGCCACGTCAGATTTACATAAAGATGGCAAAACCTTTCATATATTAGTAACCTTTAATCACATTATTGCTATTTACTTCTTCTAGGACTTAAAACTTACAATAATAACGGTCGTGTTGTTTCGGATTTGTTTACAAACAGGTTACGCTCACCCTCATACGATATGCAGATCGGTCGAATGACTGATCTGAGTCTGTATCCGAGTTGTCGCTGTCGCTGAAAGGTACTGTTATAATGTATATAATATGTGTATGTGAAATTGAGTCTATTTTTTATATTTTTTATTTCATCGTTATATGTGAGTTTCGTAGTGACAGACAATTGTTTTTATGTGCGCAGATTTCGCCCCGCAAAAAAATCACGCTATAGCTACTCTCCTCGGGTCAGCCGGTGGCTCATGTTGCTCTATAATCGACAGTTACTTCATAGATAGTGATTAAATAACTTCTGACTACTGAATTTTTTTTAAATTATTATATTATAAACAACTTCTATTGAATTTACAAAGCTGATCAGAACTTGCTTACCTCAACACCGCCCACACAAACCACTGGTCTTTCTAAGTTTATGCTTTCCCCATTATCAGAGTTCATTGTAACAATTCTATCCTTATCGTCAAAGTCCACGGTGAATATAGCGTCGAATATGCTTGGCAGATGTGGCTGAAATTCACTTAGTAATGAGTATTTTATACCAGTATATTACACCAGTACATTAAACCTATGTACGTAGGTAGTTAAAGTTACAGCTTATATACGTCCCACTGCCAGGCACAGGACGGTTTTAGGGCGAAGAATTGTTCGCCGCCCAGCCCCAATGCGTGTTGGCGAACTTTACGTGTTTTTTAAATATATTTATTTCTTATATCTCAGACATGCACGTTTCCTCACCATGTTTTCCTTCACCACCGAGCTCGTGGTAAATCAACACTTAAAATTGCAATTAACGATTTGGTGCCGCCGGTGGGGATCGAACCCGGGTTGCTTGCGTACTGTGATATTTACAGCGAGCGCTAACCGTCTGAGCTGCAACGGTTCTATGTTGTATTTATTGTATTTTGATTTTTTTTTTGTGAAACAATATTTTTGAAATAATTTTACTACCGAAACGTTTGTGATAAATAACAATGAGTAATTTTGTTTAGAGCCCGTCCCTAAAACATAAATAATATTGTAACATTGTGACAAATTATTGTTGTTGAAGGGTTCATCGAATGCATCACTAACCTCTGTATATACGTATACGTACGCTGAACTGGCTATACCATACAAAATGTCTGAGCCAATTTGAAGCGCAACTATTGATTGTCTTGAGAATTAATATTGACATAATATGCCAAAGCCTGTTGTCTAATTTAAAAAATCTGTATTTTGAACTTTTAAACTAAAAACGAAAGTATTTTATGTTGTTTGATTGTGTATAACTTTGTTTACATGATAAGAATTAGTTTTAATAATAATGAGTGTTTGTAATCTGTAAAACTCTTTACCAAAAGGAAAGTGGTATAAAATTCCATAAGTTAGTGAATTAGCAGCTAATATCAAACAAATTAAAATTATTTGATAATATAGGTACTTATAAATTTGTTACTAATTTTAATATGATAATTACCAACATTTTTGTAGGTATGTATATTACTGAGTTTCGATAAACAATAAAATTCAATAGGGTTGTCGGTGTTCCTTGTCTATAATATTTATCGATGTTCTTTCCTACCCATATCTGTTAACAAACAAAGTTGCCAACAACAGATAATTATCAAATGTTTATTAATTAACAGGTTTCCAACTGAACCTAGACTAAAATTATGGCTTAAAAACATAAATGTTGTGAATTGGCGTCCGAAACAAAATGATCATCTTTGTTCCAAATATTTCACAGACGACTTTTTTATTAGACATGAGAACCGCAACATTTTGAAAAAGTGCTGTTTACCCAAAATATTTTCTGGTAGTACCAGTAAGTTTAAAGTATTAGATTATTATTTCGAATGTTTTTTTTTTATTTTTTTTCTCATTTTCCCTAAACTCTAGGGTCATAGCCAAGTGTAGAAAGGTCTTCTGATGATGTCGAGCCACGTTGGATGTGTGTCAATGGGCTGCGGCTAGAGGAAATTCCTTTCCCTGTACCGCTGCAGTCGAGGTGGAGTCGTAAGGGAAGTGGAGTATTTGTATAGCGATTGGCGATACGCCATGCAATCCTCCGCGACTTTGGTGAGGCTGCACCACTTGATGCTTCCAAGTGCTCGTTTTTTCCTGGCTCCATTCACATATCGAAAGAAAAGATATAAGAAAAGAGCTTATTCCTTTTTCAAAGGCCGACAACGCAATCTGCAATTCGCATGATGTTGCAGTTGTTCATGGGCGACAGTAATCACTTACCATCAGCCCCCACTCCTATAAAAAAATATCGGGCTCGGGGAGTCCATAGTGCTGGTGGAGTTAAAGGCCGCGAAGGGCAGTGAGCCTTGTGTGCTGGTGCGCCTTATCTGAGAAAGTAAATGTGGAAGAAAAGTCGACAACTAAGAAGGGACTTCCATTGGGCGGCTGGTGCTGGTAGGGCCGCTGATGTGCATGAAAGCATTTCCTTGGCCCTGCCAATTTGCGGCGGAGGTAGAACACCATGGGGGTTTAATATTTAGTAAATGCGAGTCTAGAGGTTTAATTCTCTCTCGAGTCTCGAGATTTAATTTGTGCTTTAACTTCGTAGTGGCCCTACTTTAGTATCTTTCTTATTTAAAATTCTGCCCATCGTTTTTAAGCCCCCCCCAGAATATGTGGCACTGCCGAAGCTGGAAAGCTTAGGAGCTAGTGCAATATGCACCGACAAAGGTGATCCGGATGTTGGTCTCGAAACCATGGAAGGCGGTACGTTGTTGCCTCCAGAATATATGGAGCTGCCCGAGATTGAGAGCCTGGGAATAGATTCTTCGTTTTTATGTTGGTATCTTGGTTTTTCTTTTTCTTTTTTATTAGTAGCAAACCGTGGCAAATTAGATTGTTGTTTATCAATATAAATTTGGTATGTAAATCAGAACACAAGCTACCAGGAACAGAATGTCACTTCAAAAGAAGGTAAGATCTATTTCTGAAGTCTGTGATGATATGAAACATGATCATCGTTATGAATGTTTACCTGGGACAAATAGTCTGAGTAGGTAAGTTCAACTTCGACCGAAAGGTCAATCGACGGATTCAACTCGGCTGGGCAGCGTTCGGGAGATTACAATACATCTTCTCGTCAGGCATACCTCAGAACTAGATTATACAACCAGTGCGTATTGCCAGTGATGACCTATGTATCTGAGATGTGGTCCTTCACTGCTAGCCGTATGAGGAAGCTAGAAGTTGCTCAGCGAGCTATGAAGAGGATTATGCTCAGGGTTTTCCCGCGCGTTAAACTTACGAATGAGGATCTCCGCAGTAAAACCAGCGTGACTGACATCGCCCAATTAATTAGTAAGCTGAAGTAGCAATGGACCGGCCATATATCTCGAACAACTGATAACCGACGAGGAGAAAAGGTTCTCGAGAGGCAGCCTCGTACCGGCAGGTGAAGTGTAGTACGTCTCCAAATAGATGGAGTTACAACCTGATAAGATATGCAGGAAGTTGATGGATGCAGGTGGCTCAGGACCGTGCTTTGTGGCATGTGGGAGGCCTATGTTAAGCAGGGGAATTGTGAAGGGCTTGAATGATGATGAATGATAATGGCTTTATATTAATATGATACATAAACAGAAGGGACGTTACGGTAGAGGCCATCTATCCATAGAGTATATTCTAATTATTTAGGTATAGGTAGGGTATAGAATTTTTATCGATATATTTTTTCAAACTGTCTTATCCTTATTATTAGTTCCGTGGACGTCCAGTTTTGCTATCAGCGCCAAAATGACGCAAATCAAATCGCCTCATCATGTCACGGTGCCAGCCAGTCCAGCGTACTTGTGTATATATATATATATATATATATATATATATATATATATATATATATATATATATATATATATAGGTCAGTGGAGTGCATCGAATTATTTATAGATAGCATGTTTAAATTCACTTGTAGAAAAATATATTTACGTTTAGTTGGGTTAGGTGTATTTAGTTGCTTGTATAACGGCAACTTGCAGTACCGCAATATTGGCTCAGCAAACCGCAATAACTAAATCCACCGCATCGGAATAGGCAAAAGCAGTAAAATATAACCAAGGTAACCAATCTTTAAACGTAAATATCCAAGTTCAATAAAATATTAGAAAACGCACCTGAATTGAATGTGGGTCAGAAGCTTGACCAAGAATCTCCAATAGAACAGGGTCGGATACAAAGAAAAACCTCGGGAATATAGCACGTTTGGTCTCCAAATATCCGCTGAGTGATTTCTGACAGGCCTCTAATTGATCATGCAAATGTGGGAGCATTTGCTTCAAACTATCGTCTGATGTACACGTTTCCACGCAGTTAGCAATATCACGGGCGCGATACATTATTTTTACGTAAGATTTATCAATCGTCTGTAAATAAATAGATGAAATATTCATATGGGTCATGCTAGTCTATCTTATCCTTAGTTTAGAAAGGAACTGAATGCTATATTAGCAGCAGACAGCTTGACAACCATATCAAACAAGCGGAAAGTTATTACATTTAAGTGACTTTGGACCATACTTTTAAGCTGAATCTGGGGTTCACGTATGGCTCTAATAATAATAATGAATGTGACGTCAACGTTGTTGTACTGGAAGTTATCATGTACGTATTTTATACTTACAGCAAATCTCTTCGCTTCAGCGGGCAGCTGTTTTGCAATATCGCCTCCTACAAATACTGCTTCCAAGTACATCCATAAATTTTGTACTTGTAACCACTTCTCCAAAATATCAGATGTACTTACTAACTTATTGATCCATAACATTATGTCTTTTTTGAACGGAGGATTGTATCTAAAATAAGTGATTAAAATGGTTGTATGTTTTAATCCGTAGACGGAGAGCCGATATGAATTTGGGTTAGGTATTTTAAACATTTTAATATTTTGCATAATAGTCGCTATTCTTAATACTAGACAAATTTGAAATGTAAGCCTAAGTGGTCATTTGCGGTATTGAATCTCAAACAATTTTATATAAAGTAAGTAATTTTATAATAATCTGTTCTTCTTTATTATACAAAATTATTACCTATTCGAAGCAAGAGAATTTAGAACCATTAAAGTGTCTTCCAACAGTGTGATAATATCAAGTGTCTCTTGCGGCTTAATGAGAAGTTCACCTCTATTCTTAAAGTTTGCAAATGTCAAATTCACTACGGCCCAGTCCGATACTACTTGCTTAAGTTTCGCTTCTATATCCTTTTCTTTCACCGCACTAATACAAATATCCTGGAAGTAAAAAAAAAATACAAAATCGTTATAAAACTCTAAATACAGAAGATATTTCTGGCATTTCCGGCCATGAAGCTTGCTTGTCCTTTTAAACGCTTTAAAGATGAGTGTTCTTTTTTTATTTGCAATTTAGGCTAGCGTACATTTGAAAATTGGTCCGACAACATTATTTATAGATAAACAACTATTAAACTATTTCTCATAAACAGCAATTATGTGTTAATATCAATATACATATGTCACATAATATATAAAACGGATAAATTAGTTATCAGAAACTTAATCAAATAGAGATTCTAAATTATTGGTTTTTATTGTTCTGGCTTTTACCTCAACGTCCTCTTTATACTTTAATAGTGGCGCTTCCATTACATTCGCTAAAGTGAATGTATCAGATTCTACATCCAATACACAATCTGAAAAATGCATAAGTAAATGAAATACTGTCGCTGTAATTTTATTTATTTATTTAACTTCATATACGCTGAAATATATATAGGGGAACTTAATGCCATTAAAGTAGTGCAGAGTTAAAAGAAGTAGCTGTAAAAAGAAGTAGGTACAGAAATTCTATAAACAAACGTATACAGACTTTAGACTTTAGACGTAATTCTGTACCATCACCTACGAGTATCATTAGTACTCACTCATTAGTTGTTCTAAACGTCTCCAATGTCGTTCTTTCATAGATTTATCAGCCATTAGCTCCAGTAGTGGACATGTTTGATTAAAGTCGTCGATTTTATTTTTCAAGTCAATATAAGCCGGCCAATCTCTCATACCTCTCGGCAATTTTCGGCATCTGAACATGAGGAAAGCTGGCAGTTACCTTATTTAGTATCAACAATATACGAGTAAAACGTCTATATAATGAGGAAATCTTGTTACTTTAATTAGGCTAAATTATATACCAAATTATTTAGATTCAAGACAAAAGACAATACAGGTGCAGCATATAATTTACTATTTCAATTTGTATATTCATATCCTATAGTATTAGATAAATACATAGATATGAATTGAAGTTTAAGATTATGATACAGTTTAAATCAATACTGCGCAATAAAAGTGTAAGGACTAACTACTTACTTAACAAACACGTGTTGCATGTTATCAAATATTATGATTAAATTTTCTTATTAGGTAATGCTATTATACTTATTACATAAATATAATATGTATTCGACAAAATTTGACTGTTTGATATATTATAAAGGTGTGCTTTATTACCTAACATCAAACTCATTTAGCTGTGCAACAATTTGTTCAATGTCAATATCAACCCAAGGTGTTTCAAAATAGCCATCGATGGAATTCATCACCGCAAGATACAAACTATACCTGGTGAAGAACGAGAACGAATTTCAGTTCATCAATTTTTATAACTGAATTTGTTAAGAAAACAATCTAAATATACTTTCAATATCTTACAATTTATTAAGTAAATTAAATTCTCTCTTTTTCTGATGAAGAATGGGATAATCTTTCACTTCCATTCCGAACAATTTTTCACCACTGGAGTACATTTCAAATCGTCGCCATAATTCGTCAAACCTTGACTGGAACATTATGACTCTGTAAACATGAACATAAAAGAAATATTATAATACATTCTTAGAAATAGTTCACTGCTGAAAATAGCCCTCTTCACAGCTAGCCTCATACCTCATACCATTTAACCATATAGCTGCCACGTGTTGGCAACCGCAGTTTTTTATTATCCTAGTTTGATTATTTACCATTACACCCAACATATTAATAGATGCTGTGCTATATTAGCATAAGCAGTTACCGTTACATCCTATTAACGTTCACTGCTGAGCATAAGCCTCCCCCATAGATTGCCTCATAGGAGGGATATTTACCACACTTTGCCACGCTGGGCAAGCGGATTGGTAACCGCAGATTTTTTAGTCGTTATTAGGAGACGCTGCTGCTCATCCCCTGGTTTGTGTTCCCCTGTCGCCTCATATATACATATGATATTATGGGGGAAGTAGATATTCTCGCACCGCCACGACACGGTACACCACGTGAAAATTAACACAATAATATAATTTAATACCTATCGCTGGCGTCTCTAGCAGACAACCCCGGCGTCATTGGTCCAAAAGCATCATAATCAGCGTCAAACTTCAGCACATCCTCGAGGAACGACGACACCCCTTCAGTAAGCTCCTCTTGTAATGGGCCTTGCATATCTACAATTTTTTGTTGAACTTGCTGCGACTGTAAGAAATTGATTAAAAGTAATATTGATCAAAAATATTTAAGTTATTTAATTGAAATTACATTCATGCTGAATATAGTTGAGAATATTAATCACGTAGGCCCTAATTTACCTTTACACGTTAAATAAAAATATTTATACGGCTTTTATCGCGTTTAATTACCTTGTTCTTAACTTATTTTAACTAGCTCTGCCCGCGTGGAATCAGTACTTTTGCTATTCTAAGTGATGATGATTTATTTGTAAATTAAACTGTCGCGAAGACTTAAAAATACACTATCTGAATTCAATATTCAGTTAGTCGGTCAATCAGACAAACAAAAAAATGAATAAATAAACGGATCCACAAACGAACCAAGAAACGAATAGGCCAAGCTGTAGGCTTGTGTTTTATTTTGTAAATAAACAACAAAATGACCGCAATAACATAATCCATTTGCTCCCGAATTTCTCTAGCCAATACTTGGTTTTCATACAACAAATAAGATATTGCCCTAAATAAGCAAGCACCATCACTAATTATTGATATTGAATAAAAACATTGAAATGAAAACTACTTACTATCCAATGCCTACCTAAAAGTAAGTATCTAAACTAACAAAATAAATGAAATAGCGTAAGCATCTATACTTTGTCTCATCCTGCAAACAAATGAAAAATAAAACTAAAGTAAACCTTGGAAAGTTTTTTGACCTTTAAGTAATAGGTGTCATCGAGCTTAAAATCCGTTGGGTTTTCTATCTAGAAATTCTCAGTAGCAGACCGGAGTCAAGGATTTAGCAGTGTTTTATCCCTATGCCTCAGAAAGCACGTAAAGCCATTTTATCTGTATCTGATCGGACTATATTTTTGTCGGATTACTAACTCGAACATAATGATAAATAGACAATTTTTAATATCTTGTATATAATGATCAATAGGGGCAGATTTTTGTAAAGTTCTATAATAAGTATTATTCATAATTATCATAATTTCGTTTTACGGATTTCCCCACCACCATGCAATTAAAAACCATTTTTTCCCTCGCTAACCATGTATCCTGGTTTTAACACTTCAGGTGGTGAGATATTAGGAAAATAAAATATAAAATCTAATTGCATTATTTTAATCCTAAAGTATTCATAATAATTTTATAGTTGCAATAATCATTTAATAAATTTCCCTATACTAATATGAAATCACCCCGTAACAAACATTTTTAAAACCTTATTTTATTTTTAATTTTCAAGACTTCTTTCTTAGGGATGCCAACTTAATAAAAGGAAGTTATTGTTCTAATTTCACGCATCTACATCCAGCGGTTTGAGCTGTAGATTTAATACAATATTTTTCATACAAAATAGGAACCCTTGCTTTAAAACCTTAAGAGGCAAATTTTATTATTTAATTAATTTAAAGAATTAATATTTTTCTTCCTTCATTATCTGCCACCTACCCCGCTAAGAGGTTCTTTTAAGAAGCACCAAAATATTTTATTTCCATACAAAATTGCATACCCTCTGCCCCTGCCCTCTCTATCGTAACGGTTTATTTTGAAATCGCAAAATACGTATTTATTTATTTTTTAAATACAGTACTCTCAGTAAGCATCGAGTCAATCGCCCTAAAATATGTTTGTAGTAAAATAACAGACCCTTATTTCACCCTCTTAGGGGTCGAATTTTCCAAAATGATTTCATAGCGGATTTCTACGTCATAAAAGGTACATACTGTCCAAATTTCAGATTTCCCCTTCAAGCTGTTTAGGTTGAGCTTGTGCACTGGTATCTATGACTCAGTATATAAAGAGTATATTATAGTAGATACACAGTGAACAGTGACTTTTTTCGATAAATGGCAAAACTAACTTTACGGCAAATAAAATTTTATTCTGTTGAGGAAATGGAGAGGCCTATGTTCAGCAGTGGACTTTAAAATACTGTAACGTTTATTGGATAAAAGCAAGAAACTTAGATTTGCTGGTCCAATACAAACGTTGCGTTGAAAGCAGCAAGCAAAGTAATTATTTACATATTATGTATTATGTATATATTCCTTCATATCTCATTTATAATTAAACCTTATGGTGCTTAAAAATACTTGTAGCACCATCTATATAAAATTATAGTAGTTAATTTATTATTACAGTAAAATAAAAATTATATGATATTAGAAAAGCACAGGAAGGAATAATATTAAAAAAAAACTCAAAATCGAGTAACGTAATTTTTCGATTTCACGATAGTATAAATTTTAAAACTTTTGGAAAGTAGAGAAGTAGGAAAGTAGGAAGTATAATATGTTTACTGCCAAACTTCTATGATCATTGCCGAACTTAAAGAAATTGTTAATAGCTCTTTCAAAATTTGATTTACCATGTTGTAGGTACCTACTCGGAGGTTAAGAAAAAAAATCATAAGCACACCTTAAAATTTAATAAATAATTTGCACAACACCATCTATCGATGGCATTGGTTAACTATTGAACTTTTTTAAAGATTAAGAGGATTTATAGGTAGGTTTACTAGCTTGCTAGGCAAACGTCGTTTTGCCCTTTTCGACCCTTTGTCATGTTCTATTCAAAATCCTTAAATTTGAATAAAAATTGTGGGTCACTCATGGGCAAAAAACTATCGTATCTCTCAAGTTGGACCAAATTGCACATGATGTGCGAATTTGATTAAAATCGGTTGAGTAGTTTAGGAGTCCATCGCGGACAAACAACGTGACACATAATTTATATATATTAGGTATATTTTTTATAAATATATATTACGTTATTCTTTATATTATTTTTGTTTACTGCGTTTAGATATAACTATAACATTATAGAACACTATTTTACATTATTTAATTATAAAAATGCCCTTGATCACTCAATGCCAACATTGAACAAATTCGTACCCATACTTCAGAATATAAATCATAACTTTTGATAGGATGAACCGATTTTAATAAAACAAAGACTAAATTTGAAACGAAGATACGCTTCACAATTTTCGTAACGATTATTTTGATGATGAAATTTGTAGAGTAGCCCCCCACTGGATAGTCGCAATCTCGTTAGACAGGAAGTCAAATGGATTTAGGTGGTTTAGGAGTGTGTTGTTGCTGTGATGATGATTTACTATGTGTTAGGACTTATTTCTGCCTGGAAGTCTGCGTGGGCAGTGATCATCCTCTTCACCTGTTTGTGCCACAAGCAGCAGTATGTGTCCCAGCCTGAAGGACATTGAGAGTCAGTCACTTCAGTATTGATGAAGATAATTGTTTTAGCAAATAGATATTATTACTATCATATCATCAGTACTTTATAAATGATACGTTAACAAACAAACATACAGAACGACAAACAGACAATTCTAAAAATGATAGAAATGTATTCAGTTACTTATTTCTAGTCTCTCTCAATCAATTTTGTTACAAAAATTTAAAATGTACACACATCTGAAATTCACATTTTTATTATATGTAATAGATTCCCGACGCTTCGGGTGCTTTACAGCACTCATGGTCATTGAGGGGACTGAGATGTTGAACTTCCCAATGGCATAGCCCGGCTCCCTTCAGTTTTTAAATAATAATTTTTGGTCTGATCTACGCAAAACGAGCTTACAGTATCTTGAAGTCCTGCAGTGGTATGCTTGGCTACATCTTGAAGCGAGCTTCCATCAAAACATACCACAAGCCGCCGAAGAAGATTAGCCAATTTTTACCATCCATCAAGTGTAACATTCCTCTACAATATGCAAGAGTGTACAAGCTAGATTGTGAATGTGGTCTCTCTTACATAGGACAAACAAAAATATGTATAAAAACCGCATGAAAGAACATATAGCTGACGTGAAGCACCGACGCTCCGAGAAGTCTGCAGTCCGTAAATATATTAAAGATCGTTACCATTACATCAGATTTGATAAACTACAAATCATCGCAAAAGTACACAGATTGCTACCAAGGATAATACGTGAGACTATTTCAATTAAAAAACATTCTAATTTCAATAGAGACAATGGATGGGGGCTGCCATTTGCTTGGGATCCTATTATTAACAAAATTAAATCCAAACTCAAGCATGCCACTGCAAGACTTCAAGATACTGTAAGCTCAAACTGAAGGTAGCCGGACTAACCGTGACATTGGGACGTCTTCAAACATCTAACCCCCCCCCCCCCACCGTGACCAAAAAGGAAAGCACCTGAAACGTCAGGAATTAAAAATAAAGTAAGTAAACACGATAAAATCCGTATAAATAGTTTTATTCAATGTGTGTGCGCAAATTTCAGAAATCATTATCGCTACACATTACATTTTTGGAGGAGTAAAAAGCTAACTTAACGTAATGGTTATTTATTATAGTAGGTATCTTATTTTTTAATTGATTACTTTGAACAAAAATATAGAGACTAACAGTTGTTAGCATATTTTGGAATGCATAACGTAGACCGTAGACTAAATCTGCATCTTCTTTCGGTATATCAATATTAAATTGGTGAAAGGTAGCATAACTTTCTTCAATTAAATCTAATTCCAAATCCATTCTGAAAGAGTAAGTTATAGTTTACACGAGAGAAATACTATTTACTTAAAAAACAATAATTGAAATGCAGTAATAAAAGTTTAAATCTGATCACCTGTTATGAAGACATAAGTATTTAAAAATAGAAATCAATAAAAGAAGAGGGGGTAATATTGTAACTAATAGTGTCATTGGTGTAGTGACGTCTCGGTAGCATAGCGTATTCCAGGTATTTTACTCTGTCACAGCGACTAAAGGTTTGACTGTGACTGTGCGAAGCCACGGGTTTAAATTTCGCACGGAACAAATGTTTGTAAGGCCGGGTTATTCCGTTTATCCACCCTAAGAAATCCACCCTTGAGTGGATACTCGAAAACGCGTATTCGTTTATCCACCCTAGACGGTGTGGATAATCGAAATTCGTATATTATTTTTTCTTCCGATTTTCCCCCTTGGCTAAGTACAGTCGTTTATAAAAACATAATGGAAACTAGCCCAACATAGAGATGGCTTAATAGACATTAGCACACTTATAAAAATAAATACATACTTCCTGTTTAAAGGTCAAAACTGTATTTCTGTACCTTTAATTATTCAATTACATATCATTCGATGTGACTTAATTTACGTCATTTTAGAGATATCTTTATGATGAAAGAAATGTTTCATCGCAATTAATTTCAATTATATTTTATTGAAGTTGGTATTTAAATGAAATAAATATATTGTTAATTATATAAAAAATGTCCTTTACCGAGAGACGAATTTATACAGAATGTACAATTACGTCTACTCAGTAATGAAATTAGTGTTGGTCATTACCCGGATACATTGCAGAATTTATAAATTACTTATTATTATTTAAAACAAGGAAGATTAATTTGGTTTAAATGCAATATACACAATATGATTTTTGTTTAAGGTTGTGTTCATTAAAAATTTATCAGTAATATGTTAAAGTATGAATATATTTTCTGTTGAACTGTAATTGGGGTGGAAAGGCGGAACAACAATTAAAAAGTGAATTCCGATTATCCAAACTGTCTAGGGTGGATAAACGAATATCCACCATAGGGTGGATTTCTTACGGTGAATAAACGGAATAACCCCTAGGCTCAGGCGTCATTTTTTAGTTTTTTAGGTAGGTATTTCCAGGAATTTAGTTACTAACTTCTGGATGTAATTACTTTACTTCTGTTCATTATTAATTAGTTCACAAAAAGTCTTGTGTTGTCAAAATTCAAACAAGGCGTTGGTAATAAAATAAAAACAACTTTATAATTACAAATGTAATCTTTAGAAGAGTGATATCAATAAAAAAACACGTTTAAAACTGATATATTAAGTCAAAATGACTGGCAAAATACTTTCTATCATGTTTGCTTTATTTATTATACGTATGCATCAATCAATATCGAATAATCAATAAAGATTCTTTAAGCACTTTGCGGCTGGTGACTTCTTTTGTTGAATATAAAGACTAGGAGGAATAAAACACAAGGGTGCAGGCGAGTGATTTGTTTGTGATCCTTTCTTGCCATGTGATACTCAAGATACAGCGCACGCAGCGTATATTATGAAATGCCATTGAGTCGACAATCTAACAAGTAGTATGCTGAGTATGTACGCTTGGTAAATAAATATTTTTGATCAAGTTTTGAAATGGTTGTTATCTCATACTCTTGTAAACAGCTTTATATTACATATACATAAACACTCACGCCTGTAACCCAGAGGGTTAGGCATACTGCAGACTTCTATTTGCCACGATCCTACGCATACATGCTCGTCGGTAAAGGGTACTCTTAATTTGGCCCATTGACAATATATCGCCAAATTGGTCGATAAACTTTCGCCTAGGACATCCCTTTCCGACTTTATATAATTTATTACTATTCCATATTATAACAGTTTACTTTTGTCGACCAACACTATAAAATACCGACCTAGCTGCCTTGTTGGTCTAGAGGTTGTGAATACGACTGCTAATCATGAGGTCTCGGGCTTGAATCCCGGGTTTTTTTTTAAATAAATTCTCAGTAACTGCCCGGAGTCAGGAAGTTTGCGGTGTCTCACCCCCGTGCCTCGGAAAGCACGTAAAGCAGTTGGTCCTGCGCCCGATCTCTCCGGTCGTGACGGTTTAGCGTCCAATCGAACTATGAATGACAAAAAGAGAGTACACCCGTGCACATACAGTAAAAACGGGCAGTAAAAACCTGTCCCGCGTAGATGGATAGTCTTTGTTGAGGCTAGACGCCGTGACGGAAATTCGATCTGGAGAACATTATTATTATTACTATACAGACCTTTGATTATGATACTGGTATATATACCTACTGATTGTGATATTATAATGTGCTGCTTTGAACAATAATATACTGAATATAATAAACTTACGTAATATTTTACTATATGGCTTAGCTTATTTATCGTAATACATTAAGAACGTAATACAATAAGTTATTAAATAAAAAAATACCCAATAAATTCGTCTCGTATCAATTCGAGGCACATTATGGCAACTCTAACGTCATCCAAATCCTTAATTTTTTTACTCATTGTCTTCATCCGGTCGTTAATGAATTGCATAAGTTTTTTCACACGTTCCCTGTATGACTGACTCAGTAACTTGCCCAAGATTCGTTTCCATTCAACAGATTCAACATGTAGAGCAAGTTTAAGTTTATCTAAAAAGACATAAAAAATAAGTGATGATATTATTCTAATTTAAAAAAAAAGACAATCATAAGCTTGAACGGATTAGTAAACTAAAATGTCAATGGGCCGGCCATATACCTCGAAGAACCGACAACCAATCGGAAAGAAAGGTCCTCGAGTGACAGCTTCGTACCGGTAGACGAAGTGTAGGGCGGCCCGTCACCAGGTGGAGTAATGACCTGGTAAGACATGCATAAAAACGAGGGACGGTGAGCACCAGACCGTACCTACTTTGTGGTATTCCTTGAAGGAGACCTATGTTCAGCATTAGACTTCTGAAGGGCTGTAATGATGATGTTGATGAATCTTGTAATTGTGATGTAAGAATATCCAGGAACCCATATATCCCGCGGGTGCCTTAAGAAATGACAAAGGGAAACTGAAACAAGGAATGAGTAGCAGCATATTCCTCATAAAAATTAAAAAAAGACAAATTAAAAAAAAATTGAAATTAAAATAACCAACTCGCCCGCCAAGCGTGACAACAAAGTAATCTATGGGGGAGGGTAATTTTTTCAGTGGAAATTGAAGCTCTAAAATTGAAATTAAAAAATTTAATACTGATTTGATGTTTGCAACCGATTGGATGTTTGAATTCATGACAGATCTGAACAATAGTCTGTCAGTCTATTAAAAAATAACCATTTTCATTTTCCTCAGCCAACTTTTATGCTACCACTGCGGTAAATCTTCCAAAGCATACTTCATAATATATATATATATATATATATATATATATATATATATATATATATATATATATATATATATATATATTTGATTAAAACTACTTTTACGGATTTTATCGCGTTTATTTTACTTTTAATTACTTTTATTTTTAATTCCCGGCGTTTCGGGCGCTTTCCAGCCACCCATGGTCACGGGGGACTGAGATGACTGAATTAAAAATAAAAGTAATTAAAAGTAAAATAAACGGGATAAAATCCGTAAAAGTAGTTTCAATCAATGTGTAGTGTTCGCGTAAATAGAAATCATTATACCCATATTTATTTGAATAGATCCAATAATATGTTTCTCTGGTAAATTGACAACTTCTTCCGTCTGTGCTTCATACATCTTCAACATATCTCTTATTATTACATTGAGAGGATTTGAATCTACGAATTCTTGTATTTGTTGAACTCTATCCTCGGCCCACAAATGAGCGAATCTATTATATCCCTAAAATGGGCTTGTAATAAACAAAGACATAAGCAACCAAAGGACAAAAAAAATAGGAATATACAGGTGGCTATAATAAACATGTTTATTGAAAAATGAACAATAATAAAATCACTTGTAGGCGAAGTACAAATGAATAATGAGAGATAAGTAGCATGGTAACAAAAAATGGATGCCAGTAATAGAGAAGTTCCATAAATTTTTAGCCACAAATTTGTATATAAATGAAAGAATAATGTTTTTTTATTAACAATTCTATTTTTTTTAGTAATGAGGTATTAATAAAAAATGGTTCAATTTTTGAATTAAAGAAACCACTTGTGATTGGTTCTGACGTCATTATATCCGTTGAGGCTGTGAGCCAATCGCAATCATGCTACATTCTGGTAATTACTAGTATAGAGGGAGTCCTAAAAAAGAAACAATATTCTTATAGCTGAGCTCTTTATATATATGGTATCGTATAACATGGTACACAATAAGGTATATTATTTTTACCTTCTTTCTTTTACCGTTGTTGCCGTTTTTGCATTTCATAGACACTCTTATTGATGTGCCATTAGTGAAACAAAAAACGTCGATTAATTCATTTAGTTTATGACTTAGTAAACTTGAATTTTTTTATGAAACTGGTACATACTACTTATTTATATTAGTGAAAGTTTATGGAAGACATCTTACAATAAAAACATAGTCAAATAATGCGGAATTTCGTACTATCGTTGTATAATTTAAAATATATCGTGAAAAGGTCATTAAGAAATCTAGTTAATTTCTGCCGGTATGTTTCCGCCAAATTATCCTACACTTATTACGGGTTTCAGAAATAATGATAACTGTGTTTGTTTAATCGACACTGGGTTTGCTTTACAGAACGTACGCAGAGAGCACTGCTACGATTATATAATAACAGCGGCACGACACGAACACATTCTGCCTTCTCTTTTGTTGCTAAATCACAACTAGCAATAAATCGGTTACAAGAGTTTCACCCTTCCTGTCTGCTCCCTCGAGATACTATCTATCATTCATTCATTAATTACAGCTTATCAATAGCTCACTGCTGAACATAGAGGGATAATGGTTTGGCTACCACAATTTTTTATTTTTTATTATTGTAAGTTGTTATCAAGAAGATACTGTTGCTTATCCCCTTCTATCTTTTTCCTCTGTCGTCTTTTACAATACTCACGGGATGGTATGGGATCTTATGAACTTTTAAGTAATAATCTATGTTATTTGACAGGAGGTAGTGGTTTCTTTTACGCCGCCGCTACACGGCATTATCAAAATCTTGCTTTAATTTCATGATTTCGAAATATTTTCATCCAAGCAGATACAGCTTTGTTGAATATAGTCGATGGGTTTTCGCTAAGCAAGGATAAATCAATATAAATAGAGATCAAATGCCGCATGTATGAAATATCATCACTTGAGGACGTTTTTTTTTTTTTGCGCCCGAAGCAAATATGGGCAACCCGGGGGGGAGGGAGGGTTAACATACGCGGCTGCGTGGTTATGTGGAGACTTTTACCCACTTCTTTTAGGAATTGTAGAGATTGGTACAACGGACCCTCCTTGGCAGAAAGGAGGGGTTTACAACATATAACAAAAACCCTGTGGTTCCCGTTAGGTGTATTATCAGAATCAGTATTTAAGCGTGCGGAAATATTTTTTTTTTTCAAAAAACATATTTAAAAATATTTATTTTTAATGAAAAAAAAAATAATTTGCAAATTGCATTTGGTTTTATTTCCTCTAACTCACACGAGTATCGGTAATGCGGGGTCTTTGACAATCCTCTTACTCCTCGGCCAATGCAGAGATAATAAATCCACATATAATTTGCAAAAAAAATTTTTTTCATTAAAATATCTTTTTATAAATGTGTTTTTTTTTTTGAAAAAAAATTGTTTCTACATGCTTGGATACTGACTCTGATAACGCAGTTAAAGGGAACCACAGGGTTTTTGTTACATGTTGTATATTTATGTTCTTTGTAACCGCCTTCGTAGTTTTATCACTGGCCTAAGGTTGACTGGCAGAGAATACTTTTAGCATTAAGTCCGCGTTTTGATCCTGTACTGATATAAGGTTCAACAAAGTTTAAATAAATAAAGGGCTGTACCGATTTTGATAAACACTCACATTCACAATTGAATCCGATAAAATAGAGCTGTTGTCGAGATCTAGAAAACAGTCGTGCGCAGTTGAGGTGGATCGTTAGCATATAAAATTGAGATTACAAATGGGATCCAATTCGCTTATGTACCGTGTGTCCGTAAAGACTCAGTATTCATACCTCCCTATCAATTAATTTTTTATATGTTTGCGAAACGAATATTTGCGATGTAATATAGTTATAATTATCATCACTTTATTTAGAAAACAAGTTACTTGATCGTTTGAATAATAATGATAAGTCTAGTTCTATTTATTTTATATATTTTTAGATATACAGAATGGGTATCACATATATGCAATAAATGAAACCACATACTTGTTATCGCATTTGCTGACGATATACAAAAAAAGAACGAAATCGGACCATTAATCAGGTCAAAAAGTAGCGTTTTAAATTTGAGCTAATTTGAACTCTCTGTAGAATTAGATCACTAGGTCAATGTTTCAATGAACTTGAATACTTGAACATGAACGTGATTTTATAACGATGTGAGACTATGTTCGTCGACAGCGGCGTCTTTTGGCGGCGTCCTTCAAAGGCGTAGAGTAGGACACCTGTTATCGACCATTAGCTTTCAAAGAGAGTAATGGCCGATAAACAAAAAAAAATATGTTTAGCTTTAAATACTTAGGGCATCGTAAATTTAGAATTATCATGCTGTTATGATAATTCTAAAAACACTGCGACCCAAGTATATTTAAAAATAAACTTTAAAGCTTTTTTGTTCTAGTATGTTCTTGTAGATTTAAAGATAATAATTTGTTTTGACATAATAAAAAAGCCCATAAAAATAACCAATTGAAAAAGTCATACTTGCTAGGAAGTCACAAAGTTAAACTTTTTAACCAATCAATAATTCGGTAATTGTTAAAATACAAAATTACTTGTATTCAAATGCCTTGTTTAGGTAGTTGATGAGTAAGGGTAAAAAAAGTATCGGTAAACGATAATTACACCGGGTGCTTGTCCTATTTATTACTTTTATTATTTTCCCCATCTTGAAAGTTGGCGGTTTCGCTTTCAGTTCACCGCGCATCTTCCGGGATAGAGTGTGTGCGTTTCACTTCTTGCGCGCATTGCTTCAAGTGATTTATTATACAAATATTTAAACCATTTTCTTACGGTGAAATGGAACACTTATTAGCTAACTGACGTGTAATGAGTTTTTAGGTTTATTTCTATTATAATAATGATTTCTTATATTTATGTACGTACGTATTACGTATTTGCGTACTTATCGTGAGAGATACGGCGCAACCCGTGTTTGTCCTACTAGCATACGGAAAATTCTAGGAGCTGTCCAAAGAACCAGGGAAATCAGCGCATAGTGCCCAATACTCATGAAGGAGTTGCTCTTCGTCTCTTTCCTTCCTCTTTCGAACGAGTCTTAAACCATTTCGATCGGAACCCAACCTGCAGCCGTAGACAAGCTGCTCGTGTGTTTAGAGTGACGCAAAAAAAAAACACATCGAGTACTGAAAAGGAACAAACTACGTCCTTATAAATATGCAAAAGTGCAGGCACTGCTGCCCCACGATAAGCCGATTAGAGATTTTTACTGCCACTGGGTACTGGAAAAAATGTCTCAAGACCAACATTTCCTATCAAATGTGTTTTGGACAGATGAAAGCACGTTTACTCATCATGCGTCACTGAAGCCATACGAATCCCTATTCATTTAGGGAATCAGCTCATCAATACCGCTTTTCAATTAATATTTGGGCAGGCATTCACGGAGATCGAATAATCGGCCCTGTTTTTATTAACGAAAACCTGAATGCACAGAAGTTTCTCAATATTCTTAACGGCCCAATAACAGAATATTTAGAAGGATTATCTACGGTAGCTTATCAGCGGGTATGATTTCAGTTAGATGGATCTCCTCCACACTCCGTACCCCTCGCGAGAGAACGGCTTAACACCATGATCGGCGAACAATATATAGGGCGCTATGGCCCCCGCAGGTGACCAGCGCGGTCGCTCGATCTCACTCCTCTAGACTTCTTTATAAGGGGATTTATTAAAAATAAAGTGTACTCAAAGATCTCCGAAACCGACGATGAACTGCGCAATCATATTGTCGCCGCCTTTGACAAATTAAAAGCCCTGGCACTGGATCCTGAACGAAATTTGTTGAGCAGGCTTCGAGACAACATTGCGCGGCGATGTAATTTGTGTATTCAAGAACATGGCGGACATTTTGAAAATTTAAAAATTTAGGATTCCAATAAATTTTTCAACTAATGTGCAATAATATTTATTTTGTTCAATTTCGTTATCGCGAAATAAAAAAGTGGCGGTAAAAATAAACAGTGTAGTGAAAATTTTAGGCCGCTGATGGCCGTCGTGCTGCCCGCGTGCAATGTTGCCACTCTTCCAAGAGATAGTTTACTCTCCAAGGGATTAATTTTGCCACTCTTTCAAGGTAGGCACGTTTTCTAAACAGAGTGTTTGCTTTTACTGAATTTATATAGATATTTATTTTGTTTGAAAATTTCAATTCTTTAATTTACGGTTTTTAAATTTATATTTAATTTTACTACACCTCTAAATCACATCTAAATCACATGATTTAGATGTGGATAGGCGCGTCGCTGCCGGAAATAAAGTCAATGGTGCCCTGAATGCATTAGTCAAAAGGCAAGGCGTGGTGAAGACTGCACGCCTTGCAATACATAACGCAGTGTTGGTACCGACTTTGTTATATGGCATGAATGCAGTGGAGATGCGATCTCTTCGTAAAATGTGTGGCGTTACCATAGCCGATCGAAAACGAAACGAAGAGATTCGCAATATGGCAGTATTGAAAGATGACCTTATCACAAAAATTGATAGGGGCGTACTCCAATGGTTTGGGCACGTTGAGCGAATGAGTGAAGACCGAATGGTGAAGAAAATATATAGAGCGAAAGTAAATATTAAAAGGTGTCGAGGTAGACCGAGACTAACTTTTGAAGACCATGTGAGCAAATTGCTCGAAGAGGGGAAGGTCAAAACTACTCGGATCCCTAGACGTGCATGTATGAAGAAGTTAATGAACCTGTAAGAAGCGAAAGAGGTATGTAAGGATCGTGACACTTGGCGATCTGTTCTCTCTGGCTACCCCGTTAGGGATTGTGCGTGAAGATAAGTAAATAAGTAAGTAAGTACTACACTTCTATGGACTGGTGTTACTTATGGTTTCATTTATTGCATATATGTAGTATCCTTACAGTATAATTAAGTGACAAAAATAAATAACTAAACAAAAACGAGTATGTCTTAAGCAATGACAATTTTATTTTTATTTTGACAAAGTAAACATAAGTGTTTTAACATTTCACCATGCGGTGGCGTTACTAAAGTCTTTGACTAGAGAAAAAAGAAAGGACATGACATACCTACGAAAAAAACGTGTATACCTAAACTGAGTCTGGCACAAAGATGGCGGCTTGACATAGTGCTGCGCACTATACTTAATATCGATAATGTGGCGCTTATTTAGAAAAAGATTATTTCGTGTGATTCGTCTCCAACACCCATGTGTTCTTTCTTACTTGTTCCTACGTGTTCTTTCTTAGATAGGATTTTTTAATCAATATGACGGATTTTTGGCGCCAAATTCTAGGTCCTTAATTTTGTTTTAGTCAACCTATCATCGATATCAAAATAAAGGAAATTAAAAGAGAAATATATTACAAGTTATACCTATGTTTTCAGTTCATTACTTTTAAGCAGTCGTTTTCTTTTTGTTTTTATAATGTAACTATCTATTATTAATGTTACAATTGTTTCCCGGGAATTACTAAACAAGAAATACTAGTTAAAGAATTTTTGTTTGTTTGTTAGACAATAAATTAGGTTCAGTCATCATACTCACACTAATCAAACTATAATAAATGCAAAAGTTTGAATGTTTGTTTGTTCCTCAATCACACCAAAAGTATTAGACCAGTTTGAATATAATAATTTGGCACACAAATAGTTTATTACCTGAATTAACATATAGGATACTTTTTATCCCGATTTAGAGGTTCCGAGGAATAGAATAAGGAATTTCGTAATAATCGAAATCCACGAGAGAAACATGAAAATAACACACTCACCTCACTAAATTCGCAATGACAACTGATATAGTTGTCATTGACTGCAACAAAACATGGCGCCCGGCCGCAGCGAAACAATTGTTGCCATATTTGGTAATGATAAAGCTACTGTTGTCCTTTTTTACATACGAATATACTCATAAGCTAAAAAGAGACGCCGATATTTCGTTACATTCCTACAACTAACGATCTTTATGTCATGTCCTTTCTTTCTTCTCTAGTCAAAGACTAAAGTGATATAATGACGTCACTAGCAATTGAATTTACATTTTAGTTAAAACTATTTTTGATTGTAAAATGTCATTAAAAATCTATTGTTATTTTTTTCATTTTTCTTAATAATTTTTAGTAAACTTTCAAAAAAAATTAAAAACATGCAACTTCTCTATTTAGGAGTGGTTGTGAGAGAAATTGTGTGAAGAATGGAAAAGTAAGAGGTGAGTATGACAAAATAACGGGATTAGTTGAGTAGAATGATGTTAATGAATGAAATTTACTTTTAATAATTTCTCAATATCCGGCTTATACATAAACATCATCCCTTGCAAAGCCATGACCGAACGGACGATATCTTTATGTTCTGAGACCATCCTAAAGTAACTTCTTATGCCTGTTATTGTCGAACCTGATCTTGATCCGGCTGATAATTATTTTAATTTTATTTTAATTTTAATTTTGAAACCAATTTTCTTACAATATATATCACAACAAGGTAATTTTAATGACTAATCAAGGACATGAATAATCTTACCGCTTACACTCCTTGCCATAACCAAGGAACCACCTCTCAACCTCTCCTTATTAATTTGTTCTTGTTGGCCCCACATAAATACGTTACGATGAATATCCATTATGCAGTTTAACACCACCTAAAATATATTACTTGATGACTCTGACACAAACACAGGATAAATAGGAGCACTTAAACAACGCTTACTTGTGAAAATGCTGATTGAATTTCCTCCAAAGTAGGCTTAATAAGTATTATTGGTATTTGTAAATACATCATAGTGAGCATGAGTGGATTCAACTTCTTTTGTTCTTCTACATCCGTAGTCATTGTTAAAAAACTAAAATCAAATGAGAACGAGTGAAATGTGGAAAGTCATTAATACAATTATTTATAATTTTATAATCATTGCAGGATGCCGGAGAAAATATGAATACTTTTCCAAATATCGACCTCACTTGCACACGTTGCGTGTTGCTATTTGACGATGGTGGTTTTAAAGAGTGACTAATGACGAAAAGAAGCTATCCAATACACCAAACCCAAATGCAACGCGGTAGTAATAGGGCGCAACGATTTCAGTCCAAGGATATTGACTCAGCACTTACTAAATCACTTTTTCAGCGTAATTGGCTAAGGTGATAGTGAATACCAGAATTTAACTTTTCTTTTATTTGTATAGATTTTTCCCGTCAATAGCTGTTTTTGATGTTGTTTATTTTGAACAACATAGGCACGACAACGAATTTTGTTATTTAGATTTACTTTTATTAATGTTCTCATGTAAGTGGCGTATAAAATGTCTTTATGAGAATAAATGTATTTAAATGTAAATGTAAGTGACGGTCAAGACTTTAAATTCTAAAAAATATCAAAAATACTAAACACAAACAAAAATCCAATAAAAGCTTAACACAAAGGTCACAAACTAGTAATAGGGAGCACCAATACCATAGGGAAATAACTAGAGATGAAACGGATAGCTGTTTGGCGGGATACCGGATACCGAATATTCGACCAGTCTTATCGCCGGATAGCCGGATATCCAGCCACCGGATATTTTGCTGAACATTGCCACTTGGTGAATCGTAGATATGCGTTGTACTTGCAAAATTGAGTACCAGGGCTTCCAAGTACGTCCACCTTCAGATACAAGCGCCAAAAACCAGGGCTCGAGATACTGTTAAGTATTTTCTTTCTGCATCGAAAATTGATCAGTAAGATCATATAAATAAGGAATGCAATCACATCCTAAAATAGTAAACTTTCATGCCCTGTTGGAAGAAAAATACTTGCATAGATCATTGATCCATAATTTTATACAAATATTGAGCACTATCGCGTTTATAAAAAAACTTCCAAAACCTTAAAAGTTCCAACTTTCAAGCCTTGATGGAAAAAAATACTTGCATAGAATACTGATCTGTAAGTGAATATAAATAAAAAGCAGAATCGCGTTTACAAAAAAAAATACTTCCAAACCTTTGAAGTAAATACACACACACGATAGAACATTGATCCGTAACAGAATTAAACAAGGAGCAGAGTCACGTCGAGTGTCGACAGAGCGAGAATATTCAAATACATATTTGAAGTCTTGCGAGTATTTTGGGTCGGCACTTGGTCGGCGTACTTGTAAGTAAATACCTGATATAAAAACCCGGTCGCGTAAATAGGCACCTTCCCTAGTGCATCGCAAGAAGCGAAAAGTAAAGTCAGTGCGAATTGTTCGCGATTGTGACCCTTATATTTGGTGAGCAGATACTCTAATTTATCAAAGTTTGCCAAAATCTATCTTTCAGCACCCTGCAGCACTGTGTACAGCGAAAGACTTTTTTCTGAAGCTGGCCTTGTTTATGAAGACAAAAAAAACCACTTTTTACCTTTCAATGCAGAGAAATTAGTATTTATTCACCATAATTTTCCCTTAGCTACGTAGTACTATTATTTATTTTGCGCCTTAGCGCAGTACGTGTACTAATTTTGTAAGTTTTAAAATGAGAATTTTGTGATTACTGATCATATTTAAGTGATATAAATGAAGTACTTATGTAAGTAAAATACTCAAACGTCCCTCATCATCATCAATCATAGTTTGATATTTTTGGTTTATTTTTTAATCCGGTTGCCTGATAGGTGTTAGTTATCCGGTATCCGGCCGGATAGGCTGAAAACCGGATAGTCACCGGATATACGTTTCATCTCGAGAAATAACCACCTGCTCAGTGTAGTAAGAGTGGTTCAAAGAATTGCGTTCCTCCGAATCCATTTGTGAATATACCTATATCCAACAGTGAACTCAAAAAGCTGAAAAATAAAAGCTTTCTAATTGAGTCTAATTATATTTACCATAAATTCATATTATAATGTTAGCTGTCGTTATAAAATCATACTTTTCAGAATATTTACCTCGAAACTGAAGCTCTTCGTCTTAATTCATCTAGACTTTGTCTAGTGCTTTTTATAAGAGCTTCAAGACATTTCGTAGCAAAATATGCGAATAACTCATTACACTCATTGATTGTGTGCGTTACATCAAAGCGGTCTGGGTTTTCTATTTCCAAAAATGCTGCCCAAAACATTAACTTCATTTAATAACAAATTTAAATAAAATATGTGTATACACACATATGTATGTACATAAAATATGTGTATACGCGCTTGTATGTGTGCACAATTAAAATACAAACCAGCATTTTCAGGAAATACTCTTGTCGCTGACGTAACTAGTTTTAAAGCTCTTTCTGCATCTAACCTGTAACCAACCAAGATAACATTATATTACATTAGTAATTAAGCTGATACTGAAAATCTATACAAATATAAATTTTGTTTATAGATCGTATTTTTGTTAATTTATGGCAAAGCGTTAAAATTATGTTTCGTTGTTTGATTGATGATTGTTCCAATTATGTTACCAATTATCTTTCAGATCTTGAATCGGTTTCGAAGGTACACTTTCTAAAAACTTGTTTATAAGTTCAATCACAGCTAATTCGGCATTCCATGATTTTTGTTGTAAATCTTGTGCTAAAAAGAAAAATAAAGTCTGCTATAAAATTAAAAAAAAACTGTTACACAGTTACATTTTATATATTTTTTTTCTTTTCACATAATTGCAATTACTGTTTATATTTTTGTGTTAAAAACACATGTAAGAGTGACCCACCTAATTCATCGCGCCTCACTAAATTATCTTCATAGAATATGTTAGGATCTACAGCATTTTCAGGCAAATAAACCAAGATAGTTTTTGCTATAGATCGCAATATTGAATCTATTCGGGCTTCTTTCATATCCACAACCTATAACGTAAAAAAGTGTATGATCAACAAAAGTCTAACTATCGGCAACGCACCTGCAATTCCCCTGGTGTTGCGGTTGTTCATGGGCTGCGGTAGTCTCTTAACATCAGGTGAACCGTACGCTCGTTTGCCCCCTCTTCTATAAAAAAGAAACTATAACAAGTGTACAAGTAAATAATATTCTTAAAAATTTTACTTGTAAAAAGTGATAAAAACAATTAGAGACCAAAGTTATCCAAAATTTATAATAAAGCTTTTTTATTTACTATGGGATAAATTAATTAATTTTTAATATTATGATTGCTTTTTTATAAATGAGGTTTTAAACAACACTTGATATATACGAGATATCTCATATAATTGTAGCATTTGATATTAGAATTAGAAACTTGCGAATTTCGTTTAAGTATACTTTGAGCTCCTATGAGTGTAAGTTAAATACTTAGTAACTCATTTAGTTCACCTCTTTTACGAATAAATCCACTTCGTCTAAAACTTCTTCAATCTTATCACAATAAGCTGGTATCTCTAATGAAGTCCATGTTATCGTTGAAAAACCGGGTTGAAATGCTTTTTCCATTTTCACAATCTGCGCCCGCAGTAAAGGTAAGTACAATTTTGGCATGCTCCTATAGGAAAGTTTTATTTTTGTTTAACAGAACTCCAGAACCAGAATGCATTGTTACTTCAGACTTACCTTCTAATTTTATCATTTCTCTCCACTAGGCACTTAATACGTTCATAATTTGAAAATATTCGTTCTTTACAATAAGCCACTATTTGGGCGGCATCTGGGACGCCTGTTAAAAATTATGCTAACAATTAATAGCCGTCTATTAAAAACTTCTGTACATTAAAAACAAATATTATTTTACGTCTAAATAAAATTTTATCTTTGTAATATGTTAGTTTCTTCCTATGATAATTTATTGTAATAACGAATTTGCCTAATCCAAAATCTATAAACCTACTAAACAATGGGTGCGTTTGGCAGAAAAAAGCGCTAGCAAGCGCTTATAAGCGCTGAAATAGTTTTCGGCCAGGACACGATTGCTACTTCAGTAGCGCTGACACAATCCGCCATTTTGCTTATTTAATTTGTTTGTTTTGAAGTAGAGTTTATAATTTGTTTTGTGCAATATTAGTTTTAAGTAATATAATGACATGAATAAACATATACATGTTATTAAAAATTCATGATTGGTAAGTTTTTAATATGAATACTTTACAAACATATATTTAAATTAGGTTAGGTTCCCCGGTTAAAACTAACATCGTGTCCTGGAGAAAAATTGCTACTTACGATTTGACAGCGCTTACCGCTTACGATCGCCATTTTGCTTACAAGCACTTGCTAGCGCTTTTTTCTGCCAAACGCACCCAATATCTTAGAATTTCAATATTATGAATTTTATCATATCGTAGTCACTACTTGATTACTTTTTATGTCATTCATAAAAGGTACATTATGTGAATGTAGTGGGCTAGAGTTATTGATGAAATAATAGGTACTTTGGCGTAACCAAGCATCCGTCGAACGTCTAACACGTTCTGACGCTTATTTTATTCTGACTGATTCTGACTATTTAAATTACACTCACGCTATAACTTTTAAACCGATTTAAAAAAAGATGAAGGAGGTTATGGAATTAGAGTGGGTTGTTATTATACCACAGGGTATAATAACAACCTATACAAATTTTAACCAGACCCAATTATTTACAATTAGAGTTGGAATCATTTTCTTCCAATATTCCAGTTAACTAATTTTAGTTCTCTTACATCTACAAAGACTATATAATATTTTTCAAAGACAAAAAAATAAAAATATAAATTACCTCGCAACCTTCCGCTAAATAAATACAATGATGTGTCTTACCTGGATTGAAGAGCACCTCCCGCCCTCCCTAAATTGCGTGCACTAATCCCAGCACCACTAGTCCCAGCACCACTACTCCCAACACCACTATTCCAGGTAAGACACACCATCGACGATAATACGACACGTGTGTCTACCATGGAATAGTGGTATTGGGAGTAGTGGTGCTGGGACTAGTGGTAACGGAGTTAGTGCATGCAATTGAGGGAGGGCGGGGAGTGCTCTTCAATCCAGGTAAGACACATCATTGTATTTATTTAGCGGAAGGTTGCAAGGTAATTTATATTTTTATTTTTTTATAATAATGGATTTCCGCAAAGTAACGCCTGATTCTATCAATTCCAAGACAGTCCTTGTGACCAATTTAAAAATACTTACTTAATCCCAACTGCCACATATACTCGACTTCTCTGATGCATTCAGGTATGAATACGTTAAAATTCACTACATATGAATTCGTCGTTGGATGACGTATAAGTAGCGGCGCGATTAATCCCAACCTCACCTAATAGCCAATCAATATATTTTTTTTAATAAATTATATTATTCATAGTATTATTAAAAAATTTCAGCTGCTAATTACCTGTCCTACATTTTCCATCCATGCACTATGATATATCAATTCAAATTCAGTGAAAACAATTCTCATAACATTATATAGTTTAATACATCGCTGTGTATTCTGTAATATGTAAAAGGATTGTGAGTACTGGTCATCGTAGTTTGTATAATATTTAATTATGAATAGGGTGCATTTGAATAAGTGCGATGAGTTGTTAGGATAATTGATGTAAGATTTTTTTTTATAAACTTGTGCTAGCTTAGCCAACCTAATCTTAGTTTTAGAGCGGAAAGATTTGTTATATTCTTTACAAATATTACAGAGATTTGAACAAAAAAACAAGGGGCTTACTGAGTTTGGACCTAAAGTCAAATATTTCATTTTCATATGACCTTACAGCTCTATAAAAATATTCAAACCACAAACTTATTTATAAAAACGATAACCTATCGAACAAACAATAATTCATTCAATTTTGATCAGATTATTGAGAAAAAGTTGTTGGGTCAACTCGGATCTCTAAACGATCTCTAAAATGTTGTGCCAAAATCATGTCTCGGAAAACTTGACAATACCGAGTGCATTCAAATAGTTCGTCCTTAAAAGCAACAGTTGAAACACCTGAAATATGACAAGGTAGCCTATCGTAGAAAATGTATAGAAATATGATGTCCTCCAGACCGAATTTCGGCCACGGCGGCCTGCCTCAACGGAGGCTAGCCATCGGCGCAGGACAGAATTATAGTGCCCAAGTGTATGCGCAAGCACAGGTGCACTCTATTCCCTCATTCTCATAATCCGATGGGACGGCGACCAGAGAGAGATCAGGCGCAGGACGGCTTTACGTGCTTTCCGACGCACGGGGGTGAGCCACTGCCAACTTCCTGACTCCGGGAAACTACTGAGAATTTCTTGACGGAAAAACTCAATTTTTTTTGGCCCGACCCGGGATTCGAACCCAGGACCTCATGATCAGCAATAGCACTACTAAAACCACGAGACCAACGAGGCAGTCGTATAGAAATATATAGTAAATGGAAATATCACTGAGGGTTATTGAATATTTGAAATATGTATAACTGTGCAATAAATCAAACAGATCTACCCCAGTGTTTTCCAATTTTTATGACAATATTTACGCAAATTTGAAATTACCGTATGTGTTATGACCTCATGGTGTTTCTTAAACTCTTCCATTGGTAATTTAATATTTTTATTATAAAATCTTATCCACATAATTCGCCCTGCTACAGGAGGCATATTTCTAGGTAGTTCTGGGTTTTCTCTTTCTTCATTGTACCTTTTAGAAAAATATTTATGACAATTTTACTATTTTTACTTAATTTGGCTTAAACGGTGTCTTTCATCAAGTGTGGCATACTCTCAATAACTACAACTTGGAGAATATAAAAATAGTATTAGATTTAAATTGAATTTATGTAAATTATTTTCCACCTTAGCTCGTTATTTTAATTTATTTACCTTACCACCATACTAGGATTTTCGCCTGTATCTTGAAAGTATGTACATGAATTATTCATAGACAAACACCGAGCCGCGAATCGGGTTATTGCGTTTATCCACCCTAAGAAATCCACCCTAGGGTGGATACTCGGAAACGCATGTCCATTTATCCATCCCATCTGGGGTAGATAATCGGAGTTCGTATATTAATTTTCTTCGCCTGTGTACAATCGTGTATGGAAACATGATGGCTGTTTGTAAAATATTATTTGAATAAGAAAAGAGAAAAGAGCTTACTCCTTTCGAAAAGGCCGGCAACGCACCTGCAATTCCCCTGGTGTTGCGGTTGATCATGGGCGGCGGTAGGCACTTAACATCAGGTGACCCGCATGCTCGTTTGCCCCTCTTCTATAAAAAAAAATAATGATAATGATAATATGATGGCATTTGTGAAATATTATAAAAAGACATGGTTCAAGAACGAAAATTATGTGGCTGTTTGGAATTCATTCGTAGTGTCTTACAGAACTACAAATTCGTTAGAATCCTGGCATAAAACTATTTCAAATGAAATATTATAGATAGAATTTAATATATTAAAATATCTATAATATTTTACGTACTATATTATTAATATATAATATATATTACAATTGACTAAAATATAGTACGATACTATATATTATAGTATGGGTAGTGGTTGCGCGGAAAACCATTCGCGTTTTTTATTTTTGACGGTAGGAATTTGTCGAATCATTATTCCCTTCCGAAACAATATCATTCGTACCCTCCTATCGACACATCGGGGTGGTGGGGTGGGAGGGGAAAGAAGACGATTCTAGAACATCGCGTAATCATCGGACCCGAGGATATATAAGACACGCGCGACCGACGCGCGCTCTCTTCTCCCGCCGCAGTCGTCGTTGAACTACAACCTCCTCTTCCCGCGCGCTCGTTTGGAAACACCTCACTAGTGGAAACCGCTTTGGCCTGGAAGCAGTCGAGCTCCAGGAACCCGCCTCACCTCGTGTGAGATATCGTCGCGCACCGCCTCTCTCCGGAGTGTTCCGGAAGTCGCCGCTATAGTGATCGACAGGAAGAAGAAACCCCGGTGAGTCAATACTCCTTAATTATACCTGCTTGCTAATAATTTAACCCGCTCCAATTTGTGTTTTTTTTCCTAGTCAAGCAGGATTCCTTTCATCGATTCGACAAGTAATAGTTTAGTTTAGGGAAGAGCGAGTGCATTGTACCGCATGCTATAGTAGTCGCTTCACATAAGCATAGAAGCAATCGCATATACAGTCCACTTTAGTTAATATCTCGCGTAATAGGTTTGAGGTTTGACCGGGGAACTAGATTTTCGGCAGCCTTAAACACGTGGCTCCACCATTTTATGGTCCTTCGAGCCGGATCTGGATTGGTGTTTAGTGGTTATCCAACCATTTTCTGGTCGAATTATTAAATTAATTGTTTAGATAACGCACTCTAACTTATGGAATAGACTTAAATAGTGTTCGTTTAAATTAAAATTTTGATTTGTTACTCGCAAACAGAATTATTCATTTAATAGCGCTCGTATTTGGTTAAATTTAAAGCTTATTAAATAATTGAAACGGCGTGATAGCAACCGTTTGATACGCTTACCCCACAATTTTATAAAATTATTAGGTTTAGCAAACGACGCGTAGCCTTGACTGCATCGGGCGCTCGATCTGATTACGTAATACAGCACGCCGAGTATTCATCCTACGTCGTTTATGCGTGTGAGATTAATTGTGATTAATATAACTTTATTATAATAATTTAAAATGGCAGTTAGTGGAAGTGAAATCAAAATTAAAACGCTTTATGCCAAGAGGGACATACTCTTTTCGCGTGTGCAAAATATAAGTGATTATATAAAGAACATTCATATAGAGGCAGTACGGGAGGCCTTTTTAAATGAAATCGAAACGATTGATAATTTGCGGACGGATTACGAAAGAATATTAGACCAAATTAATCATTCGGAACTACAAACCGACCCGAAATACATAGTGAACTACCAACCGCTGCTGGCATTCGAAGATATGTTGTGTCGCGTGAAGAGAACCGCAAAATTGCTACAATCTCAAGGTGAAGCGAAGCCTGAAATGCAGGTACGCCCTCGTGACTCAATTAGGTTACCGCCAATAGATATTCCGGTATTCAATGGTGATATTAAGACGTGGCCCTTCTTCTTCAGTAGTTTTCAAAACAATATACACAACAACCCATCGTTATCGGACGCTGAAAAATTATATTACTTAATTAGCAAACTTAGTGGCAGAGCACAGTCGATCTGCTCGGGTTTTACACCTACAGCAAACAATTACGTATTAATATTTGAAACGCTTAAAACTAAATATGAAGATAGGAGAATGTTAGCTTCCGAATATTTGAACCAGATATTCGATCTTAAACCTATATCATCCGCGAACATCAACGGCTTAGAGCAGTTTCTCGATAAATTTGTGGCATCGGTGGCTGCACTTAAGAATTTGAAGTTTGATGACCTTATGGACGTGGTGTTTCTCCATATAGCATTGAAGAAACTAGACTCCGACACCGTGCGTGCGTTTGAAATGGAGCATCGTAGCTCGGAGATGCCTTCCTTTCATTCATTAGCATCGTTCGTGCGAGATCAAATAAAGGTGATGCAGCGCTCACCGAACGTTAAACAGGAGATTAAAGGGTGCGTCGACCGTAGACAGACTCAATCATCTAAAATAGCAGGGTCGTTAACTTACGTAACCGCTACGCCGACATCGCTCCAGCATACTTGTATAGTATGTAAAGATAAACACGGTAACTTATATAACTGTGCGACTTTTCGTAAATATTCACCAAGCGAACGTTATAAGTTAGTAAAGACAAACAACCTATGTTTGAACTGCTTAAGCGATAAGCATTTAGTTGCAAAATGCAATTCGAGTTCCGTATGTAGCAAGTGCGCCAGGAAACATCACACGCTATTACATTTTGAAAATAGCAACATAGCGGCGTCAAGTAAGGCGAATAAGGAATTCACCCCTACTAAGGTCAACGATTCTAGCGGTCGACCTGATGATGTCGCTCTGTGCTCATTGGCAAATATGGGAGCACAACCTCCTTCAACCGTGTTACTGGGTACGGCGCGTATTTTGGTTAGGGATTCGCGTGGAAACAAACAAAGCGTCCGTGCACTGCTGGACAGCGGAGCCCAAAATAGCTTTATAACACGACAATGTTGTCAGCGCTTAGGCTTAGTAATAAATAGGTCACTTTCATGTCCTGTAGTTAAAGGCATCGGAGGTACTAGTAAAGCGACACAGGGATATATAAATTTAAAATTTTATTCTCGGATAGATCGTAACGTTAACTTTGATATAAATGCACTAGTAGTAGATAGGGTCACTGAACGGTTGCCAACCGTTTCGGTTGACACCTCGGCAATGATTGAATTTAAAAATTTGACTCTAGCAGACGACACTTACGCCGTTCCTGGAAACATAGACATGCTCATTGGGGCATCGCTTTTCCCTCATCTTTTGTTAAACAATAAGGTCAGGGGCAACTCCTCGCATACCGCGCCTTACGCACTGGAAACCGTATTGGGCTATGTGATCCTTGGCTCCGCCCCCATCCTAGATAGTATTTCGGCAGCATCTTATTGTGGTATGGCTGTCGAACCGCTCGAGTCGTTAGTCCGCAAATTTTGGGAGATGGAGGAGGTGAACGTCCCACCCATAGCTAGTTCAGCTGACAGGATATGCGAGGAAATTTACGTCCGCACGACCGTTCGTGATCGCGACGGTAGATATAGTGTAGCGCTACCCTTTAAGGGAGATGTTTTATCTCTCGGCGATTCGCGTCAAATGGCGGAAAAACGTTTCTACAGCTTGGAGCGTAGGATGCTCGCTTCGCCCCAGTTAAAGGAAGCTTACGACGGCGTCATTAACGAATATATAAGAGAAGGTTACATATCACTTGTGGCTTCGAAATTAGATAACTACGAAGACACACCGTCGTATTTTATACCACACCACGGAGTCATTAGAGAGGACAAACTTACATCTAAATTACGTGTAGTGCTCGACGCTAGTGCTAAAACTAGCACTCACCTGTCGCTTAACGATATCCTCTATAGTGGGCAAAATTTACAGGGCAGCTTATTTGATATAATAGTCAATTTTCGTTTGTTTAGTATAGCACTATCCGCCGATATTCGCCAAATGTTTCTTTGCATAGGGGTCCGTGAATGCGACCGTAGATTCCAGCGCATTTTATATCGTTTCAACCCAAAGGAACCTCTAATGGTGTTTGAATTTAACCGCGTTTGTTTTGGTTTAAAGTCGAGCCCATTTCATGCGTTACGCACGGTGAGACAGCTCGCTCACGATGAAGGTCCCTCTTATCCTAAAGCTAAGAGGGCAATTGAGAGCGGATTATATATGGATGATTTTGTGTATTCGGTCGATAGCGTGGAGGAGGCCACCCTAACCACCGCCGAGGTTATAAGGCTCATGAAATCGGGTCAATTCGATCTTGTGAAGTGGACTAGTAATTCGCGTCCGGTTTTAGATACAATCCCACTATCACACCGTCTTTCGGCGATAAAGGAATTCGACGATTCCGATACACACAAGGTGCTCGGTCTGTGTTGGTCACCAGAGTCCGACGTGTTTAGCCTTAAGGTAAACCCGCCCGTAGAGAAATGCACAAAGCGCACAATACTGTCATGCGTTGCTAGATTATGGGACGTCATGGGTTTCGTAGCTCCGGTGGTATTATACGCTAAGCTTTTGATTAAACAACTTTGGTTATTTGAATGCGATTGGGATGACTCGCCGCCTGACAGCATTGTTCGATTGTGGCAGCGCTTTAGAGAGGAACTTCCTTTACTAAGAGAAATTAAAATACCGCGTCATATAAATGTCGATAGAAATAGCAGCATAACGGTTGTTGGATTTGCAGACGCCAGCGAGAAGGCTTACGGGGGCGTTGTATATTTCCATGTCCAGAATAATGGTAGAAATTCGATTAGCCTCATTAGTTCTAAGTCGAGAGTCTCCCCCCGTAAGGTTGTCTCTCTGGCGCGCTTAGAGCTTTGCGCAATATTAGTACTCACCAAGCTTATTACCACAGTTATCGGCGCATGTAGGGATAGAGTTCACATAGAAAGAATATTTGCCTTTTCCGACTCCACCGTCGCCTTATGTTGGGTTCATTCTTCACCCCACCGTTGGGATACGTTTGTCGCGAACCGAGTGGCCAAGATCCAAGACGAGTTAGAAACGCGGAACTTTTATCACGTGTCCGGTAAGGAAAACCCTGCCGATTGTCTATCCCGGGGACTCACCCCGATGCAAATAATGGACCACCCGCTTTGGTTCCATGGACCTTCTTGGGTTCACTTGGATCCCTCACAATGGCCAATAACCGATTTCGAACCTTCGTCAGTGTCACAACCGCCGGAAGAGAAGAGACACGCTCTAGTGGCGAACGTTTCGAGCGAGGTTTCTCCAATCATTGCTCTGGCGAACCGCTTGTCCTCTTGGTCGAAATTATTGCGTAGCGTAATTTACGTTTGTCGATTCGCGAAGCTTTTACCGCGACGTCCGTATGTCTTAGCGTCCGATTACAACTATGCCGAGTCGCTAGTATTACGTGAACTTCAACGTGCGCACTTCTCTGAAGAAATTACAAGATTACAATCGAATAGAGCTTGTAGTCGCGCCTTTCAACGCCTTAAGCCATTTTTACAGGATGGGATTGTAAGGGTAGGTGGACGCTTGTCCAACTCGCAGTTGAGTTTCGACCAACGGCACCCTATAGTTTTACCGCGTAAAGACCATATCATGAACTTATTAGTCGATTATCATCATAAATTGAACTCGCACGCTGGCCCCGATTTATTGATGTCGATCTTGCGCCAGAATTATTGGATTCTTTCTGCACGTAGTTTAATACGCAATCGGGTGCACAGATGTATAGCTTGCTTTCGGGCACGCCCCAAGCCGTCATTTCCGGAAATGGCGGAACTTAGATCTTGTAGAGTGATACAATCGGTAAAGCCCTTCACGCACACCGGGTCTGATTTTGCTGGTCCGTTTAAGGTCACGCTCACTCGCGGGCGTGGTATAAGATCCACAAAGGCTTACGTCTGCATTTTCGTATGTCTAACTACTCGAGCAGTGCATATAGAACTCGTTGGTGATCTAAGCACAGCAGGCTTTATGGGTGCATTTAAAAGATTTCTATCGCGCAGAGGCCCTGTAAGTAGATTGTATTCGGATAACGGTACGAACTACGTCGGTGCAAAACGTATTCTATCGGAACTACATGAGCTCTTAGCTAGCAAGTATTATAATTCGGAGTTCGCTCACATTCTAGCCGAGAACCGCATTGAATGGTCTCTGAACGTCCCAGCCGCGAGTCATTTTGGGGGCAATTGGGAGACTAATATTAAAGGTCTAAAGAGCCACTTATACCGAGTAATAGGAGATCAAATTTTGTCCTTCGAAGAGCTAAGTACGGTGCTCGCTCAAATTGAATGCGTAATGAATAGCCGCCCACTTTGTCGGACGTTATCTAGTGACCCCTCGGAACCGCTGGCTCTAACTCCAGCACATTTTTTGACTTTAACGCCTCTAAGGTATCTGCCCGCCGCGGATATGGATGAGAACAGACTTAACATTTCCACACGCCACAAATTATTAGATCGGTTAGTGCAATCGTTTTGGAAACGATGGAGGATGGAATACTTGCATACTTTGCAGTCTCGGCAAAAATGGAACACAGCGACAGAGCCTTTAGCTGTAGGAACCGTAGTTGTGCTCACTAAGGAGAATACGCCGCCTCTCCACTGGCCGTTAGGAATCGTCGAGGAGGTCTTTCCCGGTTCCGACGGAGTAATTAGGATAGCTCGCGTTAAGACCACGGTTGGGTCTTACCTACGTCCGGTTATCCGTTTGTGCCCCTTGCCTCTTCCATAATTTAAATTAGCTTTTTTGACTGAAATTGTAGTTTAATTTAGGTAATCTTAGCGTTAGTTAGTTATTTGTTAGTCGATCTTAGCTCTAGTTGTTTAGTTATTTTTTTTTTGAAGGAAATCCTTCAAGGGCGGGGGAGATGGTTGCGCGGAAAACCATTCGCGTTTTTTATTTTTGACGGTAGGAATTTGTCGAATCATTATTCCCTTCCGAAACAATATCATTCGTACCCTCCTATCGACACATCGGGGTGGTGGGGTGGGAGGGGAAAGAAGACGATTCTAGAACATCGCGTAATCATCGGACCCGAGGATATATAAGACACGCGCGACCGACGCGCGCTCTCTTCTCCCGCCGCAGTCGTCGTTGAACTACAACCTCCTCTTCCCGCGCGCTCGTTTGGAAACACCTCACTAGTGGAAACCGCTTTGGCCTGGAAGCAGTCGAGCTCCAGGAACCCGCCTCACCTCGTGTGAGATATCGTCGCGCACCGCCTCTCTCCGGAGTGTTCCGGAAGTCGCCGCTATAGTGATCGACAGGAAGAAGAAACCCCGGTGAGTCAATACTCCTTAATTATACCTGCTTGCTAATAATTTAACCCGCTCCAATTTGTGTTTTTTTCCTAGTCAAGCAGGATTCCTTTCATCGATTCGACAAGTAATAGTTTAGTTTAGGGAAGAGCGAGTGCATTGTACCGCATGCTATAGTAGTCGCTTCACATAAGCATAGAAGCAATCGCATATACAGTCCACTTTAGTTAATATCTCGCGTAATAGGTTTGAGGTTTGACCGGGGAACTAGATTTTCGGCAGCCTTAAACACGTGGCTCCACCAGGTAGCAACCCTACTCGCAATCCTCAGTACCGCAAACAAACGCTTACGTTTTCGATAGTATTTTTTATACATTGATATGTATAAAACATATTATCACACTTATATTTTACACCTTTAAGTGCAAAAACTTTAATGATAAGTAATTTTAAGCTTCGTTCGAATCTGCTATCATAATTATACTCATAATAAATAGAAAATGATGAGTACTTAATCTATGAATTTACCTATCACGAATGTTTTCAATCTCCGCAGTAAAATTACCTATCAAATCGTAATATTGGTCTTCAAGATACAAACAGTCCAGTTTTAATTTTTCAAAACGTTTCAACAAATTCAACGCAATTTCAGTTGTGGGGCATTTATTCACACTCTGAAATGAAATACTTCTTCTTAAACAGATTACACATAATTCGGACTACAATTAACGGAATGGAATGCAAAACAATTTGCAGCAGGATGTAAAATCCTTTATTACAAACTCACTTCATAGGAATCTTACGTACGCTCCTGGAATTATAAGAAAAACATCAGTTACATCACAATTATGACAAAGCACAGTCTATATACATCCCACAGCCCGGGTACCTGGGCTCATATCAGAGAGAACTGTGAAACAATCAGTCCTTACATGGCTCCGAAATATTTTATTCCTCACACGTGCATCTTTCCTCACTATGTAGTTATTATAAAAATTATAACAAATAATAATGTGTGCATTAAAGCATTACAATACAAGGCTATAAATCTAAAGCAATGATTATCATAAAGCTAAATAAGATTTTTATCTATTTATGACTCAAAACATAAAAATGTTTTCATTAAGAATCATAAGTAGTTTAATTTAATACAGCTAGAAAAATGTATTATATTTTTTTTAAACAAGCTTACATTTATCATAAAATTTTCTAATAAGAGCTCCTGGTTAGCGACAGCATCTTTGTAAGTCTTGTAATCCTTATCGAAATCGGGCCGCCTGAAAATATAGTTTAATTTTAAGTATTTTGAAATACTATAAAATATAAATTTTCATTACTTTATCAATTTAAAAAAGAGTAAGTTCCGTTACCTATGATCTAAAGCATCGTATGTTTTTGTCGATATCGTTTTGAAAAACTTGTTAAATGACGCTGCAAACTCTTCAATTCCTTCCAAAGTACTTTTATTCAAGACATAATAAGTAATATATGTTTTAAATAAATCTATTATCTGCAAAAAGTTTACAAAAAATATATTTTATTAAAAGTACCTAATGATTTTGTGTTAGGTGGTACAGTAAAATTTATTATTAATTAAATAATCTTTAAGGAGCTGCACAAAGAAGCTGTGTTTCGTATATGAATTTATTCACTATAATACAGTGAGTGAAATAAAGCGGAAATCTTTTTTACAAGTAACGAAATGTACCCTCTAATATCTCAAAGGAGACAAAGCACTTGAATTTCAATCCTTAATTGAAGTTAAATAACTGTGTGGTCTCTACATGTCATGCCATCCAAATAGCGTCACTTGAACTAAACGCTTGTTTGTTTCCTATAGAAAATAGTTTTTCCATTTAACAATCGTTCATAAGTTTTATATGATTTAACTGACTGACTCGTTGGTCTAGTAGTTGTAGTAGTGCAACTGCTGATCATGAGGTCCTGGGTTCGAATTCCGGGTCGGGCCAAAAATCAACTATTGATTATTTCCGTCAAGAAATTCTGAGTAGCTGCCCGGAGTCAGGAAGTTGGCGGTGTCTCACCCCCGTGCGTCGGAAAGCACGTAAAGCCGTTGGTCCTGCGCCTGATCTCTCTCCGGTCGTGTCGGTGTACCGTCCCATCGGATTATGAGAGTGAGGGAATAGAGAGTGCACCTGTGCTAGCGCATATACTTGGGCACTATAATCCTGTCCTGCGCCGATGGCTAGTCTCCGTTGAGGCTGGCCGCCGTGTCCGAAATTCGGTCTGGAGGCATAATATGGTTTAATTGATTTAGTTCGTTGCTTACTTTCAGTAGCCGCTTTTGGAATGTTTCAAATTTTCCAAATATATACATTTCAGAACAATCAAACGGTCGCTCATCCGCTGCTTCAATCATTTCCTTTTGTGTCTCGTCATAGCATTCTCGATAAAAATTGTAGAGGCTCAAACACAACTGAAAAAACATCCGGCTAATAAATAAATTGAAGCGATTTTATCATGTCGCGAAAACTGGGGTCATGTACAATATTTTTCCCCACTACAGATATCGGTTGATTAACGAAAGTGAATTTTGTGTCCTACTCCCAAATTTTACAGACAGGAGTAATGACGATGCTGCGTACATTACCGATGCGACGGTAACGGTCACCATCCCGCTTACTTAGCGTGGTAAGTATCTACAAATTTCCAAATAATGATTGGCAGCTGGTACATTCTTGAAAAGACGTATCTACCATTAGACGTAATATTAAAATTTGCTGATGTTGGTAATAAGAAAGTTATTCATGCTCTGTTAGTTAACACCTACAGTAAGTATTGAAATTTTATAAACAGAAATTTTAATTACCTTAGCTTTCTTTATGAAATTTTGCTTATCTTGTTTCCAAATTGTCTTCTTGCCTTTATTAGTCAAGTAGTCCATGCACATGTTTAGTATTTGATTAGTGACTTTTACAAGTAATGTAGAAATTTGCTTAGTTGTATTGTAATAACGTGACGTTGCAAATATCATCCGCACTGTGTAAAGCAAGCCTGGTATGTGTTGATGCATGGTGACAGGGTCGCATCTGTTATTAAAATTAATGGTTTGAAATCTCTAAGTTTAATAATTAATAATCAAAATATAATTTTCTTCTGTAATTTCCAACAATGAAAAAAATTGTTCCCATGAAGCAATATAAAATGCATTCATTACACTTTGTAGAGTCCAGATGCCGAAAGTTCTATCACAAAGGCAGTAATACATACCAAGATAAGGAGGGTACTTCTATTAAATAAACATTTTTTTGGAAAAAAAGTTGTTTATCTTTTATATTATACGGAATTTTATACTTTATGCTGCTTTACGCCCTATTCTACAACGGGCTACTTTTACCGTGAGGAAAAATTCGGTATAATAGGTGAAAGGTGTTTCAAATTAACAATTACTAACTCGTAATGTAGGGTGCACATGATTTAATTTTTTTTAATATAATCACTTTTTTAATTTGAAAAAACTAAAGCTTACTTTTTTAAATGCAAAACATATATGCAAAGGGCACTTGTTCCACTGCCAAATATGAACGAGAAGCGAATAGAGCTAGAAACTAGGTAAGAGTTGGCGAGCAACGAAGAGCGAGTGTATAGTTCCGATAGTTTTATCTCTGAGCTATAAGTGATTGCACTCACATCGTGAATAAAATGACTGGTTATTCTCTCGGCCTAAGCGAGCATCGCTGTGCGAGTTTTATCTTTGTTAGCTACTAGTGGAGAGAGAGTTCTCGCCGGCAATGTGAATAACCAGCGATCAAGTATTAATAAGTATATGAATCTCTTTTGTTGACACGGAATCTATATCTATTGCTCGTTTATTGAGCGATAAAATATTAGTCGATAGCTAACCTTTTTCCTTGCGGTAAATATAGTCTGCCGGTGTAAATTAAAATTGTTGTTTTTTTTTTTGTTTAATAATACAGTTATTACATACCAAAAAATTAAACATAACTTCACGTTTTAGCGTAATATCTGGCATATCTAAATCTATAACTTAATATGCAGCAAAATTTACCTGTATAAAGGTTCGCAATATTTCTCAAAAGCATACAAATACTTCACGTTATCAGAAGCTTCATTGTAATAATCCGTAACTTGATTATCCAACAGCCTCCATTTCTATGGAAATCGATAAACATTTTAACGTTAAAATACATCTTTATTTTACTATTTAATAAATGTGAAGTCAACATGTTTTTATTCTAAAAAATTAAAATCTTAAAGTTTCTAGTTTATTTTCTTTTTACATTAGTCGACCTTTACGAAAAATATTACTTTACTAAAACTTGTTAAAATTCTTATTTAGTAAATATACATCAAAAGTTATCTGAAGCGTTGCTCTACCTTATAAACTTTTGAAAGTTTCATGTCTATAGTAATTTTCAATTTCAATCTTTTTGAACAGATATGCAGAAAGGCTACAATTTTATGTCTATAGTAACTATACAAAATTACAAAATAATACCATCAGCACACATTAGCATTAGTTATGATATTAATATCAACAATGAATCGAAAATAACCTTTATAAGCTTCGATTTGGCTCGTATAAGTGTATGTATATACATTTGGCATGGGTCACTTTTGATGTGCTCAATTATTGAGGTAAAAGTTGTAAGTTGACGGCGCCAGTAATCCAATTCCGCGAGAGGACCTATATTGAGCGGCTCGCGTCGTAGTTGCTGACTTTGTACTAACACCTAGAAATGTGTTTTACTTTTAAATTATCGTTTATTCTAATAATATGAGTATTTTATGATTGCTATTAATGTATTTTATATACAAAAAATCTTTAATATCATAAAAATTTACGATATTGTACCTACCATCGTTATCTGTTTCATCCATTGCTTAACGAAAGTACAAATTTCTTCTAACACAGATGTTTTGGTAATCGCTACTTTCATTTTATCTAGATCTGATAATTCGTCTTCGTACAATGTATAATTTATTTTAAATCTTGCACAGCAATCGAGGTCTATTTTTGTTTCTATTGGAAAAAAGTTTATTTTAACCATCAATTTTGTCTCGATCTCTCGACGACGTAAGGGCTACAGTGACGATTCACAAATATAGTTTTTTCACGTATATATTTTACTCGCCCGCCTAGTAATACTGTTAGTATATCAGAATTATTATTATTCTTAAGGACGACACAAACCGTCAGTTCAAGTGATCATTCCAACGGATCAGTTTAAGATAGGACTGTTGATATTTTTTTTAAATATCGGGTTTTCGATATATCGATAATTATAAATATATCAATATCGAAGTTTGAATGATCAGTTGAACTGACCGTGAGTGTCGTCCATATGTAGTCTCATCCCACAACTCTACCAATGACTCGCTTCACATATATACAACATGTAACAAAAACCCTGTGGTTCCCGTTAACTGCGTTATCAGAATCAGTATTCAAGCATATAGAAATATATATTTTTTTTTTCAAAAAAAAAACACATTTAAAAAGATTAATTTAAATGAAAAAAAAATTAATTAGCAAATTGTATGTGGTTTTATTATCTCCGCATTGGCCGAGGAGTAAGAGGTTCAAAGAGGGTCAAAGACCCTGGATTACCGATACTAGTGTGAGTCAGAGAAAATAAAACCACATACCACTTGCAAATTAATTTTTTTTCATTGAATCAATTTTTTAAATGTGTTTTTTTGAATAAAAATTATTTCTATACGCTTGGATACTGATTCTGATAACACAGTTAACGAGAACCATAGGGTTTTTGTTACATATTGTATAGACAAATCAATCACCTTAATATATGCTTGTAGAACTTTGTTATGTGGATCGGGTTTTTGGAAAGAAAGAAAAGCACAAAACTACTTTGACTTCACTACAAATATTATAGTAAAATTATGTCTTACTCTCAAGATAATCAATGAAAAGCATTATTTTTGAAATGTAAGAAGCAATCATTTCTTCACTATTAGGATTGGGTGGATTTATATCACCCCACCCTTTACAAACTTTGAGCGCAGGTACATATACACGTATCATAGTTTTATAAATTGCTGATACCACATTTTCAGTTTCTTGATTTACATCAAAAAATACTAAATAATAGTCCTGCAAGAATTGAAAACACGTTAACAATTTAGTACAAAAATGTTGACCGTATTTTACGTAAAGTAATGAGCCTAATCTGTAAGAGCAATGATAGACCGACTGTTCGCGCTTCGAGTATTCGTCGCAGCCCCAATTGTATTACAAAATAAATCTCACATGATCTTTTTGCCAGTTTCGATTGTAGCCTCTTATCAATTTCATCTTGTAGGTGGAATCCCACAGGATAAAATTGAACGATAGTTTCTCTTTTGTCGCCACTACACGATAATATTTTTTTATAGAATAGGGTGACAAACGAGCACACAGTCCACCTGATGGTAAGTGGTTGCTGCGGCCCATATACATCTACGTCTATCCTCCATTAAAAATCAAAATGCAGATGCGTTGTCACCCGTGAGGACTGAGATGTAATACCCCGTTTCCAGTAAAAAGGGTAATATCCCGAAATGACATCAACATGATCATCATTACAGCTTTTCACAAGTCCACTGCTGGATATTGGCCACCAAGAAATGCCACAAAGAACGGTCCTGAGGTAACTGCCCCCATCGACTTCTTCTTTTACGTCTTCTTACCACGTCATCACTGAATCTAGTTCGGGGTCGCCCTACACTTCGCTTACAAGCACGCGGCTGCCACTCTAGAACCTTTCTTCTCCACCGATCATTGGTTCTTCGAAATAGACCCGGCTTATTGCCTCTTCATCTTTCGTTGGATATGGCAATGACATCGAGTTAAAGTATTTAAATTTTAAATAAAATCCTCAAAAATCGATTATTACGTCAGCAACATTTTTCACATCAATAGCTTTGTTTTTAATCCGGTACATGCCCACGCAGCGACCTTGTATAGGTATTGAAGATGTATCAGATATATAAACTCTTTCCATCCAAGATTTTTGATTTGGTACGAAACGACCTGATTCTGTAAAAGAACCAAAAAAAATTAAAGTTAAATAAACGCCTTAAGTATAATTATGTTTATATATATACCCTAGCCTTTGACCCTGCGAAGTGATAAGGTCAAAGATGCCTACTAAATTTATTGTTTTATTGCCGTTCGTAAAGTAGGGTGCATATGATTTGAATTTCCACAGATTTTAGTTTATTTATTTATTTTATTCAAAAATTTTGTTTTTATTTTTTGTAAAATTTCAATGACATAAGCTTCTACTCCGTTTACATGTCAAACCCTATTTTTTCCCGACCGTAAAAAAGGTCATCCAGTATACGTCAACTTAAATATTTGTAATCTATATTATTCTATAATTTAAAAAAAAATCAATCACTTTCTGAGTTTCGTCAGAAGAAGGGATAACCATCTAAAATTGAAGTTTCTGTTTTTAATGTCAAAATAACAGCTTCTTACCAAATGCATATGAAAGTATATACGGGACTTAGAACAAAAACACAATTTTAAAATTTTTGTCTGTCTGTTGTTTGTTCCAGCTAATCTTCGAAACGGCTGGACTGTTTTGACGGGACTTTCGCTGGCAGATAGCTGATGTCATTAGGAGTAACTTAAGCTATTAGAAAAAGAATTAGGGTTCCGCGCAAAAAAAATCCCTTGAAAACTAATCGTAATAAATTCGTTTGTTCTAAAACAGTTTATTGGCATATTAAACATTTCCTAATTAAGTATACAAATGTGACTCACAACCACAGCATTATAATACAAGGCTAGAGTTTCACCATAATAGAAAAACCCATTTAGAATTCCGTCATTTGCATGAGCATGCTTCGATGCAAATTTATCATTCTTAAGTAAGTTCAAATAACTACTTTCGGGACTTCATTATTTTTCCACTTTGGCGCAAATGAATTGATGACATTTTGTCACCTACGTTGAAAGCTTCTACTCACTCGGGCGCGATTTGAAAAGAATTTCACTATTAGTCTAAGGCTCGATATTGAGGTTAAATTTTTTAAAACAAAACAAATTAAGGCAAAAACGTAGGTTGCATTCTTTGAACCGTAACTGAATATATACACTTTGGTTGATGGGTGACTGACTGTCGCCTTTGTTTGAACAAAATTGATGCCATGTTGGCACTCATATTTGCAAGTAACTCAAATATTCAATTAAATAAGGTACCTAATATCGAAAGCGGAAACGCAAATTCACATAAACATGTTTTAATTGCTAATCCCACATTTTTAATGTTACGCTAAGTTGAAAGATGCAAACGTAAACATATTTTAATATCCTAAATCCTAATGCTCCATTATTTTCCATGGGGGCTCTTGCTTAAATAATGAGGAACATTTGGCTTAGATGTTAGAGTCCCTAACCAACATATGCGAAGACAAGTTAGTTTGATGGGAACTGTTGTATATATTCCTACGTCCGTCTAAACATCGACTTCTCTTATTTAACGTTATATAAGGCAAGGATATTATTTTAAGACAAGTGCTTTTGCGAGTATACTTATGGCACTAAATTATTATGTACTCTGCTACTACTATAGATAAAAGGGTAATACCCATCTAAAGGGCCTCCAAGGCAGATTTGTGTGAAAGAGATTCCTTTTATAAGCATAATTTTAAATAAAATTACCCATTTTTAACGGTGGCATCGTAGCATCACACACCATAATACAATTTCTACCACCTTCAGCAACAGCACTATCTAAAAGTTCTATATGAATGTCAGCATCACACACACCCTCCTGTAATTTTTGAGCGTTAATTTGCATGTCGAATACAAGAGCAATCATTTGCATGTCGAAGACAAAATAAATAAAATTATTATGTATTTAAGCACTGAAGGACAAAGCTGGGTTCGCCAAAAGAATTGCTAAGGATTTAGTAGTAAGCCTAAGAGAATTGTAGAACGAATCATGAAATTTGTACGAGGGTGGCAATATATAACTTGACAATACTTGTCAATATATAAAAAGTTACAGCCCTTAAAGTTTGGTCCCTCAGTTGACACAGTCTATCAGTAAGATCTCGGTAAATATCATAAAAGTAAGGTAAATGTGATTATAAATATTTGTAAAGAATTTGTTAAGCTTATTTTACTAAGTAACAAGACACAAGGTATTAATGATAAAAGAAACAAATATCTAAACTGTGGGCCCCCCAGTCCACAAAATGTGTTTATGCATTAGTAAAAGTTTCTTGATTAAATTATTTATTTCGTACTTTTTCCAGTTAAGGTTTTAGTAGTGTAAAATAAATAGCGCTAAATATTAACACTGTTTTAAGTTATGTTTCATATGGTGAGTGTAGAAAACCGGAGACCCATTTTACTGGAATCGAGGCATTCCATTTTTGTTCTCAAGGGTGACAACGCATCTGCATTTTGATTCTTAAGCGAGGTTAAAATGTCTATGGGTCACAGCATCCACTTACCATCAGGTGGATTGTGTACTCGTTTGTTACCCATATACTCTAAAATAAATTTTGGAAATACAAATAAGACTTCTACTATCATTTGAAATCATCCCAAACTGAATGTGATTTACCAGGCGGTCCCATAATGAACTGACCTGATATAGTTCAACGCGACATGTCGCTACATGTTGTGTTGCATTAAATAGTACGTTTATCGTGCACTTAATATAAGAAACATGCATCGACATGAAATGCATAGTCTTAGTTTAACAGGCATTTGAATAACGAGAGTCGCGTATTTTTTCAAAATGTCGAAAACTGAGTATCGAAGTGTCATAAAGTTTCTGTTTAAAGAAGGTTTATCCCCTGCCCAAATAAAAGAACGATTGGATGGCGTGTATAAGGAGTCTGCCCCCTCCTATAGCACAGTGAATTATTGGGTGATAGAGTTTCGCCTCGGGAGAGAAACCGTCGAAGACTTTGGCCACGACGGTCGACCTGTGGAAGTGCTCACTCCCGAAACGATTGCTCTTATCGAAGAGGAGGTTCTGAGTGACCGCCGTTTGAAGATTAGAGAAATTGCAGCAAGGCTTGGGCTCTCTAAGAGTACCGTTCATTGCGCGATCCATGAACATCTTCACATGAAAAAAGTGAGTGCAAGATGGGTACCGAAACTTCTTTCAGCGGTACAGAGACAGGAACGAGTGCGCTGCGCCTTTGTGGCGAAAATCCAAAGACTGTGATCGAGCGGCTAGTGACTGGTGATGAAACTATGATCTTGTATTATGATCCAAAAAGCAAGCGCGAGTCAATGAAAGTTATAAGGGTGAAAAGCCCCCTAGAAAGGCAAAGGTGCAACAATCGACTAAAAAACTGATGTGCACAATATTTTGGGATTTTCAAGGCATTTTGATGGTGGATTTTAAAGAACGTAATACAGTCGTGAACGGCGAATATTATCCTTCTTTAATATATAAATTACGAGACAAGATAAAGGAAAAATGAAGAGGCAAGCTGTCTAAAGTTGTCCTGTTGCTCCATGACAACGCCCCTGTTCATACCGCTGGTGTTTCGAAGGATGCAGTTCGTCAATGCGGGTTCGCAGAAGTTCAACATCCACCTTACATTCCAGACATGGCCCCGTCCGACTATTATTTATTTCCAAATTTAAAGTGGGACTTAAGAGGGAGAAAATTTTCAAGCGATGAAGAGTTGCAGGCGGCCGTCTTCAGTCATTTTGAGGATAAAAAATGTGATTATTTTTATAAAGGTTTAGAGATGTTGATTCACAGATGTCAGAAGTGTGTTAGTATTCATGGTGATTATATTGAAAAATAAAATTGGTTTCGTTTCATTTCCTTCATTGGTTCATAGTTAGGCCAATTCATTATGAGACCGCCTACGTATGTGCAACAATGTTTTTGCCTACCGATACGAATGTGTGCATGCGCAGTAAAACCAGTTATAATAATGCATTACCACGCATTTTGAGTATAAAAGATAAAAGGACAGAATGCTTGAGATTCTTTTTCAATTTTCTTTTCAACATTTCCCTATAATATTACTTGTTTTGAACCTTCTCTGCAAATTTGGCGGTTGTTAAAAAATAACCCTCTATTCATAATTAATGCATTGTCTTTATATCTATATACATAGGTATATATATGGATATAATGTATCTAAAAATATATCAGATATACTTATTACAACTTTAAAACAATGACAAGATGATTTACCAGAACATATTCAGGAGATTTGTTTAAGATGACAGCTGCATTCTCAAGTAAAAACCTATGTTGAGTTTTTAAACCTCCCAAACGATTGCTGCGAATTTCTTTAGCTTTTGCCTAAAAAAGAAATATAAAGGTAAAACTCCCTTAGCTAGTGATAGAAATAAAACAGTAATTTCTAGTTAGCAAATTTATTTACTTGCTTGTCTTTATAAGATTCATGTCCTAACGCAAGTGTACTCATTGATATCCTACTTTTTCTCTGAATACCCTTAAGTCGAGAACTGACATCCAATATTGCTTCAAGAGCAGTGCGATCTACAATTACGCGCTCCTCGTCATCTTCGTCAGAAGCAACTTGTAACTCCTTTCTTTCGTTGGGAATTTTCCGTACAATTTTATCAATTTTCTCAGCTGTATCCTCCACGTCAGTCGCTTGTTGTTCATTATACCCTGATGCCGAAACCTTTGGGTCTTCGTCGACCACATTTCTACTCTCCGTAGTTTCTGATAAAGGTTTATCAATATCATCGGACATGATTAAAAAATAATCAATTTATATTGTGCTCTAATGATAAAAATAAACAATCTCAATGATTGACAATTATTTGCACAATTTAAATTGATCTGTATTTTGATATATTCCAAATTTAAATTAGATTTATATGTGGTTTTGCTTTAAAACTTTTTTTAAATTAAAACGTAATGATTGTATACTCTTTGTAATTTCATTTTCTTTCTTAACTACATTCAACATTCTGATATATGTATATAATATAGAGTCCAGTGTCTCAAGACTGATCGAACTTAAAAGTAATATTAGAGTAATTGTGTTCTGTGATTCTGTGCATTTACAGTATGATTTTGAAACGTAATATAAATAATAGACTAAGGCGAAAGTGAGGTAATAGAGACTGCACCTGTGCTAATACTATATTAATATAAGCGAATTCAAACACAAAGGATTCGTACAATTTTGTGAGTGAGATAAAAGACCTACATCTCGCTAACAAATAAACTATGGTCACCCTCCACCTCCCATGGCCCCACCAACCTCACGGTTATACGGGCCGAATCTCGAGAGATGCACGCGGTACTTGCTCTGGGCTCTTTCCCGCGTGCACTTTCTTGACTCTCTACAAGTTATTTAATCTGTTCCTGTCCCTTGTATTCCACTCTCCCCTTCTGGGCTGGACAAATACACCACGCCTTCGGTTCCGGGCAGAGCACTCCTTTGCTTCTCCATGGCAGTTCTTCTGACATGCCATCCGTGCGCAAACTCCCGCAGCCGGCCAAAGCTGTCCTTACCGTCCACGAGGTCCGGGTAGTAAACCGGACCCACAGTTCTGCGTGCCATTCCGTCCATCATCTTACATCTGAGGTCGTCATACAGTACACACTCCCATAGTACGTGATGCCTATCCTCATAGGCAGCACCGCAATCACACATACCCGATTCAACCAGTTTCATCTCACACAGTCTCTTACGAAAACAACCATGCCCACTGAGCATCTGCGAGACTCGGTAATCCGGCACAACCCAACTTGCGTTGAGCCGCGCCGACACGTCCGGGAAGAAACAGTAAAGCTCCCTTCCATTCGTCTCATTCTCCCATCTCTCTTGCCATGCGTTCATAACATCCACCCAGATCTCGCGCTTTCGCCTGCTCAACTCCCCATTTTCTGCTTCAGCACGCGCAAGATCGATCTTACCAGCACGTGTCACCTCCAGATCGGCCGGAAGGACGCCGGCTAATACCGGAAGTGCCGCAGTGCTGATCGTCCTGTAACCCTTAGTCAACAAAACGAGTGAAGACCTCTGTGATCTGAGCAGTGACGTACGCACCGTATAATTCCTTACCCGATTTACCCAAACTGCAGCTGCATAAGTTACTATGGGAACATATGTTCCATAGTACAGAACACGAAGAGCCGGGTAACGAATGCCCCAGGAAGACGCCGACACCCGCGACATCTTTCCGAAGCATCTCCCGGCTTTATCTCCCATGTCTTTCGCATGCTTAATAAATGACTGACTATTGTCTAGCGTAACGCCCAATACTTTAGTCGACTCTACGCTTTTTATTGAATTGCTTCCCATCCTGATTACAGGTGGTCGCAAGAACCTACCCTTGAGGGTCATTGTGCATGACTTTGTGGAGGAAAAGGAGAGACGATTCCTTTCCCCCCATGACTCAACCAGCTCCAGTGCAGACTTGACCGTTTTCTCTATGTCAGCCCTAGAGTTCGCCTCTATCAAGAGCGTTACATCATCTGCATACGCTATCATCTTCGCGTTGGTAGGGAACGGCAGCCTCAACAGATCGTCCAGCAGTAAATTCCATAGGGTCGGTCCTAGAACCGATCCTTGCGGACAGCCCATGGTCGAGCGTTTCCATTCAACGCATTCCCCGACAAAGATACCCACCCGTCTGTTGGTAAAATAATCTACCAACATCTGATAGATGTTGGGTGCGATCCCTCCCTGTTCGGCCTTCAAGAGTATCATCGGCCACCATGCATTGTCGAAAGCCCCGGATATATCTAAAAAGACGGCCTGTACATACTTGCGCTGCGACTCGCTCGCAGTACGAAGCACGTCTTGCAGCGCTGTGATAGTAGACCGACCTGGCGAAAACCCATGCTGGTAGTCGGATATACCCCTCATTAAACTTGGGGTACACCTAAGCAAGATTCGCTCCAATATTTTTCCAAAAATGGGAAGGAGCGTAATCGGACGATACGCCTTGGGGTCCGTCAATGACCTGCCATTACCTTTCGGAATTACTACCAACCGTCCATTGTTCCATACGTCCGGGAAAACTCCCTCTTCCACACATTTGCTATACACCCAGTGAACTTCCCTGGATGCAGCCCTCCATACATTCTTTAGCACTTTTGCACTAATCCCGTCCAGTCCCGGAGCAGTGTTAGGCAACGCCCTGACTATGCCCCCCAAACACTCAATGGTTGGGGGAACGGCAGCTGATCCGGATGGAGTGAAGGCGGCCATAAGTCGAACACGCCCATGGTACTCCGTGTCCTTGGACGCATCGTCGTCTGGGCACAGAGCCCCGAGCAGGTCCCGCATGGCCTCCCTCACCCCCCCAGAGTGTCGCTCTACATACTCTATCCCGTTAATTACATTACTGGGAGGCCGAAACCTCCCACTAGATATTTGGTATGCACGTCTCCAAGAGTCAGTGTTACCGGCCTCTGCCATTAATGATTAAGCTCCGTATCCCCCATCAACTGTCTGTATCGCGCTCTCGCACTATGGAAACGTTCCATGGCTAATGCCTCTGACCTGCCACCATTTTTCCTAGTCTTCTGCCATGTCCTTCTCGCACTACATACTTTCTTTCTCATTCCATCAAGTTCAGGCGTCCACCACTCATAGCCGACTTCACGTGTCGTCTTGGGCAGTGTGCGCCCTAGCGCACACTGCCCAAGACATCCTCGGCAGAACGAACCACAATATTCGTAAACTGCGCACAGAGACGATCAGCTGGCTGTCTAACTTTCAATGCACCCATTCGTACATGAATAGTTCCGCGAAAGAGTCCCCAGTTCACCCCCCGGTCCCGGAGACGGGCAGGCACCTCCACCGGCCCCGGAAGCCTCGCAACGGGTATTCCTCCAACCTTATAGGTGATCAGCCGATGGTCACTTGAGCTGACGCAATCCAGGACTCGCCACTCTGATATCAGAACCCCTCTGGATGATAAAGTTAGATCTATATTAGACTCACCCATTGCTCCCGAAAAGGTACATGGTTGACCTTCAACATTGTTAACCACAAGCCCTCGTGACATAATGAAATCCTCCATCATTTTTCGACGGTATTCTGCTGCATGGCCCCTTCCTCCAACTTGCTCAGCATTACTGAACCAGAGTGGCGAGTGCGCGTTGCAATCCACTCCAATTACAACGCGCTTGCCCTTCAACTGGTCAAGTACGGTCTCTAGGTGTTGAATGTGTTGATCGATACAATCGCTGTACTTAAAGTACGCGGAGATGAGATAGAGACCGTACTTCTCCACATGGCAAACCACGCAGTGGGAGTTACTTAGTTGGGCCAGTCCAGCCACACCTATCTGTCCACGTTGGATTAAAATCCCTGCCTGGGGCTCCGCGCCAAACTGGATAAGTTCTACCGATTGAGCCCACTGCTCCTGGACGAGTACTAGGTCCAGGCGAAGGCTACGGGCCAGAGATGACAGTTCCTTAGTGGCCACCTCACCCTGCCCCAGGTTAAGCTGCCCAATAGTTAGCTGGTCGTACTTATCCATACTGCGTGGTATTTATAGCCCTCTCTTCCGCGTACACCATAGCCGGGCACGTCTTCGCCATCGTGGCATGAGATTTGGCACCCGGCTTGCCAAACTTTTTACAGGTGGCACAACAGACCTCATTTGCGGTGCAATCCTCCCTTGCATGGCCTTCCTCTCCGCATTTGCCACAGGTTGCCTCCTTGGCCCGGCAGTACTTTGCCGGGTGGCCATACTGTTGGCATTTCTGGCAGCAGGTGACGTCTATGTAATCACAAGGTTCGACCACGTCCCACCCTATGTATAGTCTCTTCCTGGCTATAAGGGTGTCTCTCAGTGCAGAGGTGCACTGCAGCACCACTGTGGTACGCCTGCTACCCCTCCATGTCTTTTTAAAGGCAACCTTACATCCCTTATTTAGTTCGTCCAGAGTCCATCTCGTGTCTTCCCCGAAATTTTGGTCGTGAAGTGCCGGTATTAATTCTTCGGTCTTCACATCATCCTCAAAGCCACGCAACGCAACTAGTGGTTGGCGCTGTCGCGGCTCTAACACCCTCAATGTTGGAGGAGCTGCAGTCCTCAGTTTCTGTGCCGCCTCCTGGGACGTGGTCTGGACCACCACCCCGGCATTCCCCACCTTCCTTAGCATGGCCACCTGTATGTTTATCTCCGAGGGCTTCACCGACTTCTTTAGCTCTGCTTTTGTATCGCCCGCAGTCTTAAGGTGCGCTTGTTCTCCGGACGGATAGAATGCCAGTACCGGGCCAGTCTTCCAGTATAGGCACTGACGCCGTACCTTTCGGCATCCTCAGCACCGAAGCGAAGCTTTTGCTTCCTATCGGGGCGTGGTCCCCGTCACCTGCGGGTGCACGCGCGGCCTCCTGGTGCGCCAGCTTCGCCTCCACATAAGCTTTATCTCTCTCTGCCTTACACAATGCCAGTTCCGCCTCCATAACATGGACATCCATTGCCGCGACCATGGCAATAAGGTCGTGCCCCGTGACGGAAATTCTCGTTTGCTCGGCCTTATTTAGTTTCGAACCCGGACCAGAAACTATTCCCATAATAGTGCTGACCGCCTTCCTCACATGTTCAATAATTTCCAGTCTTGCAGTCTTGACCGCATCAAACCCGCATGGCGTGGTTGCTTACAAATCCTCCTTTGCAGCTACCGGTTCCTTACTAACTATAATGTCGAGAGCCGGTGCACTGGAGCCTAACCTTTTTTCTCCAAACGTTGCCGCTGAGCCACTGACTGCTGGTCGTC